GTGTATATCCGAAGGAAGTGAAGTCAGTATTTCTAAGAGACATTTACATGTCCATGGTCATTGTAGCATAGTTACAATAACTAAGGTATAAAAACAAAGTGTCCATCAGTGATGGATGAATAGATAAAGAGCTTGCATACACACAGCCATGAGAAAGAAGGAAATTGGGAAATTCTGCCATTCCTAACACGTGGATGAACCAGAAGGACCTTATGCTAAGTGAAATAAACCAGAGAAAGACCAATACTGTATGATCTCAATTATATGTGAAGTCTTAAAGTTGAACTCAGAGAAATAGTAGAGTGGTGGTTACCAGGGACTGGGGCATCAGGGAAATGGTGGGGATACTAGGCAGAAGGTACAAGCCCTCACTTATAAGATGAATAAATTCTGGGGCTCTCACTCAGCTGGTAAAGAATTCGCCGGCAATGTGGGAGACATGAGTTCGATCCCTGGGTTGGGAAGATCCGCTGGAGAAGGGAAAGGCTACCCACTGCAGTATTCTGGCCTGGAGAATTCCATGGACTCTATAGTCCATGGGGTCGCAAAGAGTCAGACATGAGTGAGTGACTTTCACTTTCACTACAGCATGGTGACTGTAGTAAATAATACATACTTGACATCTGCTGAGAATGGATCTCAAGAATTCTCACAACTATAACAAAAAAGGTAAAGGGATGTGTTCATTAAACTGACTGTGGTAATCACTTCACAATGTGTGTGTAAATCAAATCATCACTTTATATACTTTAAATGTATGGAGTTTTGTCAATTATTCTTCAGTAAATCTAGGGGGGGAAATAATCTTTCCTGGAAATTTTAATTAATTTCATTGAATCCTAAAATCTGATTAAGAAGATGCACTGGATCTCTTTCTAAAGTTAGCTTCATCATTGTGGTGTCCACAAAGGAGGAGAACAGAGGATAAACTTATCTTTAAACTGTTCATATTTTCACATAGTATGTTCCATGTGTTTTTCAGTCTGCAGATACCTTTTCAAGTAAAATGCCTCTAAATTTAAAGGAAAGGATCACTGTTGTCAATTTGAAGAAAGGACGACAAATATACTGATCTGCCTTGTATTTTGGATGCTCTGATGTCTGTGTCCTGTTGTTCTTTTGTACAGATTGACAGCTGGACCCATCACTTTACAGTTAAAGTTATGCTTCACTTAAGGTTATGCATCGCTTGAAACCATATCAAGCATGTTGCTGAAAAAAGTAACGAATTGTTGTTACTTTTTAACTATTTTAAAAAGTGCTATTTTTTGAAATTTGTTGTAATTTTAAAAGTCAAATAACAGGAAAAGGCTTATGCACAAATTACAGTGGATTATCTCCTCACTCACTGCACTTTCCCAGTTGAGATTCCCTCACTGAAGAGGCAACTGCTTTCAAATTTGAGCTGTTTATTTTGGCATTAACTCCTATCTATATCTATAGATAATATACATAAACCACTGTCTTTTGAGTTATCAAGTTTAGATATTATTTACTGACTTCCTATTATGATAAATGAGGGCTTGGAGCTCTCTACTTCTGCTTCCCCATCCTTCCAATACAGTTATATTACAACTTTTGCATATATTGCTATTTGATATATATATTATTATACTCAATCAGTTATTTGCAGCAAAGCATCATAGTAAACTAGGTCTGTCTTGCCAATAGACTTTTGATTTTTCTGAAGTTAATTCTTGCTTTCTTTTTACATTAGCTTTATTTTCTTTGTGGCTATAGCAGTGCTATGCTCATATAGCTGACTCTCAAAAAAAAAAAAAAGCCCTGATTTGTATTACGTGCATTTGTTTGTATTGTATTTGATTTTTTTATTCATTTCAAGTTACCAATGTGAGGTCACTGAACAAGCAGCAGGGACAAGATGCACACTTTGCTCTCTCAGACCACTGAGCTGTTACTGACTCTCTCATACCTTCTAAACACCCACATTGGGATTTTATCTTTTTAATTATTTTTTAAATTGAAGTATAGTTGATTTACAATGTTGCGTTTATTTCTGGTGTACAGCAAAGTGATTCAGTTACACATACATATATATTTTTTACATATTCTCTTCCATTATGGTTTATTTTGAGATATTGAGTATCATTCCCTGTGCCATACAGTATGACCTTGTTGTTTCTCTGTTTTATTTATAGTAGTTTTTATCTCTTAATCCCAAACTTCTGCTAACGTATCCCTCATCTCCCTTCCATTTTGGTAACTATAAGTTTGTTTTCTATGTCTGAGTCTGTTTCTGTTTTGTAAATAGGTTCATTTGTATCATATTCTAGATTCCGTATATGTTGATATCGTATGATATGTGTCTTTCTCTGACTTACTTCACTTGGTATGATAATCTGCAGGTACATCTGTTTTGCTGCTAGTGACATTATTTCATTCTTTTTATGGCTGAGTAATATTCCATTTTGTGTGTGTGTGTGTGTGTGTGTATGTATGCACACACATACCACATCTTCTTTATCTGTTCATCTGTCAACACTTACATTGCTTCCGTATCTTGCCTGTTGTAAATAGTGCTGCAGTGAATATTGGAGTCCATATATCTTTTTGAGTTATAATTTTGTTTGGAATATATGCCAAAGAATGGAGCTACTGGGTCATACAATAACTCTATGTTTAGTTTTTTTAAGGAGGAAACTCCATACTGTTTTCCATGGTGACTGCACCAATGTACATTCCTACCAGCAGTATAATTTGTGTGGCTCAGCTGGTAAAGAATCCTCCTGCCTGCAATGCAGGAGACCTGGGTTCGATCCCTGGGTTGGGAAAATCCCCTGGAGAAGGGATAGGCTACCCGCTCCAGTATTCTGGCCTGGAGAATTCCATGGACTGTATAGTCCATGGGGTCACAAAGGGTCGGACATGACTAAGCAACTTTCACTTCACTTCAACAGTATAGGATGGTTCCCTTTTTCCCATAACCTCTCCAACATAAATTATTTATAGAATTTTTAATGATGGCCGTTCTGACCAGTGAAGTGGTACTACATTGTAGTTTTGATTTGTATTTCTCTAATAATTAGCAATGTTGAGCATCTTTTCATGTGCCCATTGGCCATGTGTACCACACTGGGACTTTTATTTTATTTATTTTTTTTTGGGGGGGGAGTTTTAAAATTAAGTTTTTCTCTTCTATTTTTAAAATTTTGTTTCATAAGTAGACATATGTGCTCTGAATCTTCTCTTTTGAACTTGTGAATATTTTAATAGGCTTTGGGACTTTTCTCTGCACATACTTCTACTTACAGAAGGAGATATCAGCATGCTGTCAGAGTTGTCCAGGGCCCTATCCAGAACTTTGGGTTCTGGCCAGTGAAGACAAATGAAAGTTACATAGTCTTGAGGTGGTATTTTGCTCGAGGAGTGGCAAGGCTGGGATTAATGATGAAGCTATGGTGGTCTCATGCCAGGTTTGTCCCTGCTAGGCTGACTCACAGGCTTCTCTCTGAGGCCACTTGCTTGAGCTCATAGTCAGCTGGGGTCCTGCTCCACTTCCCTAACTGGCATGACTACCTATGTTTGGCGCTTCAGCAATGCCTGGCACCATGAGTGCCAAGCAAGGGCTAGGATGACATATTTTGGCCGGCTGCTTCCAGAACTCGTTCATAGAGTTAAGTTGACCTCTTTTTGGGAACCTGGGGCCTTGGGCTGATCTCCAGGCTCTGCTCCTCTGGACCTGGGAGGATTGAATCAGGTCAGAGTTCTAATTTCCTGCAGAAACCACAAGTGAGCCACTCATGTAGACATCTCCAGGTTAACTGGGGCACTGCTGTTGACGACTGGTGTTGGAACTCTCTGTGCCAACGGCTGGGCTTCACTTGATGTGCCGTCTCCCAAGCGTGGGATTGGGGGTGTGGGCCACCGTCCTTGCATCTAGTGCTCTTCTGAGCCTAGCGGTGTTCTGCGGTCATTCTTGGGGGTCCCACCGGTTTTTCTGGCCAGATGCCTTCTTCTTTTGTGTTGGTTCATGGGCAAGATCAAGGTCATGCAGCCTTCCATTCTGCAGTGTATCTTATAAAAAGGCTTCAAAGTTTCTGATTCATCACTGGTCTTCCCTCTTCCCTCCTACAGTGTGATCAGAACTGAATTTTTTTTTTCTTTTCATTTTCCTTTAAAACTTTCCCAGTTTGTTTCAGTGGGAATTTGGTAGGGATGTTAAATGGCTGGGCTTAAATCACTATTTGAACAGGAAGTCCAGAATGGCTCTTTTGTAGTGATCCTGGGTATACCAACAATGCTGCTGTTTTGGACTGCAGAGAAAAATCTTCTTGGAAAAAGATGATGGTCTGGCACATGAGGTTCCAGCAGCTCACAGTGCTCTGCTGATTGTCGGCTGCTGTTATCAATCCTCTAGAAAGGTCAGCAGGAGTTCTGAAGCATAGATAAGGATGAAAATATTTTGTCTCTTTTGAAAGTAAAGATGAGATAGCTGAAGGAAGGAAGACTTAAGTGTTGTTAGTGTATGTATCATTGCATAACCTTTCTGGACCTGTAACACACTTGTTGGCTGTGAAACTCCTAAGTGATCATTTTAAGAACTGAAGTTTAATTTTCTCCAGAGCAGTGTTTTCTCAAAGTGTGGTCTACAGGCCTCCTGCCAGGGAATTCTGGGCAGGGAGGGGCTTGTTACAAATTCAGGAGCTCACTACAGTGGTAGCGACTCTGGAATATGGCATTTTAAGGCCATACCTCCTCCCCCACCCCCCTTGCTGGGTCTGTGCATGCCCAAGTTTGAGAACCACTGATCTCAATCATTTGGTCTTTAGGGTTGCTAGTTTCTGCAGACTTTCATTTATTTGTTTCTTTGTGGCTTTGCTAAAGTCGCCCTCTTAATATAAAAACTGGTAAAAATTCCCCCCTTGTGAGCATTCATTTCTACCTGTTGTGTTTTAAACTCCAGGATACTAACTACTCAGTTTCATGGGTTGCTTTTTATTTCCAGACGTCTAACTCTGAACTTTGAATTTTTCCCACAGGGCCGAGAAAACAGAAGTCCTCAGTGAAGATCTGTTACAGGTAACAGAAGAAAGACTTTTTAAAGTGCTCCATTTAAATAAGAACAACAACAAAAAAGCCCATAGGCGGAAAAAACCAAACAGATGAAAAACCCATAGGGGAGAGCTGAACCTTATGGTTCTTTGTTTTGGGGGGATTTTTCCTGAAACAGAATTAGCATGATTAGCATGGTTTTGAGCAGGAAAAGAAAAGCAGTTGAGTTGCACGGTGATAAAAGGGGATCTGAGACTTCGGTGTCATGTTATGAAGTTCAGATGGGGCTAGTCCCGCGTCCAAGTGCCAGGTGTTGGGGTGGGGACAGCGGGCGGAGCCTGGTTGGGCCGGCTGGGCTGTTGCCACTGTGGCCTGGTCACGGGTCCCTGCAGGCCGCTCTCTGCGCGGTGCCCTTGATGCAACAGGCCCCACCAGCTGCAGCGGTGACCCCACTGGCTCCAACAGAGTTTGGAGTTTTTGCTCCCTTTTATGCTTCTTCCCCCCAGACTGAGCTAAGTTGGGTCCCGTAGGACTCAGAGTCTCAGTGACAGTGACCGGGTCTCTCAAAACCACCCGGAGGCCCTAGGTGGCTTCATATGGCTAGGCCAGACTTTCCTCTCTATACCGGGAGGGGCGTGTCCTGCCGGGGACCTTAACTGTGGCTGCTCCTTGCCACCTCTCAGTAGGCTTCCCTAACTGTGGGACTGGGTGTTTCTCCCAGGAGGGCTGGGACCCTATATAGACATCACCTCACCCAGCCCCACTCCATCCCCACCCACACCGAATACTTCGAGAAAGACAGGACCCCTTCCACATGCAGGTTTTGTTAAGACTTCTTCACCTGTCTCCTAGCCTCGTATTTTCATAACCTGCCTCAGGTGTGCTCCAAGGAGTCCCTGGAGACCAGAGATCTGCTCCCAGATGACTTTCTGTCTCTTCCTGCGGAGGGGAGCTGCATAACTTAGAAAAACACTGCCTGTGCTCTGCTCCCACCCCATGCAAAACAGTCTCCTAAATTGTGACAGTTTTCTGCAGGTAGAAGATTTTAAGAGCACTTTTTTTTTTCTATTTTTAAGGACTAGAAATTCTTATCAAGGACTACTTTTTTTTTTTTAAGATTTATTAAAGAATCATAATCTTTTTAAAAAATATTTATTGAGATACAGTTGATGTACAATATTATAGTTTAGGGCTTCCCAGGTGGCTCAGATGGTAAATAATCTGGAAACCTGGGTTCAATCCCTGGGTCAGGAAACTCCCCTGGAGAAGAGAATGGCTACCCACCCCAGTATTTTTGCCTGGAGAATACCATGGCCAGAGGAGCCTGGCGGGCTACAGTCCATGGGGTCACAAAGTATCGGACACGACTGAGTGACTAACATACATACTGTAGCTTAAGAATCAGATTCTTAACACTATTTCCCCACTAGCTTTTATCAGATATTTCAAATCCATTTTCAGACTTTTAGAAATATTGTTTGTTCCAGTTCCACTAGGTTTTCCTGTGAGCATTCTCATTCCCATATCTCATGTCAGTGATTTCATCCCCAAAGCCCTGAGAAGAGACCAGAGCTCTTGCTGGCAGGTAGAGGCAGAAATTGTATGGGACTCGGAGAGTGACCGTTCTTGTCTCTTTGCTGAAACATCCACCGGCGCCTGAGGAGTTTGGTAGTTTCTAGAAATCCTTATTTTTTTATATACATATTTATTTGATTAAAGTATAGTTGATTTGCAGTGTTGTGTTAATTTCTGCTGTATAGCACAATGATTCAGTTATATATATCTATATATCCTTTTTCATATTCTTTTCCATTGTGGTTTATCACAGGATATAGGAACTCCTTATTTTATAACACAGACACTCCACGTCTGCAGCAGTTGTCTTCCTGCTCTTATTTCTGTGACCTTTAGCCATAAAGAAGGCGTGTCGTGGTTCCAGGTGCTGAATCTGGTGACCAGCCACCTGTATTCCATGCCAGGCCTGCCCCTTACTAGTTGGGTGGCCTCAAGAATTCTCTGAACCTCCCTCTGCCTCAGTTTCCACTTCTCAAGAAGGAGGGTAATCGACATATCACCCCATGGGGTTGTTAGGGGGGGCTCATGGGTTAAACGTGGTCAGCCCTGGGAGCAGAGCCCGGCCCGTGGTAAGGGGTAGATATTAGTGACTTCTTGATATGATTTTTGCCACTGTCACAAGCCACAGAAGTTATTTTGTTTCTGGTGTGAGACTTCCCTCAATTTGCTCTTTCTCCTGCCTCTTTTCTTAGATCTCAGAGCAGTTCAAGAGGCCGCCCTTTTATCTTGTTTGTATGGAGTTTCCCCAAGAGGCTGTCAACCCCAGGAGGGCAAGAACCACAGATTATTTACTCTTGTTTTTCTAATACCGTGTACAGGGATTCAGTATATACTTGTTCCTTCAACACATACTACCTTCCATTCATGGGCCAGGCAGTGATCAAAGCACTTGGGATAAATCAGTGAACATAACGGACCAAGGCCCTATCCTTGTGGACTTTATAAAAGTGAAGTTGCTCAGTCGTGTTTGACTCTTTGCGAACCCATGGACTGTAGCCTGCCAGCCTCCTCTGTCCATGGGATTCTCCAGACAAGAATACTGGAGTGGGTAGCCATTCCCTTCTCCAGGTGATCTTCCCGACCCACAGATCCAACCTGAGTCTCCTACATTGCAAGTGAATTCTTTACTGTCTGAGTTATCAAGGAATTCTAGTGGAAATTGGGGCTTCCTTCGCAGCTCAGTCAATAAAGAATCTGCCTCCAATGCAGAAGACCTGGGTTTGATTCCTGGGTTGGGAAGAACCCCTGGAGATGGAAATGGCAACCCACCCTGTTACTCTTGCCTGGAGAATCCCATGGACAGAGGAGCCTGGCAGGCTACAGTCCATGGGGTCGCAAAAATTGGACACAACTTAGCGACTAAACCACCACCAGTGGAAAATGGAATCGAGTAAAAATGGAGTTTTCTGGGTTCCCCCCCTGCCCATGTTTTTATGGCCAATGGAGAAAACATATTAATTTTCCAGTGCCTTACAATCAGGTCATTATAACATTTGGGGCAAGTGATGTGGCATCTGGTCCTAAATAAATGAGGCTGCAGATTGGGGTCCTCGGAGGGGCCCCAGGTCTGAAGAAGGGCTGCTTGAGAAGGAGGCCCAAAACCATCTACTTGGGTAAAATGTTTTGGGGTAAAAATGTATTCTTGAAATCTGTTGATTTTTCTTTAAAATAGAAAGCATCCCTAAGGGCCTGCCCTCATTCTTAATGAGTCATCAGAATACACATTTTTGGCATTCCTTCCTGTAAAAAGCAGCTCTCTTTGCCATAAACAGCCATATCCCAGCAATAATATTTTGGGAAGCTAATGATGATGAGTGGGCCCCCGGAGTCAGAGTTTCTTACTCTTGGCTGTCCGTTTTGCTTTAGAGGTTTGTTCTAAAACAATAAATAAATAAAGCCCCCCACCCCCAGCCATCCCAAGCCCGATAAGGAACAATAAGGAATAATTTTGAAAACACTGATCTCAAGTGTCAGTTGAGGAGCACATCTTTGCCTCTTCTGTCTGATGTACTGCATGTGGAGGACTCCATTGCCACAATCTGGAGGAAGCTGAATGTCCCCATGGCTTTCCCACTGGCAGCGGGCCTGGGGCTGGCCTCAGCTTGTTCATCTGCAGTGCTGCTGGTTGGACCCGGGGCTCTGCCGGTGCTGTAGTGTGTGACTTGGCCACCGCTCATCAAAGTGCAAGTTCTAGTCAGGACTGTCCCTTCCTCCTGCACATGGAGTCAGCCTATAAGGGATCTGAAACTTCACTGCAAAACCAGGGACCGTTTTGGCCTCTGGGAGGGTATTTGACAATATCCAGGGACAGTTTTGGTTGTCAGAAAGGGGGCGGTTGGGTGCGACCAGCATCTACTGGGTGGAAGCCAGAGATGATGCTAAACATACCGATAATGCATAGGACAGCTGCCCCTAGCCCAGAATTATCCAGCCCAGTTGTGAGAAACTAGTGAGAAACCCTGCTGTAGATGTATGGGAACCTTTTCCATTTACACCTGAGAGCTAAAAAGTTCGATGGCAGGACACTCTTCCCTGCCTGCATGCAGACATTGCAGGAGAGGAGGCTGAGCTGGTTCCTGAGCCCCGCCGACCGCTCGTCTGTCCTTTGTGTTTTCAGATCGAGCGGCGCCTGGACACGGTGCGTTCCATGTGTCACCATTCCCACAAGCGTCTCATGGCCTGCTTCCAGGGCCAGCATGGCACCGACGCAGAGAGGAGACACGTGAGTACCGGTGGGACTTGGAGCCCAGATTCTCATTCCCTGAGAAGCTTCTTGCCCTTTATCAGTCGATTTTTCCCAAGTAGCATCAGAAGGTTTGACTGCAGACATGAACCTTGTATCACCATTCACACTCATGATTCGTGCCTGACCATAACATTCTTTCATGCTTCCCTGAGCTGAAGGCCCTGCTCACACTGAATTCTCTACAGGTGCTTTTAGAGACTGAAAGTGAAAGTGATGGGACAGGGTGTTTGGGGCTGGTGCCCTAGGATGACCCAGAGGGATGTGGGAGGGGAGTTCAGGATGGGGAACCCATGTACCCCTGTGGCGGATTCATGTCAATGTTTGGTAAAACCACTACAATGTTGTAAAGTAATTAGCCTCCAATTAAAATAAATAAATGTATATTTAAAAAAAAAAAAGAAAGTGAAAGTGAAATTTGCTCACTTGTGTCCAACTCTCTGCAACCCCCTGGACTATACAGTCCATAAAATGAATTCTCCAGGCCAGAATACTGGAGTGGGTAGCCTTTCCCTTCTCCAGGGGATCGTCCCAACCCAGGGATTGAACCCAGGTCTCCCACACTGCAGGCAGATTCTTTACCAGCTGAGCTACAACGGAAGCCCTTTAGAGATTGTACCATCAGTTAGAAATCCTTTGACGGCAGAAGGCTGAAAGCCTCTCTTGAATTATCTGAGAAAGTAGAATTAACTGACTTACTAACTGAAAAATCCAGTAGTTGGGATGACTTCAGGTTCGGCTTGGTCTAGCCTTTCAGCAATGTAACCAGGACCCCAGTTTCTTTCCACCTTTCCTCTTAACTTCTTCAGTGTCTGCTTTATCCCTCACGGTGCAGGCTGGCTACCAGCAGCTTCCATGGGCTGCCTGCTTCTTTGTGCATGTCCAGCTGGAGTAGAGAGCATGTCTCCTAGTAGTGTCCTTAATGGAGTGAGGAAACTTCTTTTTTCCCATACCAATGGCAGGTAGAAGTCCCTTTCCATTGCATTGATGTGCATTGAGTCACAGTCTCCGTTCCTGAACAACCTCCTCCCAACCCCCACCAGTTACGGTGGGTGGGGGTGAGTCTGGGTGAGGAGACGGGATGTGCTGGTTAGCTTAAGTTAATCACGGCTCATCCCAGAGTTTGGGCTGTGGTCTTACCTCTGGTTTGTAGGCTCTATCGAAACCAGAAGAGATCCTCAGCAGGACTCAGGATGCTGTTACAGGCAGGAGGAAAGATGGGCTTTAGGAAACAATCCGATGTCTACTCCAGGGTACGTTTGCTCAGAGCATCCCAGTCCCCATATCCCTTGAGCGGAGCACCGCAGCTTTGCTCATCAGGCAGTTCCCTCCTTAGTGTTACAAGGTCCCAGCCTATGAGCGTACTCTGACCCTTAGAAGCCTGTGTAACTTTAAAGTGGGAGTTTCGATGGCTTTCAGGGAAGCTATGATTTCCCATATTGTTTTATTTGTCACTAGATGTTGCATAAGAATTGGTGGCAGATGATCTGTGTCATCTCCATTGATATTTCCTACACACGTTTCTGGCCAGCTTGCCATCAGAACCAGGCCCAGCCCACTGGTCCTGCCCCCACTGTTCCCTCACATTTTCTTGCCATGGCCTCCGCTCTGCTCCCCTGTTAATATCATTCCCTAAGGGTCTGCCATCATCTCCTTACTCTCGCCTTCACACTCCTTGGGGCTCCTCCTCCCCTCATGGCTCCTAACTAGTGTGTTTATTCAGGCACCTGTAAACCATGTTGTCTTGTTTTTAATTAAACTTTTAATTTTGTATTGGCGTATAGCCGATTAACAGTGTTGTGAGAGAGTCAGGTGGACTGTGAAGGGACTCGGCCATGCATACACGTGTATCCATTCTCCCCCAAACTCATCTCCCATCCAGGCTGCCGAATAACATTGAGCAGAGTTCCCTGTGCTCTACAAGTGGGACCTTGTTGGCACCTGTAAACCATTTTCAATCAGGAAAATACTGCCTCCCCTGGTTGTCTATTTTATCATGCATAACCTATCCTTCCTTCCGTGTTGACTCGTGAATGCCATGCACCCTATTATGCAGACCAGGTTGTCTTGTTTTCCTTCTTGTCTTATCCTCTCCCTCCCATAGCTGCTTGATTTGCAAGTCCTGTGATTCTGTCTGTGACTATGTCTTGAATTCCTCACCTCCACTCCATCTTTACCACCTTCGCCTAAATGCAAGACCCGATTACCTCTCATATGGACTGTTCAGTCACTTCTTGAGCTACATTGTCTGTCTCTAATTTCCTTCTTTTTCTAGCCTTTTTTCAGTGTGATCATCAGAGTTGATTTCCTGAAATACAAATTGATCCTGGACTTCCCTGGCAGTCCAGGGGTTAAGACTTTGCACTTCCAATGCAGAGGGCACAAGTTCGATCCCTGGTCAGGGAACTAAGAGCCCACATTCCATGCAGAGAGGCCAAACAACAAACACAGACAACAGAAAAGTTGATCTTGTTATCCTTCTGCCTAAAAAAAAAAATTCTTAAGCTTACTTGTTCTCAGCAGGGACCAGAACTACACTCCTGGGGATATTTGGAAAGGTGTAGAGACTTTTTTGGTTGCCATAAGGTCAGGGGACCCTCCTGACATTTGGAGGGCAGGGACCAAGATATTAAGCATTCTGCAGTATCTGAAGGAATAGATCCACAGAAGGAAGCCTCCCATAAGGCCAGCAGTGTTGTGTCAGGACAGTGGCTGGTTCTCATTGCCTGGGTTTAGTTTCAAGGTCTTCTTTTCCTTTTAATTGAAGTATAGCAGCCTTACAATATAATATTAGTTTCATGATTTAATCTTTTTATAGATTATACTCCATTTAAAATTGTTATAAAATATTGGCTATATTCTCTATGCTGTACAAAATATCCTAAAGTCCAAGCTCTTTAGAGGACTTGTGTGTGTTCAGTCACTCAGTCTTGTCTGACTCTTTGAGACCCTATGGACTGTAGCCCGCCAGGCTTCTCTGCCCCTGGGATTATCCAAACAAGAATCCTGGAGTGGGTTGCCCTTTCCTTCTCCAGGGGGTCTTCCCATCCCAGGGATTAAATCCGCATCTCCTGTATTGCAGGAAGATTCTTTACCACTGAGCCACCTGGGGAAGATGACTTGAGCCCTTCATAATCTGATCAAATTTTCCTTATCAGTTCAGTCTCAGTATTTCCTGCTTCCTCCCATTCATGCTATAGGTCATTGTCCTTCACACAGAGCTGTCTTCTTGTTCCTTTGGTCTGCTTTGAGACACAGCCCCGGACCAAGGACGGATACCAGAGGAAGAGAGGGGTAGTTAAGGGAGGCTTCCTGGAGGAGGCGGTGGCCTGGCTGTAAAGGAGAAGAGTGGCAGTTGGTGGGCCTGTTACAGGCAGCAGGGGCAAAGGTGTATCACCCTCGTTGCTGAAATCTAATGCCTCAGCCTTCGTTTTCCAACCTCAAATCAAAGTACCCAGGACAGGCTCTGAGAATGTCTACACTCTGCATGTGGGAAGGGGAGTCACCATGGAAACGACAGGTGATTGGCAGCCATCAGATGTCAATCATGTTGAGAAAATTGCAGCAGTCTCTCAGGCTCGAGGAAATACTGGAGGAGCTTCCGCAAGGCCCCATCGAAAGCTTCCATGCTTGGGAAGGGGCAAGAATTGGAGGGAAGAGAGACGTAGCAGGTGGCCTTCTCAACCCAAACTTCTCAGCTTATATTGTGGGTTATACACGTTAGATCTGGAACTATTTTTGTGCAACTGGCATGCCTTTTGTAAATTAGTACGCCCTCAGCCGTCTGTGGAGGCGTCTGATGTGAGTAGACAGCATCTTCATTAATCAGCTCAAGTGTCAAATGAGTGGAATGTCTGTAATCTGGACGTTAGGAAACGGGATTGTTGCGCTTGGGAGTAAGGGCATGGAAACCACAGCTTAGTTACAGCTGGGTACTTGAATGATTCTTATCAAAATAAACTCTTCTATTTATGATTTGTTTCCCCATAGACCTCCATCTAGAATTGCACAAAGTATATTTCTCTTCCTTATTGCATTTAGCATACATTAAGTTCCCTTAGAAAGGCAGCATCACTAAAAGGTATGAATTATCCTCTGTTGTGATCCAAGTGTACTGCCCACTTTCTTATAGCTTCCTAGTCTAGAAAGGTGGAATCCGGGAGTGTCTCCCTGTGGGGCAGATGAAGCCTGTTGTTTGTTTATTTGAAAATAACCTGACGGGGAAGGGAGGTGGATAAATATATTTGTTGTTATTTATTTTATTTATTTTTTATGTTATTTTGTTTTATTTTGGCTGCACCATGCAGCATGTGGGAACTTAGTTCCCTGACCAGGGATCGAACCCGTGACCCCTGCATGGAAGTGCACTGGACGGCCAGGGAAGTCCCCATTGTTATTTATTTTTAAATTTAAATGAACCATTTTGAATGGGCTGTCCATTTACATGGTCAAAATCCATAATATTCAAGTGAACATAACATGATGCCTCTCCCAGCTCTGTTCCCTGAGTACCCAGTCCCCCTCTCCAGGACCACCAATAGAAGCAGTTTCTTGTATAGCCTTCCAGAGAAATTCTATAAGTATATTGGGTGGACCCCTTTGAAAGCAGGAAAGGCAGGTGCCATGCGTGAGGTCAAGGCAGAGCTATGCCACGGCAAGGTGAACCCTTGGTCTTAAACATGAGTGCTGTTCCTACTTGGAAGGCAAAATGACATGGGGTGCTGCAGCATTGAAAGCAGTTTTTGTTAGCAGGTTATGGTATTATGACCAACCTACGTGCAGCCGTCCTGGCATCTTCTGCCCATATTCTGCGATAAGCCACCAGCCAGATGTGGACAGGATCTGAACTGGGGCTTGGGCCATCGGCACCAAGGTCTGGCTCCGTGCCCTCACCGGGGTGCCTGGTCAGGCCACGTAAGCACCCTGGGCTTCCCATTTCCCAGCCACACTATACGAACATTAATCAGGTGACCCTTATGGTCATTTCCAGCTGAACAACCAATCTCTGGTAGGAATAAGAATGGTTTTGTGCTTAAAAACCTTAAACTTTTTTGGACATTTAGCTTGGTATTTTCAGATTTTTAACTGAAGCAAAATCTTTATGATTATGGCCAATGTAAGAGCCAGTTTAAGAATGAGTATTCTAGCAATTTTTGAAATTTGAGCAGTTCATTGCATTTATTTGCCATGATAATCAGAGGACATGGTCTGTGTCTTATGTCCTATGTCCCTAGTGTATAGGACACAGTATGCTCTTGATTAACCAGTAATTACAGTATTAGCGACAACAACAGTAATAAAAGCAGCTTACAGGTACTAAGCACTTACCGTGTGGGGGTTGCTTGACCTTGATATAGCTCCTTTAGTCAACAGACAGCCCTAGGACCCCTGCACTCTTAGCCCTAATTTCCAGGCATGAGGAAATGAACACAGAGGCTAAGTCACACAGTTGATTCCTTTGAGACTGGAACCTAAACCTAAATAGGTATCTCTTACCTGTGCGATGTACCTGGAGAAGAAACCAATGACTGATGATCTGATGCCGGTAATTAAGAATGGGTGTCAACTCTAATGAAAAAAATAAAACCCCATTGTCTTCTGCCTTCCAGAAAAAACTCCCTCTGACAGCTCTCGCTCAGAATATGCAGGAAGCATCAGCTCAGCTAGAAGACTCTCTCCTGGGGTAAGAATTGACTGCTATCAGAAAGAGAACCGAGCGCCCTGTGGGTTGTGGAAGTGGGTGGCTGGGGGGCGGCCTCCTGCGTGGCCAGAGGGACCGTGAGCGTGATGGCGTGGCCCATCTGCCAGGGGAACGGCTCAGGCCCCAGGGGAGGCTCCTGGGATGCTAGAGAATCTTTCTTTTAATAGAAGTGGGGATCGAGGCAACAGAGGGCTAATAACGAAGTAATTGATAGGTCAGGGTTTATTCTGCTGAGCCTGGATATAAAGAACGCAGTCCCTTCCCTGGTTCAGGTGTTGACTAGGATTTATAGGCCCTGACCAGTCCCTTCCAGTCCTTAAGAGTCTTTAAAGATGATCACCATAATGTCAGTGGAGGTCATCTCAAAACAGGGCCTTTGCTGAATTATGTGGACCTTTTCTTTCTTTTTTTTTTTAACAGTGATCATGTATTACATAGTTTTAAAATCTAGTAGTAAAGCTGTTTTCTTTGTAAAAGGAAAGGCTGACCTTTCCTTCCACCTGCTTCTCTACGAGGCTAGTGTCCTTGGATCCTGTCAGCTCTCTCTCCTGCTGTAACACGGGCCCTCCTTTTCCAGCTGGGTATGACCTTTGGATTTTTCAGCCCATTTCCAGGGTCCGCCATACTCTGCGCCCTATAGTTCTCTGTCGTTCTTTGAAGGGCACTGCCTAGGCCGTGAAGACAGAAAACAGATACAGTATAATGAACTTTACTATTATTTTCTAGCAGACAGAAAACAAAATAGAATAATGAACTTGATGTATGTTTTAAACGATTTTCAGAGTGCTTTTGAGAATGCTTGGTCTCCCCCTGATCCAAGGACCTAACCTTTCAGTGAGTTGTCACCTCACTGTATACACACATCCCACCCGTGCTCACACACAGTGTACCATTTTAAAGAACAAGCCTGTGGACTCACGCCCTAATAAATTTACAGCATTTTTAAGGCTCTATCGTGTAGCGCCCTAAGGTGTTCCCATCGTGGGGAGTGCGGAGCTGGCTCAGTGTGGGCTTTGGGGACCAGATTTAATGGATGTACATGTGTTGTCGGGGCATCTTGTTTTTTAAAGGAAGATGCTGGAGACGTGTGGAGATGCTGAGAATCAGCTGGCTCTGGAACTCTCTCAGCACGAAGTCTTTGTCGAGAAGGAGATTGTGGACCCTCTGTATGGCATCGCAGAGGTGGGGACTTCGGTGGGGGCTGGGCGGGGAAGGTTCGCGTGTATCTGAAATTTTAACCATCAGTGCTTTCGACATTTACGCTTCTTTTTGGAAATAAGGGGCGTAAGCAGAGGGTAAAAAGTCCTTTGCCTAAAGAGAAAAAACATTTGTAAATAAAGATCACACTTTCAGACGTTAAACTGAAAAGCCTGGAGCTCGTCCCATGTGGCATGTTCATGTGTTCTTTCCAGGTCGAGATTCCCAACATCCAGAAGCAGAGGAAGCAACTCGCCAAACTGGTGTTAGACTGGGACTCGGTCAGAGCCAGGTAAGAGGAAGCCGAAAACAACCCACAGTGCGGCCTTCCGTGACATCCCCAGCAGCCGTCCCCCTCCTCAACACAGATAAAGACCCCTGGTGGACAGAGAGGAGGTCGCCGCAGACTCACACGCCTGACTCACAGACCGAGTCACAACCCACTTACACCTGCTTTCCGGCCTCATTCTCCCAAGCATCGTAGCGAGATGGTGTTAGAACACCCTGCTTTTAATAAACCAACAATGAAAGGAGACAGGAAAAAAAACAAAAAAAACCTAAGTGTATTCAGGGAAGAAGAGACGGTTCTAAGAAAGACTAAGAGTGTTGCTCTTGGAGTAGTGGAGTGTAGGAATAAATAGATCTGTGATCTAGCAATCTCGAAGAGTCCCACTGTGTCAAGATACACTCGTGTGGTTTTGATTATTTTTCACAGTCAAGGGATTCTGTGCTCCACTCCATCCTAGAACAGGCATTCTTGCACATTGCATGTGCTTGTGGAGAACAGACAGGACTCAGGGAAGGGAGTAAATCATCCTTCCTTCCCAGAGCATAGTTAGTTTCATTTTTTAATTGTCACATTTTATCGAACCTCTCTTCCCCTCCTACTTTCTTCTCATTTGCACTTTCCTGTGGTCTCTTCCACAAGATGAAAGCTCTGCAGAAAGGGGAACTCAGTTTCCTTCCAGATAAAGGGAAAGAGCCTGACTGTAAATTTTAAAAACATGTAAAAAACTGCTTATGTTTTGTCAACCACCAAAACCAGGAAGAACTATATCTGAAGCTGTGTCTGCAAATAGATTAAAAAGCACTTTTATCTTTAATTCATCACTGCAGACCTTGTAATCTATTGTAATACTCAAATGTTTTATTGTGTCAGAGAAAACATCATGCAATACATTCAGAAAAGCTGGGGAAATAATTCAAAATACAATATAATTAACTCAAAAATAGAAAGAAAGAAATGCTGGTGCTCAACAAGGAAGAACTAAGTAAAACCAAGTGACCATCCCAGAGGGCTGATGTCAAGTGACCTGTCAGCGCTCCGGGCTCCAGCCTCAGCTCCATCTGTGAGGGCGTTTGTATCGATGACTCATATGAGAAGCATGGGGATAAGGGAGATGGCCCCCATAGGCCCGATCCTTTCTCATACCTTATACAGGGGTTGACAGGCTTCTTCTGTGAAGGGCCAGATAGTAAATATTTTCAGCTTTGCCACCCAGAAGCTCCCCGTTCCGGCTCCTCAGCTCTGCTGTTGCAGCATGGAAGTAGCCCTGGGCAGTGTGTAAATGCGTGAGCAAGGCTGTGTTGGAAGAAGACTTTATTTGCAAAACAGGTGGCTTTGCTGAGCCCTGCTTTGTTAATAGTCATCATTGCGCTCTTGTGAAACAGATGTGTTTATTTCTGTTTGGCAAATAAATGGAGACACAGCCACCATTTACTGACTTTCTGTGTGTCAGATGCTTTCACCGCAGATTGAGTCTGTAACAGAGCTGCATTTCCTTGTTTCTAAGATGCCATTGAGTGTCAGATGCACCACTGATCTAATACCCGACTTCCAGAGGGAAGTGAAATAGAAACACCACTGTATTAAATGTACAAATCAATTGGTAAGACACATCCTGATTTAACAAATGTTGAGATGATTAAAGGGACATCTAGAAATTAACACGTGGTGAAAATGGTAATTGCCACCACCTACCAGGCGCTTGCCACATGCCAGATACACATATGTGATATGTGAGTTCTTCCGATTCTCCCACCAATCCCTATCAGTTTGCCTCTTCGTGTTTTCAACAGACATGATGTAGGTCCTTACTGTGAACCAGACTCTATCAGATCCTAAATGCAGAGACCCTTCAGTGAGAGTTGCGGGAGGACAGGGGTTAGGAGGTTATGTGACATCCTCTGCTTTGAGAGGAGACTTGCATTACTTGCATGCATGGCGTGTCTGTGATTCGCTTTGGCCCTTAGACACAACAAACAGCAGAGCTAGGATTCTGAACACAAAGCCCATCATGTTCTTGCCACCTGTGTATGTGTGATTAGAATCTTGTGGCCAGAACCACCATCGGGGAGTGCAGGCTGCCCAGTGGTAGATTTTCGCTGAAGAAAAGCAAGGATGTTTTTATGGTTAATTAAACAAAGCTATGAATCACTCTTGCTGGAGTTGGTTGAGCAATATTATAGATGCCTACCTGCCCGGAATTTACATCTGCAACACACATATCTTGTAGGAGATTTCAGCACTGACTCTTCATCCTGCGTTCATGGCCCCCTTCATTTAATGATCAGAGAAACTGAAATAGATGAATATTTCCTCGTTAGTTTTACTTATTCCTGTTGTTTTCCCCTGGAGGAAAATGGTAACAGCTAACATCAAGTGGGACTCCCATCACATGCACACTCACATACATGGATGTTTGTTCTCTCCTTTGTTGCTTAGGACAGTTCTGGCAGGCAGACGGTATTTGTTTTCTTAGTTTTGCGGATGAGACAACCTGAGGCATAGAGAGGTTAGGCCATTGCCCAAGGTCACACAGCTAACGAAGGCAGAGCCAAGCTTTAGACTTGAGCCTGTCAGACTTCAAAGTCAATGCTTTTTCCGTCGCCAGCTTTGCTTCAGCAGGTTTACTGAAGCCTTACTGTGGAGGAGTGCACCACATCAGGAATGTGAAAGAGTGGGGCGGAGCCTTTTGAGGGCAATGCAGTCATCTGGGAAGCTTGATAAGATGCTAACATGGGTTCTTATCTGCATCCATATAATATCCATGTTTAAATTTGAAGTGCTAGAACTTTCCACAATAGCAGGTATGTCCATATTTAAAAAGAAGGCAAAACACACTTGAAAACTGAAGAGAAGTTGTTTTAGAGTGTTATTTCCCATGCACCGGCCCCCCACCATGACTATTGCTGTATAATTTGGGGGAAGGGAGTCCTGACTTACTGTGAAAGGAATGTAAACATTCCACATTATGTTTCAGATTTGCTGTAGCTGTTGTCTTTGGAATATTAATCCTTAAAAGTGATTTTAATTCTTTAAAGTGCTTTCACAGCTATCGATGACTAGCTCCATGACTGAAGTTCTGGCTTCCACTTGCTAAAAGTAGTCACAGGTCAGGACAGTTGTTGGCGGTGTTGTAAGGGGTCCTAAAGAGCAGCAACTGACCCCCAGTGGCACAGGGAACATTCTAGAACAAAGCAAGAGGACAAGGGGGTATTTATTTCATGGCAACGATCCCAAGATGGGACGCTAGAGGAAGAGGTTCCATGGACTGATTTCCAGCAGTGGGGCTTGCATGAGACAAGATGTGTCACTTCTGCTCGGAGCGGACAGCTGCTCCCAGCACTACGAGCATCCCGTCACGGCGGGAAGCCTGTGTCACTTTCGCCAGTTTCCTTTCTTAGAGGATAAACTCCAGAGAAGCTGGCGTCCTAGGTACTAACACCTGTCCCAGGTAGAATCAGCTTTGGGAAAGGAATCTGTCTCTGTTTGATCCTTGACTCCACAAGATTGCGTATATACGGTGGATACTCAGATAATACCTACCCCGTGCTTCTGCAGGTGGAACCAGGCTCACAAGTCTTCAGGAACCAACTTTCAGGGGCTTCCATCAAAAATAGATACCCTAAAGGAAGAGATGGATGAAGCTGGAAATAAAGTAGAACAGTGCAAGGTAGGAAAATTCCCTAATGAATGTGTACTTAAATCAGTCTTTTGGATTTTGCAAATGATGGATGAAAGGTCAAATATTGAAAGTTATTTCATGTCTTACGTAATTCCTATTAGAATTCCTTAAATTATATTCAAGGTGGTTTCTATTTTCTTCTTCCTTTTTTCTTTCTTTTCCTATTTTCTTTATATTGCTTTATAATCAGAGTAAAACATTATTTTTTTTTAATTCAAGTAGAATATTTTTTTTAAAACTTGATTAAAATGTCTAGGTTTATTTAAAATGAAGATTTTAATAGGTGTGTCTGTGGCTGATTCATGTTGATGTATGGCAGAAACTACTACAACATTGTAAAGCAATTATCCTCCAACTAAAAATAAATAAAGAATGGGGGGAGATAAAGGGAGAAAACTATAGAAAAACATTTCGTAAAAGTTATAGAAATTAAAATAATGCACAGTAAGCACAAAAATAGAATTGTATAGGTTTTCTAGAATGAATGCTATTATGTTTAAGAGTTGAATATATAGTAATGGGGTCATAATATGTCCATAGGAAAGGGAAGGATTATTTTTAAGATGTTGCTAGGACACTTGGTTTCTAACATGGGAGAAATATAAATTTGTATCTCATAAATTAAATTCCAGACTAGGTGGTTAAGTTATCTTATTATATATGCATTTATCTACAAAAATAGATGTTTATTCAAAATGTTATTTGAGGTGGTAAAGAAACAAGTCTTTGATGAGTCTTAGAATCATGGCCTGAGACTTTTCTTCCTCTTATTATATTCACCATTTTCCCAAACTGGTCTCTTCATTTCTAGGTAGCATTAGGACTGGATATTTTGGTTTATTCAGGCTGTGCTATAATCCACTTTTTTCCAAGATAGGAAACCTTGGACAATTTGCAATAAAATGACTTGTCAAAAATAATATAGTGTTTAAGAATTAATACTGAAGTCATGCCATAGCCTTTGCATTTAAAAAGATGGTAACCACACAAATGCTTCTGATAAAAGTCTCACACTGGCTTTTTCAGAGAGTTGTAGCTTTGCCATTGTCATTCATATCTGGTCTAACCTAGCTCTCGGCTGCTGGCTCCTTATGGGATATAAATTTGGCCAGCAGTTTGGCTGTCTGAACTGGTGCATTATGGGCTCTGATCTCTTCTCTGAACTTCCACACCATGGCTTGTCAGAACGTCAAACGGTGAAAACTTAGAAAAATATTTTCTGTCTCCTCCTCTCTTTATGTTAACTTCTAGGTAGTTTCCGAAGATCTAAGTTCTGTTTCACTGATTCTCTCTTTTGCTATGTATGATCTGATGTTTAATTAACATCAAGTTTTGAATTCCACTGACTATATTTTTCATTTTAAAGTTCTAATTCTTCAAGTCTGTCTTTTTTTTATAGTGTATTATCCTTTTTTAGTGTTTATTTCTTTTTTAATGTTTTCAGTCATTTATGTATACTTATTTTAAGTCTTTGTTCATTTTGTTTTCTTAAATTTTCTGGGAGGGTCTCCTTTATGGTGGACTGTTCTGCAGTTTTGTATCATGTATGAGCTTATTTTAAGAGGGACTTTATCTGTGGGCCTTCTTGGAATGAGGAATCAGTCTCCCAGAGAGTATTACCAGTCCAGGGCAATTTTAAACTAAACTTTCTCATTTTAAGAATTCCTAGACCACATATATAATCAACTCAAACTTCAAACCCTCATGAAAGTAGATCTGTGTTTGAGAACTCTCACAGAAATGTTTTACTTTCCCAGATCCAAAACCATATTCAAAACAGAAAGTAGTACACTAAAAATATATATATATGTGTGAAATTATAATACATATGTATATGAAAATTTGAAATATGGATATATCCAATTGCCCAATTTATCAGTTTTAAACAAATTCTTTAATTTTTGTGTAAGTAATTCATTTTGTTGTTGTTGTTCAGTCACTAAGTTGTGTCCAACATCTTTGTGACCCCATGGACTGCAGCATGCCAGGCTTCCCTGTCTTTCCCTATCTCCTGGAGTTTGCTTAAACTCATATCCTTTGAGTCGATGATGCCATCCAACCATCTCATCCTCTGTCACCCCCTTCTGTCTTTTCCTCCAGTGAGTTGGCTCTTCGCATCAGGTAGCCAAAGTATTGGAGCTTCAGCTTCAGCATCAGTCCTTTCAATGAACATTCAGGGTTGATTTCCTTTAGGATTGACTGATTTGATCTCCTTGCTGTCCAAGGGACTCTCAAGAGTCTTCTCCAGCACCACAGTTCAAAAGTATAAATTCTTTGGTGCTCAGCCTTCTTTATAGTCCAACTCTCACACCTGTACATGACTGCTGGAAAAACTTAAGCTTTGACTGTACAGACTTTTGTTGGCAAAGTAATGTCTCTGCTTTTTAATATGCTGTCTGGGTTTGTCATAGCTTTTCTTCCAAGAATTCTTTTGATTTCATGGCTTTAGTCACCATCTGCAGTGATTTTGGAGCCCAAGAAAATAAAAATCTGTCACTGTTTCCACTTTTTTCCCATCTGTTTGCCATGAAATGATGGGATCAGATGCCGTGATCTTAGTTTTTTAAATATTGAGTTTTACGCTAGTTTTTTCACTCTCTTTTACCCTCTTCAAGAGACTCTTTAGTTTCTCTTCACTTTCTGCCATTAGGGTGGTATCATCTGCATATCTGAGGTTATTGATATTTCTCCCAGCAATCTTGATTCCAGCTTGTGAGTCATCAAGCCCAGCATTTCACATGATGTACTCTGCATATAAGTTAAATAAACAGGTTGATGATATATAGCCTTGATGAATTCCTTTCCTGACTTTGAACCAGTCCATTGTACATTAGTTCAAATATCAAAAGTATAAAACAGTATAGACTCTTTCTTCTGCCCTTGTCCTTCTCCTAATTTCCACTGCTCCCAACAGGTAACCCCTGTTACTAAGCAAACCCTGTTGCTTTTTTTCCTAGAGGTGTTTTTATACAAACATGGTGGTAAAAATCTTTCCTCTCCCTCTTTTACGATGATAGTAACATACTATACCAGAAGTAGTGTTCTGTGTTTCGTGTCTTAACAAGGCATTTTGGTAATAAACCTTGATGATCTTTCCATGTCAGTCCATAATAAGCTTGCTTATTCTTTTCATCATCCCTGTGTATGAGTATACCAGTCATTTGGTGGACATTTAGTCTGTGGCTGTTCTATCACGTTTTGCTCTAGGCGTTCATGGAGATCAATTCTCAGATACTGTTTGCTTTTACTTCTCTTTTCTGCAATGACACATCTCCTCTTCCACTTACCCAGGATCAACTTGCAGCAGACATGTACAACTTTATGGCCAAAGAAGGGGAGTATGGCAAATTCTTTGTTACGGTAAGCCCTTTGCCCTGGCGAGACTTGAAAGCACTGTAAAAGTTGAGTCATTTTAGCTTTTTTTGCAAAAGATGTCATTTTTGGTTTTGCTCAGCCATTGTGTGTATGTCCATCCAATGCTAACGTTACTTTTGTTTTTGAATGTGGGTCTGTTCTCAGTTATTAGAAGCTCAAGCAGATTACCATAGAAAAGCATTAGCAGTCTTAGAAAAGGCCCTTCCCGAGTTGCGAGCCCATCAAGGTAACGTAACCTGCGTGCTGGCCTGACGCCTCCTTCTCGCCTCTGCCACTTCCGCCTCTGTTGTTCTTCACTCAGCTCCTTTGCATGCGTTTCCTCTGGACAAAGCTGCTCTGCCTAGGCGGGCACTGTTCCCCAGCACACTTTCATCTTCCCTTGCTGCATTCTCTAATTTCTTCCAAGCCCAAATTAACATACTAATGGAACATTCGCAGTTCTTCTGAAACCTTCAGTTGAAGAGAAGGCTGCACCCTTTGGGGGAGCGCCTGTTTTCCTGTCTTCTAAATAGGCTCAAAACCTTCTAGCCTCTAATTACCTTCTCCCAAATCAGTTATTTGTTCCATAGGGAGTTATTCTGGCTCTGGGATTCCAGGAGCATACATTCTCGGGAAAAAGTTGGGGGCTTCCCAAAGGAAATTTTAGAAGCCAGTACCTGATACTGCAGCATTAGGCACATAATCAGTATGATCAGGTCATGAGAACGTGACCACCTCGTTCAGATCTTGTTCTCATCAGCTCACTTTACCCGTGGCGTTCAGGCACATTGCTGATCCTACCCTTGGGTTATGAGCAGTCCGAACTTTCCCTTGATGTTTTGTGTTGATTCTAATCCCCTCTGATTTGCTATCAGAGTATCTCCCAGCAGAGATCAGTAAATGATCAGACAGTGCTGTCCCTTTTAGATGTGTTACACACTTTGCCTTATGGTATGGTCCTGGCGTTTGGAACATAAGTGCCCCCGACAGAAGCATTGGTCTTGAGCTGAAAGAGGATTAAGCCAGGCGCTGAGTGTGACGAGTCTGTGATTGTGAAACATACACGTGTGTGCATGGGTGTGGCTGTGCACACACACTGGCCCCTCAAGAATACCACTCATCTCTCCTAAATATTAATAGCAGGCAATCCCAACAGATAGTCTTTGTGCCTGAGAGCTGTTAGATTTCACAATTAGAAATTTGTGTCTTGCCTGACCCTTTAGCCCATCTCCCACCTGATCGCGTCTCCTAGTTCATGGGTAACGGGGTTGAGTTATAGTGCAGGGGAACGACGCAGCCGGCGAACACTCAGCCTTGCAACGGGCCAACTCTTGCTGGCCAAGGTCAGAGCGCCAAGAGCCTTTAGTTATGAGATACCTATGCGCAGTGCCCTACACAGGACAAAATAGTCAACATCTTAGCCTTTGATGTTAGCCATCTTAGCCTTTGAATGGCTTCAAGCCTCGTCTGGAAGGGTTGGCTAAAGGACACAAAAAAGAAATTTCTTTAGCAACTCCACTCCCCCCTTCTGAAAGTTCCCATTCTATTTTTACCCAAGGCTATTTTCCCTGGAGAAGCATGTCAGAAAGTCATGGGGAACAGGCAGGGGCAGGCAGGCGTTTTAGGAGGGACAAGGGAAGCCGGCGTGTGGCAGGAGCAGCCGTCGAAAGAAATGAGGTTCTTTCTCTCTCTCTGAGGCTGCCACCTTCACCCAAGCCTTGCAGTCCAGCCCCTTCCACCTCTGGCCCCAGTCTGCCTCTTTATCTTAGTTCTGTCTTCCTCTTCCTTCTCTATTTCTAGAAGCACTCAGAGTGTCCTTATGTTAGGAAAAAAGCTCAACCTCCCACCCAGTGCCCTGGTCTCCCACTCCGGTCGTCTGGCCTTTGTTCGTCTGACCTTTGTTCGGTACCTGCTTGTCCTCAGCATGGTGCCTTTCATCATGTTCTCCTTTGTTTTCTGGGAGGCTGTTCAGATGACTCATTTCTTTTGACCACCTCAGTTTTCTAACCAGCTTCCCACCCGTGTGCTTTGTGGTCTGATTTCCACTCCCAATCACTTTGCTATTAAAACCAAAAATGGAAAACAAAAAGCACTGCAAATCCCGATGGGCCAATGAACTGGATTGTCAGATCCTGGCACGTGGCATGGCTTGAATGGGCTCTTCTTGCCAGTTTCCCCCACTCATTTTGTGTTTTCCACCATTGTTGGGGCTGTGTTTTCTCCACATCAGACAGAGCCTTTTCTGAGACCCAGTCCTTGCTCCTGTGTTCTTCTACCTCCTGTCTTTCCCACCTTTTCTCTCCAGGCCTCCTGCCATCTGCATCTTCATCCACACAGCCTCAGGGTCAGGCGATGACTGGCTGTCACCTTAAACTCAGCATAGCTCAAGGAGCACCCTGATGCTCCCCCACACCAGCTGGCCTTTTCCTCCGCCTGGTCTCCTCGGTACCTCCTTTCCCCAGACAGTCCAGGTTTCAAACCTCGGAGCCCTCTTTTCCTTCCTTTCTGAAGTCTCCTCTCCATTCCCACTCATGGCCCCCATCGCCTGGTGCAAGAATGTGGACTAAAGTGTCAGTTCCCAGACTCAGGATCCCTGGTCTACTTAATTCCTATCCACCTTCTAAGACTTTCACCAAGCTCCCCTCCTTGAGAAGCCTTCTCTGACAACTGAAGCCAACAGTGAACACTTGCATCTCCCAAATCGCTCTAGCATTTATGGTCTACACCAGAAGTCGCAAACAGCCGTTTCTCACTTAAAAAAAAAATTGTTTTAAACTAATTGCCATCATTTGAAAACCTTGACAGTCCTAATCTCTGGCTTCTCTTGGAAGTTCAGAGGGCCTGGTGATGCTGGATCTGCTTTCCCGCATGGTGACATGGGTCCAGCTCCCAGGAACGGCTGCCGCCTTGGGGCAGACCACGCACACGCTGCCCACCGGATCGAGCTCCGACAGCGCCCGCCGGGCCCCCGCACACAGTTAATGTTTGCGACCCTTGTCTATACCATTTTTCTGCAGTGACTTAGCAAACACGTCTCATCTTGTTAATTTCTGTTGTCTGTTTACATGTGTGTCTTGTGTTCTCTCGTCCCGGGGAGTGGGGCTGGGGGGGTGTTCTCTGTGACCTCTGACCCAACACTGCAGGTCCGTCACTTCAGGGGTCTATCATTTGAGGGGCAGCCCCGGTGGTGAAGTCTGACTCCGAAGTGGTCTCTAAGCCAACAGCTCTCACACCCATCCTCTGCCAACGTTACACCAAGGTGGGGTGGGACACCCTGTCCGGTGTTGACCTGAAAGTTCCGGCCAGGGTCTGGAGTGCCCGCCCCTCAGCATCGCAGGGTCAGGCACAGGGAGGTGATGGCAGGAATCATTTGCAGAAGTCCCTGGGTGATTCTGGTGTGTCCCCCCTAGGGGAAGGTCAGCTGGCCCCCTTCTGCCTGTGTTGAGAATCATTGCTTTAAATAAAGGGACGAAGTGTTCGAGGTAAGATCTGGCCTTTGAGTGGGCTGTCCCAGAGCTCTGTCTTCTGAGAAGGGCCAGGCCCCTGGGTGCTGGTTGTGTTCAGAATTCCACGGACCAGGGCTGGGGCCCTCACCCCTTCCTTTAAGGTCCTAGGGTAGGAATTTACATTGGCCCTCTCCAGTCCTGTATGATAATGCTCAGCTTGTGTTTACATTTTTAAGAAATTATTTCCTTTCTCAATGGAAGGAGTCAGTTTCTTGTACCCTCCTTGCTCTTTCCACCAAAGAAAAGCAGCCTTTGACCTCTGACTTGCCAGGAGCGCCCAGGTCTCCAGGCTTGTGGGATCTCCCTTTCCTTCCTGCAGTGGACCCCTCCTGCCGTCACGTGCGGAGTGGTGTCAGAGCCACACTGGGGTAACACTGCCCACCTGGCATTCAAGATTCGAATAGCGAAGTGGCTGAAGGACACGGTCCACATGCCGAGAGGAACCCTTCCTGAACCACGTGTCCCAGTGGAGTAGCTTCCACCAGCCAGTTTACTCTCTTTGGCTTCTGCATGCATCTCCATCAGTGCTGGCTCTCCATAGGCCCCCAGGCAGCCCGGGTCCCACCACCACTTCTTACTATCCCTCATACATCCATGTCATAAACGCCTATTTCTGTCTTCCTGCTTTCTTGTACGTCTTTCTGCTAAGCCGCCTCACATCTTTCGTGCAATGAAGCAGCGCACATGACCGGAAAATAATACACAGCGTTGCTTTGCTGCTGTTGGCACAGCCTCCAGCCCTAAGCTGCCTTGGGGGGCTGCGTTCTCTCCACTCAGAATCCTGGGCAGTTTGGGGGGCTGGCACCAAGAGGTGCTGCAGGTCCTGGGGTAGGAGTTTACAGTGGCCGTCTCCAGTCCTGTTTGATAATACTCGGCTGGTGTTTACATTTTTAAGAAATTACTTCCTTTTTCAGTGGAAGGAGTTGACTTCTTGTCCTCCAGATAGAAGGCCAGTGCTGCTTTGGATGGCTAGATCAATTTCTTTTCAGGGAAAACTCTGTGCTCAGGGCCAGAAGCCCCATTGCAGCTTCCACTGGGCATCTCACATCAGGCACCACATGGGCGTGTCGGGCTCTGTTCCACAGGTCACCTTCCCAGCCTGGCACATACGTTGTACTCTAGTAAGCAGTAAATGACATGAGCAAAGAGGACACGTCTCCCCCTTTCCCAAAGCCTTAGCTACGGGCTGCTAAAAAAAAAAATCCCTTCTGGTGGTCTGGGGGAGGAAATAACTTGGTGTCGCCCGTGAGGTGGTCGAGTGTCTCACTGGAGAGTTTGCTGCTCTAGATAAGTGGGCGGAGAAGCCCGCCTTTGGGACGCCTTTGGAAGAACACCTGAAGCGGAGCGGCCGCGAGATCGCCCTGCCCATCGAGGCCTGTGTGATGCTGCTGCTGGAGACGGGCATGAAAGAGGAGGTGAGGGGCCCCGCCGTCCCAGCCGGTCTCCCCGGACCAGTGGCTCTTGAACCGCATTCACTGTGACCACATTTCACACTGAAACCCTGTCCATGTTACCTTCTGTAGACATGGAATGAAAGAGAGCTTTCACAGAGCAATATTTACCTTGCCTACCTGCAGTACACTCTGCCCACCACTTTTTTTTTGGTCCCATTTGATTATTTCATTTTACACTGTGATCATGATTTGTGAAAATGAATTTCATGATGTACTACTAAACCAGAGCTTATGTGAGCTTTAGTTTCCGAGAGCAAGATTCTTACATTTGTGTAGTACTCTGTGAGGTGGGGGAGGGTGGTATTTACAAACTTTATTTTATGAAATCCTTACCCCAGGTGGTGCTAGTGGTAAAAAAAAAAAAAACAAACAAAAACCCATCTGCCAATGCAGGAGACGTAGTGTTCCATCTCTTGGTCAGGAAGATCCTCTGGAGGAGGGGATGACCACCCACTCCAGTATCCTTGCCTGGGAAATCCCATGGACAGAGAAACCTAGCAGGCTAGAGTCCATGGGGTCACATAGAGTTGGACACAACTTAGCAACTGAACAACAAAAGCAAATAGCTGATTAACAATGTTGTGATAGTTTCAGGTGAGCAGTGAAGGGACTCAGCCTTACAGATACATGTATCCATTCTCTTCCAAACTCCCCTCTCATCCATAACTTTGAGCAGAGTTCCAGGTGCTATACTGTAGGTGATACTAATGGCTTTTTGTTGTCTTTAGGGCCTTTTCCGAATTGGGGCTGGGGCCTCCAAGTTAAAGAAACTGAAAGCTGCTCTAGACTGTTCTACTTCTCACCTGGATGAGTTCTACTCCGACCCCCACGCTGTAGCAGGTGAGCTCCAAGGAAGAAGGCGCCTCAAGGTGGTGACAGAGCATCAGTTGAACATTCAATATTAAGTTTAAGTAACGGATAAAACTGAAATGGTCTCCTTAATAGATTTAAGGACAAAACTGAAATGACAAAACTCAAAGGTTTGTGTGCTTTCACTTACACATACATACCTTTTCCGTTCCTGTTTTGGGGGTTTGTTTTATTTTCCTGATTATTAAGTAAAAGTGAAACCAGCTTATAATCCAAATGTTTGGGGCGTGCTTATATTCTCTTCCCTTTTTTTACCCCCAAATCTCCATCTGTGTAGAGAAATGATGTCTGTTAAAATTACTTTGAAGCTAATTTTACTTTCTGTTGATCTCTCAATATATTTAACATGGGACAGAAATTGTCTTATGAATATTTCATTCTCTAACCACTCCTGCCATTTCATGATTTGTTCTATGTATTGTGAATGGTTATAATTGAGGTCATTTGAATTTGCAAAATAATATATCCTGAGAGTCCCAGCCTTGCCCCTTGTCACACTCAAAAGAGGGTGTCACTAATTTCAGGTGCTTTGAAGTCCTATTTACGGGAGCTGCCTGAACCTTTGATGACTTTTAATCTGTATGAAGAATGGACACAAGTTGCAAGGTAAGTGTAAAGAACACCAAGTTGTTTTTTTCTTCATTGATTTACTTTTAACTGAAGGATAATTGCCTTACGATACTGTATTGGCTTCTGCTATGCACCATCATGAATCAGCCATAGGTATACATGTCCCCTCCCTCTCGACCCTGCCTCCCACCTCCGGCCCCATCCCACCCCTCTAGGTTGTCACAGAGCACCGGTTTGAGCTCCCTGAGTCATAGCAAATTCCCACTGGCTGTCTATATTTTACATACGGTAGTGTATATGTAAAGAACACCGAATTTTAAAAGTTAAAGAAAACAATGTAATACTCTGTCCCGTTTGTAAATCATCTTACTCTTGGGGACCACAAAACAACAGTAAAATAAGGTATTTTGAGCTGTGTGGGAACTCAGCTGTGTAATAATATAATGTTGACATGATCAGTAACAATAGTTGATACTGAGCATTTGCAGTGTGCTAAGTACTATACTAATCTTTATGCCCATGACTTCCTGTAGCAAATAATTCATAACATGAAAGGCAGAAATGGTTGTTAGCCTCACTGTTCAGATGAGGAAACTGAGGCTTGTGGAAGATTGGTGTCACTTAACTGACAGAGCTTGGAATCCATAGCCAGACCCTGCTCAGAAGCCTGAGTCCCTGATGTTTATCTCTTCCCCTGCGACCCTGGCTTCTGTCTGTCCAGAAGTAGTTGGTTTTAGGCAAGGCAGAACTTGTTGCAAAAGTTCTAGAGGCTTCTCCCTGGCCCCCTCCTGGTCAACTTGTCCTTCCCAACTGACCCACTTCCTCTCAGAATGCCTAATTCCTCACCTATAAGGGGAGGGGAATATACCTCCCCTCCCCTCCCTGTATCTTCAGATGCTCACCTGTTCCCATCAAATGAGCCGTGTTTAGAAATAAGCCATGTGTTCTGATGAGTCATTCGTCATCAGTTGAACCAGGCATTTGGGCTTTTTTTTTAAGGTATTGACTTTTTTTTTCTTTAAATATTTTGTTATTTTTGGTTGCATCAGGTCTTAGTTGCAGCATGTGGGGTCTTACTGCCCCGACCAGGGATCGAATCTGTATCCCCTGCATTGGAATGCAAATTATTAACCACTGGACCCCCAGGGGAGCCCCTGAGCTTTTCTCTGCAGCTGTGGAGCAAGGCTTTATGCCTGGTAGACAGTGAGGATTTTAAAGTAAGAGTGACTCTTGGTCCAGGGTCCTTGGCACCAGCATGGGCACTGCCTGCTCTGAGCACCCACATCTGTGGGGCCAGAGGAGCCCACGGAGCAGTGTCAGGTCAGGGGTCTGGAGTCCGTGTTGGGTGGGCTACTTCCCTCCTCCTAGATCTTGGTTTTTCTCCCTGGCTCGTCCCTGGGAGGAAGTAAGTGGTGAAAGAAGGAATCTGTCCACTGGTGTGGTGACTCTCTACTTGGGAGATGTCCTCCCCTCCCAGGGACACGTCCACTGGCCTCTGGAGTGTCATTGTGTTTAACCCCTATGCACAGCTCTCCAGGCTGGTTCAGCTGTGGAGGAGGTTTTAAGTCCGAAGGTGTGTTGTGTGAGCAACTTCTAACGCCCTCTCCTGCTGGCGGGCAGAGTTGACTCTTGCCCTGCGGGCTCTGAGCTGACCCTTTCTGGGTCTGTGAAAGCTCGCGCATTGAAACTCTGCAGCAGCAGAATTCCTGTAATTGCTTCAAAACAGAAAGGGCTTCTTGGCCCGAAGCCTTCGGGCAGTACTGAACGCAGGGAGAGCCCTGGGGATTGGGGTGCTAGGAGCTTGGCCCGCTCATCTGCTGCTGGGCCACCCTTGGGACAAGAGACCTGAGCCCCGGATGCTATACATGAATATACACATTGTCTAGATAGAATTTTCAGAATGCCTCCTGTGTGCCAAGCATTGATCTAGGTGGTTTCTCATTGTTCTGTCTCTGAAAGGTCACAGTCACTTGGCAGAATTAACATTCTTATCCCTAGTTTGGCATTTCAGGAGATTGAGTCTTAATGAGATTGACTAACTGCTCAGTGTATGTTAGTTAGTGTTTGACTCCACATTTGTTTTCTTGCCAAAATCTGTGCTTTCTAATTAAAGTTTTTTTTAATTTAATTTTTTATTTTTTGGCTATAGCCTAGCATGTTGGATCCTAGTTCCCCAACCAAGAATTGAACTTGCGCCACCCACCCACCCCCACCCCTACCCCCACCCCATGCATTGGAAGCTTAGAGTCTTAACCACTGGACCACCAGGGAAGCCCCTTTAATTTTTTTTTTTTTAACCTTGGCTGTGCCACACGGCCTGCAGGATCTCAGTTCCCTGACCAGGGATTCAACCTGGGCCATAGCAGAGAAAAGTGCCGAATCCTAACCACTAGAAATTGCTGTGCTGTTTTCCAACTGTGCTTTTTCTGTCAGTGGGGGCATCGCTGCTAATATAGCAGATGAACACAGGTATTCCTAAGATGAGTATTAATAAATGGTTATAAATAATTTTTTTTCCTCAGTGTACAGGATCAAGACAAAAAACTTCAGGATTTATGGAGAACATGTCAGAAGTTGCCACCACAAAATTTTGTTAACTTTAGGTATGTATGATTGGCATTCTGCAAATTAAGCCACCGAGCTGCAGTGAAGAAAGGTTTAATCCGCAGCGGAGAGGTCATTGGATTCAAGCATGTTTGGCACATCAAAACCATGCTCTGGAGGGTAGCTCAGGGTTGCTGGGAGTGGGGCTTGACATATGTTACTGTGATGCATCTGAGCACGGGTATCATGCCTGCCATCGGTAGGTACGTCTCCTGACCATTTCATCACTGCAGCTGTTGGGAAAAAGTTCTTATGAAAACTTTGACTGACAGTATGTTGGATTTGGAGTCCAAATTGTCCAATATCTAAAAGGCAAAAATTCAACAATAGTTGTCCTTTCTGTAATGTCTTTCACATATGCTACATAATTTATTTGAAGTGGAGTACAAATCATCCTGCTAAATAAAACTTTAAGAAATGAAGACTATATATTAGTTTGTGGAATGGCTGTGTTTGTAGGAAAATTTGCCATGGAATAAATTTCTAGTATTTAACTTCAGTTTTCTCTTTGACTTAAAATGTAACTTTGAAGAAGCACAGAGAGTAGTAAAAAAGAAGTAAAAAAGGTAGCCCGAGATAATAAAGTCATTTAAAACCAAAGAAAATTTTGTAAGAAGATATGATCTGAAACAACAAATACTTTACTAGTGAAATTTCTGGTATGTCACCTAACCTTTAATTTCAGTCTTAGATCCTATCACTAAGCTCTAAAGCTAAATATTCTAATATTTAGCTAATATTTTAAAATCTAAATATTTTAATATCTTAGCTATCAACTTTGCCTTATGAATGTGTTAAATTTATAATCCCTTATTTGATTTATTTAACACACCCAGCTTGTAATTGCAGGCACTCTTTGTTCAATGTCTTATGATGGAAACTAAATTACAGTTCTTGGTACTTTGGGATTTGAGCTTTTATTTCGTTTAACTTACTCATTATAATTTTCACTAATTGTTTTTTGACTAGGGAGGACATTTCCATGGTTCAAAATTCAAAGATGTACAGTGGAAAAATCTCTTTCCTCTTCTTGTCTCTTAGCCATCTACTTTCTCTCCTGAGAAACAACCTGTGTTTTCAGTTTCTTGTATATCCTCTCAGCAAGAGTTAATAGATGTAAAATCAAATATATATATATACACACATATATGTCTGCACACATATCCACAAACATGTCTGTCACACCTTTCACTCTTTTTTTTAAACCAAATGGCAATGTATATTATGTACATCATTTGCCTCCTTGCCTTCTTTGCTATAATACACATCCTGGAGGTTTGTCCATATCGGTATGTAATAAATTTTTATGGCTACATAGTAGTCTACTGTATGGATATGCTGTGATTTGTTTACTCAGCCCCCTCTTGGTAGGTAGTTGGGTTATTCTTAATTTTTTGCTTTTATAGTGCTATTCTTGTACCTGAGAGTATATGATAAATTGGATATTTTCATAATTAAAGCCTAAAGCATTCTCATATATAGTTTCTTTTAAACAATAAACCTGTTCTTCTATTTTTAAAATCACGTTTGTAAAAAAGAAATTTTGTTCATATTAAGAGCATATTGACCCACTGTTAATCATATTGTAATCTATTTCAGGGTAGAGAGATAGGGTATAAAGGAAAAACAGATTAGAAATATATAGCACATAGAGATTGAATCATTGAGGTTTACATTTGAGCTGTTTTCCTGCTCCAAGCTCTGAACTATCTGTTCCCTGAAACAAAGAACAGGCACTTATGGAGAAGGAAATGGCAACCCACTCCAGTATTCTTGCCAAGAGAATTTCATGGACAGAGGAGCTTGGTGGGCTAGTCCATGAGGTCACAAAGAGTGGGACAATAAAAGCTACTTCAATAACCAGATAAAACAAAGAAAACACACTTAACCCAAGGCAGCTTCGGGTTAAGTCACACCCTGCACTTAGCATCTGTGCGATCTGGGGCTGAGCACCCCCTGGGCAGGAAGGTACTGCTCCTCCAAGTGTTTCAGAGTAGATGCTTTTCTCCTCTCTTTTGTTCCATAGGTATTTAATCAAGTTCCTTGCGAAGCTTGCTCAGACCAGCGACATTAATAAAATGACCCCCAGCAACATTGCAATCGTGTTAGGCCCTAACTTATTATGGGCCAAAAATGAAGGGTGAGTAACTGTTTCCCATATCCTATTATCTAAGTTCTGCTTTCCACCTGATGGGAAGGGTAGACATGAAACTTGCTTCTGAAGACGATCTTTCCCTTATAGCTGACTTTCTCAGACCTTACTGTGCACTGGGTCCTGTCCCACAAGCTGGTCACACAGAGGTGTAAGAGACTTTGTCCCCGTCCTCCAAGGCCCCCAGTCCTGGGCAGACAGGCAGGTGAAAGGCGATCGTGCGGTGCTAAGCTCCACACACACGTCTGTGCACCATCATGAAGGAGGAACACAGCTCGGGCTGCGAAGAGGAGGGGATGGCACTTGGCTGATGATGGATGAGTGGCCATGGCACAGAGGGCATGAAAAGGCCCTGGTCTCTGTGTTTGGGGCTGGGGGTGGGGTGTCACGTGGTCTCATATAACGTGAGCACAGGGGTCATGAGGCTATGGCTGAAATTTATGGAACCACTTTATGAAGGGCCTCATGCATCTTGCTGAGATGTTAGGAACTTATTTTATGGGTCATGCTGGGAAGAGGGCATCAAGATTTCTCAGCAGAAGAATCACTTGAGCCAATTGCATTTAGAAAGGTTATTTGTTGGCTCTGAGAATTGTAGATTGACTGGAGAAGAGGTATCTAAGAGGTCAACTAGAAAGCGTCTGGGAAGCCACTCATGTTGATGTCTGCCACATAACCTTTTGAAGTCGGTGATCTGTCCTCATTTTTACAGATGAGGATGCTGAGGCTTAGAGAGGACAAATAATTTGCTTATTGTACAGCAGGGAAGTGGTGGGGCCCGCAGGATCTGTCCTTAGCTTTCACCACTCTTCCCTGCCTCCCCTCACTGCTCTTCAGCTTTGTAAAACTATGAACGGTTCAAGTTGCCATTCAAAAAATATAAGGACTTTCTGAATCAAAATTTTTCTATCTTTAATTCATCAATTTCCTCATGTTATGTCCACTCTTGTTTTGGAAATTTGTAAATTTATAATTTATAAAATTACTTACAAAGATCCAACGTCATAAAGCAAAAGATAAGTGGATGTAAAAGCTAACTACATAGTGCATCGTATCCTCTAGCAAATAAATTACAAGGTAGACCAAAGAGGTAAATATAAACAGTGATGTAAACGTAGCAAGTAAAAAAAAAATAAATATAAATGCGTCAGGTAAATATTTATTAGCTTTGAGCATATAATGTAAGAGGGTTTTATAAGCATAAAAGCAGCTTAGGAAACAAGTCAATAAGTCAAAAAGCTCCTTAAATAAACGGCAATTCACAAATGGGGAAGGAGTTCCTCTAAAAATATCCAAATATATAAAAAGGTCTTGAAATCAATAGGTAAACAATACCTCCTCAAAAAGAAAAATTGGCCAAGAACACCAGTGAACTGTTCCTCCCCAGTGCTAAGGTTCTAAGGCAGGAGGATCAGAATCCGGGTGGGTGGAGGGGAAGTATGAATGGGAGGGGAGGGTGATTTTCAGGCAGAACTTGGATTCAGATTCCAACTAATCTGGAATTGAAAGGAGCTAAAACTTTCACGTGGTTGGAAATCAGAGCAAAAGTATTCTTCCCAGTGGAAAGACAGGTTCAAGTGATAAAAGGAGGGAGGAAGTAGGTTTGGAACAGTCGGATGTGGGATCCAGTGTCCTCTCTTATATGGAAAACTGCGGAACAGTCCTGACGCTGTGCAAATGAAGTGCAGTGCGGAAGCTGAGGCTCTGAGCATGGTTGGTGCTCAATGTCAGGCCCTTGCAGCCCGTCTGCCGTCCTGTGCTCTGACTCTGGGCTGGGTGTGAGCTCCGTAATGGCAGGAACCGCAATTCTTTATTTTCGTTCTTGTGAGCCCTGGCATTCAGACACTGTCAACTTCTGAACGCGCACCTTGGGACCAGTCCACATCAGTACATGACAACCTTAGTTAATATGTGTAAACGCAGAGCCCAGGTCTTCTGTGATAAGAGACACCCTGAAACACCGCGTGTGCTTGGTTGCATCATAGCCATGATCACCATTGTGTATGTGATCCGGGGTCTTAGACAGTGTGACTGCCATGGGCAAGACTATGGAGTGGGAAAATGCAGCCCTGTCCCCAGACAACTGAAAACCAGCATTCTAAGACATCACTGGTCACTGACTTACGTCGTACTTGTTAGCACAGACTAAGGAGTGAGAGCTGAGTTAGGGTAATTTTTCTTCCTGGGTGATCACTGCCACACTCCTGGGCCAGGGCCTGGTGGATCTCATTTTTGCCTTTGTACTTAAATGTTTTATCCTTTTGATATAATTGAATTGCCCTGACTCAGCCTGCAGAAATTGGAGGCTGCCCTGGGGAGGTGGTTTAACGCTGTCAACTTCCTTTGCAGAACGCTCGCTGAGATGGCAGCTGCCACATCCGTCCACGTGGTTGCAGTCATCGAACCCATCATCCAGCACGCCAACTGGTTCTTCCCCGAAGGTGACTGCCGCTCCGATTTCACTGACACGCTAATACATAATAGTAGTATAAACAGTCTTTCTTTGTTGTTTGTCTTTGAAGTTTTCATTGTGGTAAAATACACATAACATGAAACTACCTTTTTAAGTGTACAATTCAGAGGGATTAACTGCATTCCCAGTGTTGTGCAACCATCATCATCTATTTCCAAAGCTGCTTCATCGTTCCAAACTGAAACTCTCTGCCCACTGACCAATAAGTATACATTATCTCTGCCCCTCAGTCTCTGGTAACTGCTAATACTGTCCTACTTTCTGTCTCTGGGAGTTGGTGATGGACAGGGAAGCCTGGCATGCCACAGTCTGTGGAGTCACAAAGAGTCAGACACAACTGAGCAACTGAACTGAACTTTCTGTCTATGAATTTTCCTGTTCTATGCGTGTCCTATAAGTAGAATCATAGAATGTTCAACCCTTTGTGTCTGGCCTATTCCATTTAGCATAAAGATTTCAAGGGCCATCCATGTTGTAGCATGTATCAGAATTTCATTCCGTTTGAAAAATCTGAATATTCCTTGTATGTATAAATAGCATTTTGTTTATCTGTTAGCTGATAGATGGGCATTTAGGCTGTTTGCACCTTTTTGACTATTGGTAATTGGCTGTTCTAAACATTGGTATACAAGTACCTGTTTTAATTTCCAGGCCAGTTATTTTGGGTACATATCCTGGAGTGGAATTGCTGAGCTATGTAAGAGTTCTATGTATAGACAATCTTTTTAAGGACACAAATGCATAAGTAATCCGTCACATTGCCTTTACTTTCTCACGCTTCTTTTTAGACCCTTGGCATTCCTGTTTTCACACAATAGTAACGTCACTGTTGGGTATTTCACTTTGTTTCACGGCACACGGAGTCATCCGTTCAGCCAGTGTATGTTGAGTACTCACTAGGTGCATGTGTTTGCTGGTAAGATGTGCTGTCTTCCCTGGAGAAGGAGACCTGATCATCAGGGAAACTGTAGCACGTGACACATTAGAAGGAAGGAGGAGGGAGAATTTCACAGACTCAGGTGTCAGGCACAGAGGGCCAGGGATGGCTCTACAGAAGAGGTGAGACTGACATGCAGGCATCCTCAGGGGTGCAGGGCCCCTTTCGGGTACTGGTTGGGAGCCTGGCCCTCCCGCCCCAGCTTTGCCCAGAGCAGCCCAGCTGTCACCCTCTGGAGTGTAAGCTCCTTGAAACCTGGTCAAGCACCTCTCTTCTCCTCTGTCTTTTTTCTTCACGGTCATCTTTCTTCTCATCTGTCTCTTTCCCTGAGTTCCCGCCATCCAGAATCACACCCCAGTCATGTAAGGATGCATAGTGAATGTGTGATAGATAAGTGATAATTGGCATTCTGCCCAGGGTTTCCTTTTTTTTGGAGGGGGTCAGTGTTTATTGAGGTGTAATTTGCATAAATTAACAACTGACTGTACAGTGTAATGATTTTTAACAAATATATCCAGTGTGTAGCTGCCACAATGATTATATAGACTATATCCATCATCCCAGAGAGTTCTTTCATGACCCTTTTCAGTCATTCCTGTCATTCAGCCTGTGGCCATCACTCATCTGCTTTCCGTGTCTACAGTCTGCCTTTTAAAAATTTTTATATAAATAAGAGTGTGGAGTGTAGTCTTTTGTATCTGGCTTCTTTCATTTAGCATCATGCTTTTTAATAAGTTCAGTTGCTCAGTCGTGTCTGACTCTTTGTGACCCCACGGACTGCAGCACCCCCAGGCTTCCCTGATCATGCTTTCAAGAGCCAAGATTTCTTTCGAGAAAACAAGTCTTCAGAACCTGCTGTAGACAGTATGAAGTTGATACTGCCCTTTTTATCTATTTAATAGTAAGCTGTAAATGTCTTGTTTTTTCTGCTTCCAGTAAGTAGTCACCCACGCTCAGTCCTCTTCCCTATTCCGTGATCTTTTTTTTAAGAAAGGAGAAAGCAGGGAATTGTGTAACTTGGATGCTGAATCATACCCCTCCCCCAGCTCTAGTTTTCTTACTTTACCCCCCACCCTGGTTTGGTAAACTGTCCTTAAGAAGATGAGGTGCCTGGGGCTTCCACTTGTGAAATAGTGAGGGCTCATGGGTGAAAGAATGAGTCTCCTATCCCAGTGGGGTGTTCTCCAGCTCTCTTGACCCCCGTGCGCTATGTCTAATTTACACATTTCTTTTTCTTCCGACAGAGGTGGAATTTAATGTGTCAGAGGCGTTCGTACCTCTCACCACGCCAAATTCCAATCACTCATCCCACACTGGAAATGACCCTGTCGACTCGGGGACCCTGGAGAGGAAGCGGCCTGCCAGCATGGCGGTGATGGAGGGGGACCTGGTGAAGAAGGAGAGGTGCGTTCAGAGCTGTGGATTTTCACGGTGGTGGGAGATGGCACAGGGAAGAGTCGGTGGACCCGTGGTCCCTGGTCCCGCCAAAGTGGACCTGTCATTCGGGAGCGACTCAGTCTGCTCCCAGGCCTGTTAGAGTCCAGATAGTTTCAGGAATTCGGCTCTAGTTCATTGCAAACATTAATCTGCCCCCAAAGTAGGTGTGTAGCTGTCAGTTAACACTCGTACCTGACACATTCAAGCTTTGCTTGGTGGTCTGTGATGAGCCCTACACAGTAGCATCACATACATGTTATGAATTCACCTAAATGTACTTGATTGGAGAAAAAGAAAAAAAGAGTTAAATATTGAGGATGTCTGTCCAGGAGCGAATGTGAGAACAACCCACCTCTCATGGTGATCTGTGTGAGCTGGTGTCTAAAGACACACGTGTTTAGTACAACTTGGTTCCTCACTGGATGCCAACCATAGAAGCCTCAGTTTTTGCCAGTTCTGGAAGAACAAAAGCTGTGTCGGACTTAGTAAGAGACAGTACTAGTCTCTATACTAGGCTCCTTGGGTGATCTGTGGGATTTTCAAAGGTTATTAAGGCTATTTGTGATTTCTGCCTTCAGATGCCAATCTGTCCAACATGTATGCTGAAATGCTACTGTGTTTACCAGTAACGCTGAGTTAGAAGTCATGTGCTTTTCTCATGTACATGCAATAATCTTACTGGAAATAGTTTTACATTAAAACTAAACAACAAGCTCTTATTCTAACTGCCCGCTCTTAAAGTGAGGTCTGTTTCTTTGTTTTGCCTTTTTGTTGTTTGTTTTTAAAACCCATGGCAAAGGAAAAGCCTTTACTTTTCTGTTCTGTCACTCTAGAGGCCACATTTATTATGTGCAGAAGCTTCACTCCTCTGAACCCACATAGGCAGAAGAGCTTCCTGATGACAAACCGTCCTTCACAGAATTAGCCTTTGTGTATTTGAAGTTACAGAATGCAGTGTTAGGGTCTAGTTAGCACATGATAAAGAGTTCCCAGTCATCTTCCTGGGTGGATTTTCCCCACCAGCTGACCCGTAACCACAAGCTCAGGCAGCCATATACCTTTTTAATTTTTTTGAACTGGCCAAAAGTGTTAAAGTTCATACACCAGGGGCTTCAGTAAAAAGTGAATCTTCCTTTTAACTATCCTCCAACCACCATCTCCTTTCCCAAAGCAACTATTTTCTGAAAGAACTACACATTCTTTCAGATATATTCTTTGCATATTTACCATCATTTCTGGGCTTCCCTGGCGGCTCAGTGCTAAAGAATCTGCCTGCCAATGCAAGAGACGCAGGAGATGTGGGTTTGATTCCTGGATCAGAAAGATCCCTTGGAATGGGAAATGGCAACCCACTCCAGTATCCTTGTCTGGAGAATCCCATGCACAGAGGAACCTGGCGGGCTACAGTCCATGGGATTGCAAAAGAGTCAGACATGACTTAGCAACTAAACAACAAACAACACGTCCTTTCGGATATATTCTTTGCATACGCATAGACCAAAGTTTCTACATCTCAGCTTAAGAGGCGATGTAAGGCTGTCTTACTTTGCTGCTGGTGGCACTTCTGTACTCAGCTTCCACCTTGATGCCCAGACACACAGATTGCAGGTGATGGCCTTGTGGAAATAAACTATGGAAATAAACACGCTGACATGATGGCGCTCACTCAGGATGAGGCCTGCGTGTTTGCTTTCAACCGCTCACACCCACTTTGAGAAAGGACATTGGTCAGTACCAGGTCCAGATTTAAAGCCCTGTTACTCCGTGCCTTCGTAACAGGAGTGACCATTCATCTGGTCCTTGCCGCTTCACTGCATGCTGGGCAACTTGGGTGGCTGTCCCCGCGTGTGGGGTTTAACACGTGGGGACCGACGGGCTTCCGTGTCAGTGGTCAGCTCGCATGGTGTGTTGTTCACTGTTTCTTCTCTCTGTGTAGCTTTGGTGTGAAGCTTATGGACTTCCAGGCCCACCGGCGGGGTGGCACCCTAAATAGAAAGCACGTATCCCCTGCTTTCCAGCCGCCACTCCCGCCCACAGATGGCAGCACCTTGGCTCCAGCGGGCCCAGAGCCCCCTCCCCAGAGCTCTAGGGCCGAGAGCAGCACAGGGGGTGGGACTGGCCCCTCCTCTGCGGGCCTTCTGGAGCAGGGGCCCAGCCCGGGCGACAGCAGGTAAGGAGGCCAGCTTCCGCTGGCAGTGGGTGCCGGACACCCCAGCCTTCTTGCAGGTGCTGGCCTGCGGGCACGGCCTCCATGCCCCAAGGATCACTTGGCACGGCATGAACCATCTTTGCCTTCCTTCCTCCTCTTGGCAAAGGATGGAAAAAAAGACTGCAAATTGCTTGCTTCCTTTCCTATTTTCAAAAGAAAGCAACATTTGTTTGCATTCTTTACCATACTGCTTTAGGGTTGGGAAGCTAGAAGCTAATAGGTGTCTCAGTCATAAGCCTCTCTTACCTGTTTGATGTGTACTTGTTCACGTAGCATTTGCTTGTTGTCATCCAGAATGCTAGCTAGTAAATGTTGGAATGTAACAAGTTAGTAAGATAATTATATTCCTCGCATTCCTTCACTCATCCATTCATCTGTCCATTCATTCATCCATTCATCCATCCACCATCCATTCATTAATCCATCTAACCAGCTATCTATCCGTCCAGTCAGATTTACTGAATAACATGTGCTGGCCACTATACTGAGCATCCCCCCCGCCGCCCCCTGACTTTAAGTCTTGTAGGGGAGGTGATACATGAGTACAAAGTAGAAAATGATCGTCGATTTTCTTAGGAGGCTCTTTTGTTACTTCACCTTTTGATTAGCCACCTGGAGTGGACTGTGAATTTATAGCAACTTTAAGGAAAAATACCTTTGACCTGGAGACCTTTATTGAATTGTCGTGAATTCAGTTCTCCACTCTGACCTGGGCAGATGACCACGAGAGGCCACTTGAGGTGGTATGTTGGGTGGTTCAGAGCTGGCAGCTGCTGTAAAAGATGAGCCTCTCTTGTACATGCTAACATTTTTATGGTATTTGGTCTACCTCGGCCACCTATAAAGCACTGAACGTTCATATATCAAGTAAAGTAAAAGATAAAGCAAGGATGACCTGTGAATCGTGCACTTTTTTCCTGCCCAGTGGTGACTTTGCCTTGGGGGAGTTCCCTCAGGTCTTCTCCTTTGGCAGGGAGAGACTGCTTATCATGTGCAAAGCGTGATGAGATGAGAATCTCATTAAATTCTTATAGCTGAACTCAGGGCTTTGTGCATTCCTAAATTCCTTTCTACCAGCATAATTGAAGGAAATATAGTTTCTGGTTAAAAATAGCTAAGGCTTCAAACTCCCTGGTGCTTCAAACACAAGTTGTAAGCTCCACCTTGGCTTGTCCATAACTGCTGCCACACAGGTATTCATTTGGGCCTAAATCTTTTGCTTGGAGAAAAAGTCTCAGCAGACTCACACATGTTCATTTACCTGCAGAGTTCAGTTTGTTTTAGTCAGGCAAAATATTTTACTTAAGACAGAAATTAGTCTTGACTGCAGAAGGACAAATAGGATCTCCGTCATCGATTTGCTCTGTTTTTTATGCTCTGTAAATATCTTGAGGCACATCTCATCAATGGCATTTACCTTGACAAACTGTAGCTGTAAAGTTCAGTATACAAAGTTCTGAGCCAGGGGTTAGTGGAACCTCAGGTTTGATCTCTACGCCACTATTAACCCACCCTGGAGTTTCTCTTTCCTGCAGGTCAAGTTTTTGATGATAATTGAGCACTTGATCATTTAGAGTAGCATTAGTGTTTTGCTACTGCATTTGCTTAGTTTTGTCCAATGCTTATGTCAAAATGGCCTTATTTTGAAGTCTAAAAACCCTTTCATGTCTTTTAATGTTGCCCAATTTAAGTACAAGCTCATTAGAACTTGAAATTTCTTATCGATTGGTGCAAAATGGCCTCTCGTGATTTTTAAGTGACAGAGTAGTTGGAAGACCATCTGGTGCCATGATCTCAAAATCTGTGGTCCTGCCTGGCACCAAATAGATACCAGCTTCAGAGACTCCAAGTGAGCTATTTAAAAGTTCAGACCGCCTCCTTGCCTGCTATGGGGGAAACTAGTGGGGATCCCATTCTTTACAGCATGTTTAGCTTTTCTAGCTGGGAATGCCTGACATCTAACGTGGCTTCTGCTCCCCGTAGTCCTCCAAAGCCCAAGGACTCTGCGGCTGCCTCCGCGCCCGGGAGGAACAGCAGTCAGGCGGCCCCTGGCCCAAGCCAGGCCCCGGCGGCCGCCGGCTCCCATCAGCTCTCCGTGGGCCCCGCGCACAATTCCGCTGGCCCGAGCCCGCACACTGTCCGCCGAGGTAAGTCCCCGCCACCTTCACTCGTGCCCCTGGGGAGGGACACGCACACCTCCCTGGGTCAGCGTAGCGGTCAGGCTGAGAAGCTCTCTGGCTGATGGTTCCACGTCTGGTGCAAACTGGCAAGCAGAAAAACCAGTCGTTAAGGAAAAGAATCCTTAAGGGAAGTGGAAAAATGGGGAGCAGGCAAGCAGACCTTTCAGAATATGTTCAAGCTCCCAAGCCTAACAGACAGTCGTTTCTCCAGAAATGCTCCCCGTTTTCCAGGAATGTGGTGTTCCAAGCCCTCGCTCTGTTTTCGGAACCACAGCCTCTGTCCCAGCCAGGTTTCCTAGGTCTGGGAGCCCCCAGGCTCTCGGGGTTGGGCTCTGGGCCTCTGGGTCCCCATTCACGTGTAATCTGACCTGCTCCCACCTGTGCCGCTGTGGTCCTCGCCCCCGCAGGCAGGGACGTGGCTTTTTTTTTTTTTTTAATGAAAAATTCTTTAAATTCTATAGTGCTTTACAGTTTTTCAAAAGTTTTGCACACGTGATTTCATATAATCCCATAACAACGCCCCCTTTATTTCCCTACCCCTATCTTGCCCCTCCCCGCATCCCTCTCCCGAGTGGTAACTGCTGGTTTGTTCTATGTATCTTTGAGTCTGCTGCTTTTTTGTTTTATTCACCAGTCCGTTGTATCTTAGATTCCATGTAGAAGAGATACCATACAGGATTTGTATTTCTGTCTGATTTATTTCGCTCAGCATAATGCCCATCAGGAGGGGGATGGCTTTAAGCCACAAAACTGAGTGCGTCATCCTGGCTGGAACCCTCCATACCTTCCATGCAGACCTCCCACCAGGCACCCTGCCTGGCCTGGCCACGTGGTCTAGGTTGGTGCCTCTGAGTCCAGCTCTTCCCCTGCCCCCTCACTGACTTCATCCTCACTGGTCCGCTCTCTCTGTTCCTCAGATGCGCTAAGCTTATTCACTCTTCAGAGCTTCTGCACATGTTTTCTCTTCCAGAACATTCTGTCCCACATCTTCACATGGTTCCTTCTTTTTTGTTTTATTGGGGTAGGAGTACATGAGATCTACCGCCTTAAATATTTGTGTACAATAGACAGTACTGCACTCTTCCATGCATAATACAGTCCTGTACTATGGGCACAGTGATATACAGGAGCTCTCCAGAAACGACCTAACATGATTGATACCTTATGCATGTTGAATACCAGCTCTCCATCACTCCCCATCTTTACTCCTGCCCCCAGCCCCTGGCAAATCCCATCCCACTTCTGGTTCCAAGAGTTTCACTGTTCTTGATACCTCATGTATGTGGAATCAGTTAGAATCTGTCCTTCTGTGACTAGCTTATTTCACTTAGCATCATGTCTTTTTTTTTTTCCATTTATTTTTATTAGTTGGAGGCTAATTACTTTACAATATTGTAGTGGTTTTTGCCATACATTGACATGAATCAGCCATGGATTTACATGTATTCCTCATCCCCATCCCCCCTCCTGCCTCCCTCCCCATCCCATCCCTCTGGGTCTTCCCAGTGCACCAGCCCTGAGCACTTGTCTCATGCATCCAGCCTGGACTGGTGATCTGTTTCACCCTTGATAGTGTACTTGTTTCAATGCTGTTCTCTCAGATCATCCCACCCTCGCCTTCTCCCACAGAGTCTAGCATCATGTCTTTAACGTTCATCTGTGTTGTTATATATGATAGAATTTCCTACTTTTTGAGGCTAAATAATATTCCATTTTATGTATATACCACCTTTTTAAAAATCCAGTCATCCCTTCTCAGTGTAGTAGGAAAAAAATTTGGAAGTAATTTTTGATGCATAAAAGTATAGAAGATGCAATAAAGTATAGAAGATCCATGTCCAATATGCTGAATACTAAATTAAAAAAATCAGGAGCCACTTAAAGGGCTGATATCCTGTTCATCATAAAATTGAGATAAAAATTAATTATACTAAGAAAAACCTTTTCACCTCCTCAGTAAAAATGACCATTTTTCTTTAAAGAAAAAAATAATCCAGTTATCCATCAATGGGCAATAGATTGGTTCCACATCTTGGCTATTGTGAATTATGCTTCAGTGAACATGATGTGCAAACAATCTCTTCAAGATCCTGATTTCAGTTCTTTTGAATAAATACTCAGAAGTGAGATTCTTGAATCAATATGGTAGTTTTATTTTTTAACTTTTTTAGGAGACTCCATTCTGTTTTCCATAATGGGTGTACCTACCTACGTTCCCACCAATAATGTATAAGAGTTCCAGTTTTTCCATATTCTCACCAATGCTTGCTCTTTTTTTTTTTATATTAGCCATTCTAACAGGTGTGAGGTAATATGTTGTTTTGGTTTTGATTTGCATTTTCCGGATTGTTACAATGTTAAGCACCTTTTCATATGTCTGTTGGCCATTTTTATGTCATCTTTAGAGAAATGCCCATTTAAGTCTTGAGTCTATTTTAAATTCAGGTTATTACTTATTTTGCTATTGAGTTGTAGGAGTTCTTTATATACTTGGGGAATTAACACCTTTTCAGATACATGATTTTGAAATTTTTCTCCCATTCTCCCATTTCTTTTCATTCTGTAGACTGCTTCTTTTGTTGCTTTACCAAAGCTTAGTAATTTGATATAACCCCACACATCTATTTTTGCTTTTGTTGCCTGTGCATTTGATGTCATATCCATGAAACCACTGCCAACACCAATGTTATGAAGCTTTCGCCTTGTGTTTTCTTCAAAGAGTTTTACAGTTTCAGGTCTTACATTTAAGTCTTCCATCCATTTTGAGTTGACCTCTGTGTTTCGTGTAAGATAAGGGTGCAGTTTCGCTCTTTCACATGCGAGTATCCAGTTTTGCCAGCATCGTCTGTTGAAAAAACTATCCTTTTTCCATTGTGTATTCTTGTGTATCCCTGTTGAAGATCAGTTGATGGTACAGACATGGATTCATTTCTGTGCTCTGTTCCCTCCATCCTTCAGGTTTCACCTCAAAGACTTCCCCAGTGAACCCTCCCTGACCACCCAGTCTGAACTGAGGACCACCCACCAACCCCCACCACTCACACAAGTCATTCTCTTATCACATCACTCTGTTTCTTTCAGAGCCTTTCTCTCCATCTGAAATTTTTTAATTTGTGTTTTAACATATTGCTAGTCTCCCCTCGTAGCTCACAGGACTGGGATCTTGCCTGTCTCATGCACTCCTATATTCCTAGTCCTGGTCCCGTGCCTGTTACGGAGAGGATACTCAAATATGTATGGTCTGGGAGCTAGCAAAGCTTGAGTGATTCAGATCTTGGGATGATTTTGCTCTCCTCCCACCATCTAGGACATTTGGCAATGTCTGGAGACTTCTTGTTGTCACAACCAAGGAGGGGAGCGGCATTGGCATCTAGTGTGTGGAGGACCAAGATGCTCGTAAACATCCTATCCCCACAACACAGAACCATCTAGCTCCACACGTCAGTAATGCCGAGGCTGAGAAACTCTGGGCTACAAAGAGACATGATTCACTGAAGATGTTTCTAAAGCCAGTTAAATTCCATGTGAACCAGGGCGCCCTACGTCTTAACTCCAAACTGCATTTATCAGAGTATGGGTGATCTTCAATATAAAATGACATATATATTTTTTAATATTAAATTTGATATAACTTTAGACTAAAGGAGAGTTGCAGAGATAGTGTAGAACATGCACACATAATCTTCACTGAACCTCTCTTAAATTTTTATATTTTTATACAACAACTATAGATATCAGGAAATAACACTGATTCAGTGTTATTAGTTAAACTTCAGGTTTTGACCACATTTCCCCAGTTTTTCCAGTAAAGTTCTCTTTTTGTTCCAGTATCAATCCAGAATCCCACATTGCAGTTATTTTTTTAAGGTGGACAATGTGATGATTTAATACATGCATACACTGTGAAGTTATTACCACAATCACATTAAGAGGTTAATATCTAAGATATATAGGAAACTCATACAGTTCAATAGCAAAACAGAATACCCCATTTAAAAATGGGCAAAGAGTATATTTCTGAGTTCATTTTCTATATTATCATCTCTGTAAGCAGGACTGGGGAAACAATAAATAACAGTTTTGCTATTAAAAAATCTTGTGGAGGTTCTCGTCTAAGCCACTGTCATCTTTGTCTGCATCCTAACTGATGCTCAGGGGAAGTTAGGTCTTTTCTACGAGGATTCCAGGTATAGCCCTGGAATCGAGGTTGAGATTACTTCATAGCCCCTTTAGGAGTTTATCCTGCGTCATAGACCTCAGGCTTCCTCACAAGAAGAGTCTGAGCCTTTATGCACTGTCCACCTACCCCAACTCAGCCTCCCAGCACCTGCATGGTGGGCTTAAGACAGGCCTGCCTTCCTCCCAGCCTGGCCTCCACGCTGGACTTGGACCTTGTCACGCTGTTCTCATGCTTTCTCTCCTGGTTCCCTCTACACCCTTAAATGTCAGGAATGATCTTTTATTCAGCATGAATTTGTACTTACTATTGTTTAGAACAGAATGCTGGAAAATTTCCTTTTTAAGTTGCTTATGATAACCAGAGTGCAGCTAATGTTCCAGATTCCTTTGTCAGTGGGTTGGTTGTTTCTGTGGGAAAAGATCTTCCCATTTCCAGGGTCAAAAGTTCTATCAGGTCAGCAGAGTAGACTTTATTCCTTTTTTATTCCTGAATTCTGGACCCTATGAGCAGGGAGCCAAGCAGTATAGGAAGGAAGAAGAGAGAAAAGAGTCCAAGGAGGCCACAGGACATGGTGTGAGCCTCTGCTCTGCTCCGTGCTGGCTGTGTGACCTTTTACAAACTCTTGACCTCTCTGAGCCTCAGTTTTCTGCACCATGAAATGGATATGGGAATGCCCGTCTTGCAGTGAGCTTATGAGACTTAAATGAGACAGTCTATGTAAAGGGCCTAAATTGGTGCCAGTCATGTGTTAGGTGAATGATACACCTTCATTTCTTCCCTTTGTTTCCCTCTTCCTTTCTTGGAGGATTAGAAGGGTCTCAGCAAAATTTGAAAAAATGCTACTTTCTCCTTTCCACCCATTTCTCCCAGCCCCACACCAGCTCCAGACTTGTTTTTCTCTCCTGCCCTGCCATCCTCGGTACCAAATTCCCACCCCCAGAGATACTGATCTCAACTGGTGTAGGGAGTAGAGTGATGCAATTCAACTCTTGGAACTGAATCCAAGGTGATCATCCGGATTTATACTTTTTTCTAGAATATATGTATTAGCACAAATGATTCTGGAATTTGTAGAATTTCTGTTAATAATAATAATAAATATCATGCCCTCTAGGAGAGAATACCTTAGGGCAAGGGGTCCACTGTTACATACAGGCGGCCCAGTCATGCTTAGAGACCCCCTTAGCTGTTCTTGGAGAAGGAAATGGCAACCCACTCCAGTATTCCTGCCTGGAAAATTCCGTGGATGGAGAAGCCTGGCAGGCTACAGTCCATGGGGTCACAGAGTCGGACACGACTGAGCGACTAACACTCTGCTGTTCTTAAGGTGCTTGACTCCATGTAAGTGGGTCAGCCTCTGTTAACTGAGTTTTCTAATTATTGAGCTTTTAAAATGATGGGTTTTTAAAGACCTATATGTGTATAATGTACTTTTTAAAAAATAGCCTTTTTATTTTGGAATAATTTTAGATTTACAGAAAAGTTACAAAGGTAGTCTAAGAGTTTCTGTGTACTTCTCACTCACTTTCCCCTATGGTTAACATCTCCCATCACCAGGGTACTTTATCACAGCTATGAAACCAACTCTGGTACATTACTACTAACCACACTCCATATTTTGTTCAGATCTCACCAATTTTTCCTCTACTGGCCCTTTTCTGACCCCAGCTTGCCCCCCCCGCCCCCCCAGGACAGTAGTGGCATTTAGTCAACATCGCCTCTCCTTACTGATTTCTAGACTATGATAGTTTCTTAGTCCTCCCTTAGTTTTTCATGGCCTTGACAGTTCTGGGGAGTCCTGGCATTTTGAAGACAGTCTGTCAGTTTGCATTTGTCAGATACTTTTCTCACGGTTAGGCTGAGACCGTGGAGTTGGGAGGTGCCAACTGGCTGACATGGGGTTGGGAAGTGGGGGCAGGTCCGGACCTCACCTGGCTTACACGGTGAGGTTAAGCTCGGTACCCTGGTCCAGGGGCCGTTGGCCATCCCCAGCACCCCACTTCCTGAGAGATGATTTTCCTTTGTGCAGCTGTTAAAAAACCTGCTCCAGCACCCCCGAAACCAGGAAACCCGCCTCCCGGCCATCCCGGGGGCCAGAGTTCTCCAGGAGCATCTCAGCACCCACCCAGCCTGTCACCAAAGCCGTCCACCCGCAGCCCTTCTCCCCCCACCCAGCCCCCAGGCCAGGCCCCTGGCCAGCCCTGCGCCACCTCGCAGCTCTCGGCACCGCGGAGGTACTCCAGCAGCCTGCCTCCGATCCAAGCCCCCAGCCACCCGCCACCGCAGCCCCCGACGCAGGCCGCACCGGCGGCGCTCACCAAGCCGGGCAGCCAGGGCCCACCCGCGCCCGGGGCACCCGGCGAGCCTGGACTCGAGCAGTCGTCCCACACCCCTCCCCAGACTCCGACGCCCCCCAGCACTCCGCCCCTCGGCAAACAGAACCCCGGCCAGGCGGTGAGTAACCCCGAGACCGCACAGCCACACGCTGGAACCTTACCGAGACCGAGACCAGTACCAAAGCCAAGGAACCGGCCCAACGTGCCCCCGCCCCCTCATCCGCCCGGCGCGCACCCCGCCGGGGACGGCAACCTCAGCATCGCAGCTCCCACCGCCTCCAAAATAGTCACAGGTAAGTGGGAAATGGACTCAGACAGTTCCCCCTGCCAACTCTACCTTGCTTTTTACTGTTCTCCTTCACTTAGGCTTCGATTTTACATCAGGGGTTGGCAAACTAGGACTGCAGGCCAAATCTGGTCCCCAGCTTGTTTTAATAAATAAAACCTTATTGGAACACAACCACGCCCATTTGTTGACATGCTCTTTATAGCCGCTTCTATGCTAAAACAGAACCGGTGTGTCGTCCTATACTCCCAGAGCCTTCAGAGTTACTGCCTGGCCCTTCAAGTTTGCCAGCCCCTGATGTATAGGATCACTAAGTTTAAGAACCATCTACATTTTCTAGGTATAATGACCTAATCCAAGTGGAAGGTATTGTCCAACTTGAGCATGATATTCATTTCTTAGTGAATTCCTCATTAAAATGCTTGTTTTCTTTTTAAGAGTAAAAGTATTTAGAGTAAGTGAAGCATTTCAGGTATAATCTTAAAAAATATGTTTTGTGCTAAACTGGATGCTCTCAGCAGGAAGATTTGAGACACGTGAGAATGCCAGCCTTTAGTGGCAAAGAACAAAATTGAGATTTCCTTTTAATTCTATGGAAACCTGTTTTAGGTATTGATGATTGTACAGATTTTACCTCTCTTATGGGATATTTTTTATTGGCAGTCTGGAACATGACCATTTATTTAATTGTGATTTTTTTTTTTTAATTTCCATCCCAAGTGCTCTAATTTACTGTTTAAGGATGAGATGGATGAATTTTTTTTAATGTTTTTAAAAATGGTAATTAGGAGCTTTGAATAATTTCTTAGAACAGCCTAGTTTTACATTTTCCTAAGTTTTTAGAGTTTTTAGGAACTGTTTTTAGAGAAGTAGCTGAAATATACTTCTGGGCCCTCCAGCCATGCTGAATGACATCTCTGCTGAAAATGAGCAAAGGATACATCCCACTCTAAGTGGTGAGGGTTAACTGACCAGTCTCTCTTTTGATAATTCCCCCCCCCCCCAGGAATATATTGCGTGATTTGCATGTGTTAAAAATTGTGAGCTTTTTTTCTGATGACACCTCAGCTTTTATTTAAAAAACAAAAACAAAGCCACATTGGTTTGTTTGTTTGTTTGTTTTCCAATAGATGCCCTTCCTAGCGCCCTCACAGGTGGGGAAGGTTTCCAGGAGTAAGGTCTGTAACCCTCCCCAAGCAGCTTGCCCGCAGCCCCAAATGCTCCTGCTTAGCCATGTTTTGTATACGTGCTTTTGACTTTGTGCTCAAGAGCAGCCATCCGATCCCCTGCCATCCATTCTCTAGCGGGTAGACATCACTCTTGTTTATATCAGAAGCACTTGGAGCTGCAGTGCTCCACATTCGAGGTGTAGGTATCAATAGATCTCGAGCCCAATTGCAAGCCGCTCAGATAAGAATACTAAGAAACATTTCCTTTCTTTTTGGTAAACCTTTCCCAAGCGTCTGCTCTGCTCAGCGTGATTTCCCTGTCATTGATTGGCCCCTCAGCATCCAACCAAAGAGGACTGGGGTGCAGTTAGCCCAGAAAATGGTGTCCCTTATGTCTTGAGCTTTAATTTTTAATTAACTGCATGGAGCTTCTTAATTCGGTGTTTGAAATTCTCAGGATCCCCATCCCCTCCAAAAAACATTCTTTCTCCAAAGATCCCACACTAAATTTCTTTGCATTCTGGCATGCTTACATTTTGCTTTCGTAAACCACATGAGCTTTTTGAAAGGTACTGTGAGGCTCATCTGAATCTTGCCTTTAGGTCCACACTTGAACAGCATAAGGCCCTTGTTATGTGTGCAACTCTGTTCTAATCAGCTGATCTGAGCCTTAAGCCTTCAGTGGGCTACTTAAGAGTTTTCCCAGCTTTGGCCTGAGGAAGGCTTTCTGTAAAACCCAGAATGGGAAAACAAGAACTCAGTTTTTACAACCAGTGGAGGGCACAGGTCTTATTCCACCTTCCTGACTCCTGGGTAATGAACCCAGAAGTCTGCAGTTACCCAGTTGGGTGTGGAAATCACAGAGTGAAAAGACTAAACCCTAAATAAGGCTGAGCCTTTTAACCCTTTAATTCTTGTGATACAGCAGAATTTTATTTCCAGATCTTCCCTTTTGTTTAGAGGAAAGACTACAATCAAAATTGTATCTGCTCTTCAATACCATTGTTATCCGGGTGTTTTTATTCCAGAAACTTATTTTATTGATGTGCTATGACACTGTAATGTTCTGTACTTTAACAATTGTCAGATAAGTGAAATTTGATATTATAAATACTTTTCTTAGGATATTAGCTAAATATTGTAAAAATCAATCTGTATTTTGAATTCTCCTAACTCAAGAAATTCCAGGTCACCATATCTTTGTTTTACATAATTAATTTTTAATTTCTTCAAATCCCCTGAATTGCCATTAGAAGTACATAAAAAGCGAGCATTTAGAATTTACAAATATGCTTATGTTGATCATGCTGCTGTTACAGTCATTGGGTTTTTCAAGAAGAAGAAAACGTTAACTTCCCTACACAGGTAGTCCTTTATTATGAAATCATGTTTTCACTTGGAAAACTCTAGACAGACAAATTCCTGAAAACAGGTTATTCACTGAAAGCATTTAATCTTAAAAACTGATTTATGGCCTGGGGATTAAGATAAGCTCTCAGGGGAGATTACTGATACCAAACAGGTTTGGCAGTCAATTTCTGGCAGCATAGGACCAGAGAAAGGAGGGATTCTGCTATCATTCTGAATCTCTTCTTAATTGTTACTCTAGAAAGCAGTAGGAAAAAAGAAAAGCAGTAGGATTTTAGCTTTGCAAGGAAAAGAGTTTACATCTTGCTGTTTTTAAAGTAATAGATTTTAGAGTGTTCTAATCTAAACATTTCATTAAATAATTTAGATGTATGACCTGCCATATTCAGTAAGAACTGAAATTGGAATGTTTAATGGTAAGGAAAAGGCACCTGATTGGCCAAAGCGTTGTTGCTACTTGATCATGTTCGCGCACTAATGCCTGGTATTAACTGTTCACTCTAACCCTGCCTGCTTGCACCCCCACTAACAGTGCATGCACTAAAGAAGGCTGGCTTTGTTCGTGCTTGCTGCCAAGTACTCTGAGTACTGTGTTCACACACCCGCGCCACGTCGTCACCGGGCTGGCCTCGTCACCCCTTCAACTTCTAGCCTTTTCTGTCCTGGGCAGGCTTGAGGGGTAGTGAAGAACCACACACTAGAATCAGACATCCCTGTATTCGAATTTCAGCTCTCTGTGTAACAACGGCACCGCATCACCTGGTTGATCTGTAAAATGGTGACATTTGCGAGAGTAGCTATCCAAGGCGTTACAGTAGATAAAATAAGAAAAGGATCTTACACTTCTTAATATACAGGGGGTCTGAGTCGGTGGTAACTATTTATTATCATTTTTTTATCAAGAGAAGATAGATAATCAGAGTTAGGTATTAGATTTGTATGTCACCATTTTAAAGACTCACATGCACGGACCCAGACATGTTAGGTCTGGAGCCCAGGCATCCATATTTTGATCCCAATGTGCCACTTGGTAGTGGGTTGAAAAGACAGTGCTCTGGAGTAGAAGATTTTTTTTTTTTGGAGTATAATTGCCTTACAATGTTGTTAGTTTCTGCTGTTCAACAGCATGAACCAATTGTATGTATGCACATGTCCCCTCCATCTTGAGCCTCCCGTCCCCCCCACCACCTCTCCAGGTCATCAGAGAGCCCCGAGCTGAGCTCCCTGTGCAGAAATGGAATAGAAGATATTCTTAATTTAGTGAGCCTGAACGTAAATCATCCGTCCACTGCACAGTGGTAGAACGAGTCACAGTAGTCGTCATCAAACACTTGAACTTTGCTGGTTCTCATAGCTTTTGCTTTTTAAAATTAAACTTTTTTTTTAGTAGCATGAAAGTAATGTATTGGGACTTCCCTTGTGGTCCAGTGGTTGAGAATTCACCTTCCAATGTAGGGGGTGCAGGTTCGATCCCTGGCTGGGGAGCTAAGATGCCACAGGCCTTGTGGCCAAAAAGCCAAAACATAAAACAGAAGCAATATTGTAACAAATTCAATAAAGACCATAAAAATGGTCCACACTAAAAAAAAAATCTTTCCAGAAAAGTAATATATTAAAAAAATAAATATGGATACTAAAGCAAATTGGGAAATTAGAAATAATAAGAAATCACCCTTCCATAACTGAAGAAGTCCACTATTCATATTTTATTTTTTCCTTCTAGTCTTTTTTTCTTCTAAAAGGCAAAGGGATGCATGATCATAATTGTTTGGCATATACAGAGTTTGATTTTGTGTTTTGATTTTACTTTACGTCATGTGCTCTTTCTTGTATTATGATATAATTTTTTTATGATATAATTTTTATAACTTTATAGCATATGCTATTTCCCATGTTATAATTTAGTTTTTCAATGACTACATTATGTTTCATTAAGCAGATGTTTTATTGCTCACAGTTGGACATGTAAGTGGCTTCTGCTTTTAGTTACATTTTATTTTTAATAAGTAGATGTCAGGATCATGTCAAGATAAACATCCAGTGAGACCAGAACAGGCGCCCTCTTTTGACTGAAATAATAAAAAGTTGACTCAAAGTCGCTTATAGATGAGTAAGCCTCTCCCAAAGTCGCTTATAGATGAGTAAGCCTCTCCCAGCCCTAGAAAACTGATGAGGATTATAAGGAAGTCATTCCCTCAGACTCTAGCTTAGAGAAGGATTTAATGATTGAGGTGGGGGTGATTCACCCTGCACTTGTGCCTGAAATGTTGAATTTCAGGTTTGTATTTGGATCCCTTAACATGTCAAAGTGGCTATCAGAATAACCTTGGCTTTTCTGAAGGGTAGGTTTACCACCTAAATCACATACTCAATATTGTTGAAGTGACAGACTTTCTAGGACCCTAAACTGCAGAATGCCAGTTCCCACCCTCGGAGGGCCCGCTCTCAGATGTGTGTGTGTGCTCACTAGCTCAGTCGTGTCCGACTCTTTGCAACACCATGGACTGTAGCCCACCAGTCTCCTCTGGTGGATCCAGGGTATGTCAGTCAGAGCCCCAGAGCCCTGGTGAACCACATGGCATTCTACCAGCAAGCAGAGGCTGTGACTTGGCCCTCTTCCTCTGCCTTCTTATAATATCTTTCATATGAGCTTAACTCATGGTGACGTGTGTGGAGCAGTTAGCACCACACCTGGAAAGTAGTAGCTACTCCGTAGCTTCGGCTACTGGGCTAAAGATCAGTCTCTTTCTGAAAGCTGGCTCTGCACGCATGCCATGAGTCTTACTGCTTTTTGTATGTAAACAGATGTGCTGTTTTCTTTCAAGAAATGATTCGTATAAAAGTGAGATGGGGGAAATCCACCAGATGGGGGAAATCCATCAGGCAAACCAGGCAGGGTGAAGTAAAGGAATTTCTCCTTTGCCCCACCACACATTTTTCTTCTAAGTGTGTAAGTAATGTGTGTTCATCTTAAATATCTAGAGAAATTCAGAAAAGTCAAGTCCAGAAATTATTTGTGATATTAAAAAAAAAGAAGAAGAAAGATAACACGTTTGTACTCTGAAAAGGATCTGTGACTGCTAGGTGTCACATTTACATGTAAATAGAGATACTGATGAGTAGACATCTGTCTCGTATGCACACTCCCTTTGCGTCACGTATGTCAGTCCCATAGTTCTGTAAAGCCTGTGAGCCAACAAGCAGCACTGGCTGATTGTCCCGTCTGTCTTGTTGGGTTAGGATAATGGTAAATGCAATGAATTTCTTGTATCGGTGTTGTCTCCAAGACATGGCTACTTCTTTACATGAGGTTGTCGGCAAAGCAGATTAGAAACGTGGTTGGACTAGATGACTTTTTATCTATTCTTCTGTCCAGACAGACAGACAAGCAGCCACAACGTTTATTGAATGCCTACTATTAACTCATCACTGTTCTGGGCACTAAGGATATACTGTAAGTAGGAAAGACATGGTCCCTGCCCTCGTTGACTTTCATTCTGCTGAGGACAAATCTGAGACTGTCTGTATTCTGTGTACATAGACCACCCTTACCTGTACCGTTAAACAGGGCAGTTCAGCATCATTCAGTTGACTTTACGATTCTCATAAGATCTGAACTGTCTGAAATGACATGCAGCACCTCAACTCTTTGACACCTTGGCACCTCCATAAATCTGGACATTTACCTGGGTTATGGTGCATAGTAAATCTCAAGGGATGGTCTGCCAACCCAGGAGTGACTGAGAGAAAAGGGACACCCCAGGAAGTAAGTAGATCTCGCACCTCAGAGCTGTAGGGATGTGTCAGAGCAGGAGTCTCAAAGAAGTGAGCCTCCTAGGATACACCTGCATTTGCCAGTTCTGCCTATGTGGATCAGGAGAGGCTAAAACAGAAGTCCTGTTTAGTACTATTGAAAGCAGCTTCCAGCAAGGGCAGACTCTGCACCGCAGCCAGTACAGAAAAGCAGCTCTAAGTGTAACAGGGAAACTCCAGCACCACCCCCGCACCCCCGACTCTGGTTCCCTCCCTGCTCCCTACATGACTAGCTCTAACCTGGCAAAAGGAAACTACAACACATCTAAACATCTCCCACCTCTCTTCCACTGCCCTAAAATCTCTAACAAGGCTCATCATTTGCTAGAATTCACATCTACTAGAGAAACAAATTTTTCAAGACCGGAAGGCCTGTCTCCCCAACTTAGCCATGGGCTTCAACTAAAGCTGTGTCTGACTTGTTCAGTACTGTGTCCTCACAGCTAGAATGTGGTAGGTACTGAGCAAGTATTTGTTCATGATGAAGGAATCTGAGACTCACCGTCTCACCAGGAAGAGGGCTGTGATTGGTTCAGGTGTCTGATGAGCATGAGCGACCGTGGCTGGAGGACCATGTACTTGCCATCTTACAGAAAGAGTTCCAGCTGACGTAATAAGACACGAAAAAGGAATTGGAGGTATATAAGTATTAGAAATGGGCTTCCCAGGTGGTGCCAGTGGTAAAGAACCCACCTGCCAATGCAGGAGATGTAAGAGACATGGGTTCAATCCCTGGATCAGGAAATCCCGTGAAGAAGGGCATGGCAACCCACTCCAGGATTCTTGCCTGGAGAGTCCCATGGACAGAGGAGCCTGGTGAGCTACAGTCCGCAGGGTTGCACAGAGTTGGACATGACTGAAGTGACTTAGCACGCTTGCACAAGTATTAGATGAGAAAATTAATATTTGTAGGAGATTTGGTGCTCTGCCCCAGTGATTGTCAGCCAGGGGTGATTGTGCCCTCCCACCTCCCACCCAGGGACATTTGGCAGTGTCTGGAGACATCTTTGGCTGTCAGCTGTGGGAAGGAGAGTGTGTGACATCAGCATCTCATGGGTTAAGGGCAGGGATACTGCTGCTCAGCATCCTACAGTGCACAAGCCAGCCCCACACCCAGGATGATCTGGCCCCACATGTCACTAATGCCGAGGTTGGGGGCACAGCGTTCATTAATAACAGGAGGAAACTCACCAGCCTCAGAGGAGGGAGCCCTCTCCAGTGAAGCTCAGCCCTTCCCGGAGCCCAGATGTCAGCAGATTTCCGCTAACGCCTTAGAGGTACTGGTAGGAATAAGGTCTCTTTTCCTCAGTCACGGCAAGCAGATCCTTCCAGGGTTGTATCTCTGAGGATTGCTGTGGGCTCCCAGAAAGGACCATCAGAGCCAGGTGGTCTGAGCCATGTGGCTGCCCCTGGTCTCCGAGGCTTGACTCAACCTCTTAGGGCTAATGGTGCCTGTAGTAGGGAGTGTGCGTGCATGGGCTGACTCTCAAACTCTCCAGCTTCTCCTCTTCTCAGAGAACCTCGGTGGCCTCTTGGGCATTTCCACACCAGTGATACCATGTCTCCTCATGTTTTTGTCCAGACGCCAATCCTAGGGTTTCAGAAGCGCTTCGCAGCATCTTTCCTGAAATGCATTCAGACTCAGCCAGCAAAGACGTGCCCGGCCGCATTCTGCTGGATATGGACAATGATACAGAAAGCACCGCCCTGTGAAGAAAGCCACGCCCCGCCCTTGACCCCTTCCGCCCTGGCGGGTGGAGCAGGGGCAGGCAGATGTTAATCTTCACAGACCCAACAGTGAGAAGCTTTCAGTGAAGTGGAGAAGGACGGGCCTCACCACGTGGGACTTGGCCTTCTCGCAGCCCCAGGCGAGGGCAGAGGCTGACACTTAAAGCTGGATGACCTGTGTCTTGAAGAAGTTGGCTTTCTTTACATGGGAAAGAATCATGCCAAAAAAAGTCTTGTTTTTTTTTTGTTTTAAAGAGAGAGAGATACCTACAGTGGAAGGTGTATCATTGCCGAGACATGTGTAAGAAGCTTTTGTCCCTGCTGGTCACGCAGGCAGCACCATCGGCAACTTGGAATGAACAAAGAGCCGTGCATTAACTCTCTATTTAATAAAGTACACCATTATGCTCACCTACTTCCTGCTACTTGGACTTTCCTTCTCATCTATCACGAGGGAGTTTCCTCTCCTTCAGACATGCTGCAGAATCGTTTTGTATGAAGTATGGTCTGTGTCTCCCCGACCCCTCTGAACCACGAGCATTGGGGGTGACTGCTGGATCTGTCACCTCAGCAAACTGGATCGCCTTGTGCCTTGTTGGATTGCCAGAATGTAGACAGAAATGTACTGTTCTTTTTTTTTTTTTAAACAATGTAATTGCTACTTGATAAGGACCGAACGTTATTCTAGTTTCATGTTTAATTTGAATTAAATATATTCTGTGGTTTATATGAAAACTATCATTCTTGCAGGCAAAACTGTGGATTGTGTGTGTGCATGTTGTCATTTGTCACTTAACTACAGAGACCTGTGGATGGGGGACTTCCCTGGCAGTCCAGTGGTTAAGAGTCTGCGCTTCCACTGTAGGAGGCGTGGGTTCCCTCCCTGGGCAGGGAAACTGAGATCTCACATGTCAAAAAAATTTTTTAAATTAAAAAAAAAAAAAGACTTGTGGATGGGACACCTGAAAGTCTTAACTGTGAACATAGAAATTTGAAAGGGTCAAGAGCGAGGTCGCAGCAGTGAGACCTGCCCCCAGGGGACCCAGAGACCTCCCAGACTGGTTCTCTCTCATCGAATGTTCCAGGGGCTGGGCTCTTCCTTTGTCTTACCAGTCCTGATTCTTTTTCTTGTCTGGAGACACTTGTCCAGAGACACTTAGACACTCGGAGGCCAGCTCTCAGTATCTTAGCCCCACAGGTTCAGTGCAGGCGGCAGAGCCATTCATTACCTTCCAGGGAAATCCCTCTTTTAGGGACCGGAAGGCACTTCTTTCCCAGGATTGAAATAACCTGGGAAGCATGGAGGGGGAACTGGAGCAAAGTGAGGCCGATTGGCTGGACACATATTGTGTTGATAGTGTCCCCCCCGCCCCCCCGCCATGGCCCAGATTTGGCATCATCTCTTGGGATGCCTGCTGCCATGCTGGCTGCCTCAAGCGGCTCCATTGATGAAATCGCTCGCCAGGCACATCTGTGACCCGACCCCTGCTCAGAAGCCACTGGACGGACCTGCTTGCCCTATTGCTGTTGTTGTTCAGTCACTTAGTTGTGTCTGACTCTTTGCAACCCCATGGACTACAGCACACCAGGCTTTCCTGTCCTTCACTATCTCCAGGAACTTGCTCAAACTCATGTCCATTGGATCAGTGATGGCCATCCAACCAATCTCATCCTCTGTCACCCGCTTCTTCTGCCTTCAGTCTTTCCCAGCATCAGGGTCTTTCCCAATAAGGTGGCTGTTCGCATCAGGTGGCCAAAGACTGGGGCTTCAGCTTCAGCATCAGTCCTTCCAATGAATATTCAGGACTGATTTCCTTTAGGATTGACCAATTTGATCTCTTTGCAGTCCAAGGGACTCTTGAAGAGTCTTCTCCAGCACCACAGTTGTATGAATTGACTTAAATTTAACTTGCTCGAAGAAAAAAAAAAAAAGAAAAGAAAAAAAAATTTAACTTGCAAAAGATAATCACTTTTTTCTCTTAACTCAAAGTTTAACTCCCTGCACTTTTAAATTACATTGAAAATATGTACCTGTAAACCTATTTACCCCCTATCTTAAATTTGTGTTTACTGAAGTCTCACTCTTTCCTTCCTCATACACCACCTCTGTTCTTTTTCTCTGCTCCCTCCCATCCCCGTTGAGCGCTAAAGCAAATTCTCTAGAGAAAGCAAAAGTCTCTGCGTATTGATACGTTGCTTCTAAGTGTTGACCCCTTCTCCAAGGAGCTCAGCTGTCCACAGTCAGGCATCTCTGCAGACCTTGGAGACGCTTCTTCCAGGATGCCTGAACTCACACTCTGGAGGCAGCTGGGATGCGGTACTTGCCCAGGAGATGGTGTGGGTACCTGGGGAGGAGGAAGGGCCATGGCAAACATTCTGCCCAGAATGTATGCTGTGTTTTGTTATTTGAACAAAATGATTCTGAAATAGAGCAAACCCTACCCTCGTTACTTTAAGAGCAGTGTTCCCGTTTCAGTCTCCTGTTGTTTGTAGCTATCACACTGAAGCAGCAGCTCCCATCTAAAGAAAAGGGAATCTTGCTTGCCCCTGTGTGTGTATCAGCGGCCCCTGTCCTTCCTGAATGGGCGAGTCATGGTGTGGGACGTGGTGGCTCAGCTCGTAGTCAAAGCTGTCATTGCATCACCACAGGAGCACCTCCAAGGTGCCGCAGAGACAGGATCACCCCTGTGTGGGGGGTGGGGGTTGCCACGTGGCTGGCACCTTGCCTAGGCACTACACATGACAAGAGTCTTGTCACCACACCCGCCATCAGAGAGGCGGAGAGGTCTGTAATCCAAACTCATGTGGCCTTCCCTGACCATCAAGGAAGGTGCTGGCATCTGCCTTTCAGAGTGTTTCCTTCCCTTCTCCATACAACTACTTATGGCAGCGTCAGTCTTGGGTGCTCAGGCCTTCTGCTCCTGCTGCCCTGCCCACGGCAACACCGGGGCCAAGGACCTGGGCCTCTCATCACGCACCCCTTGCAGGCGGCACCCATCTGCCTGTTCTTGGTCTAGCTCTTTGGAGGCTGCGGGGGGTCAGGGTGTCCTCTCGTTGCCTTGATTGTACTGGGTTCTACCCTGTGAATTCCCTAGAGGTCAGATGCAGGTGGAATGACTGAATCCCTGAACCTCTTTAATACCCTGGTTCCCTTGGGGGCTCCATGGATGGACCCTTGTCCCCTTCTTGGAGCTTCAGCTTCCAGTACTCTCCTGAGCCCAGTGAATCCTTAAAGAGCTCATATTTGCAGGACTTAAGACAAACCCTCTTTCTAGTTTCTCTACCTGTGGTCTAGTCCCACCATTCTGCCACCTGCACCATGAGCCTGATGGTCTGTAACCACAGTTCAGAGCCCCAAGTAGTCTCTGACTCACAGTATAGGGTCTTGCGTGACACTGGGCGGCACACCACTGACAGATATTTCTAGACCAAAGGCATCCTCTTTGCTAATAACCTAGTGATGGAGCTGAAGATAAAGTAAGATCTGCTGACATGGTGAAGCCACTGGCTCCGACACAACCAAAAGGCAAAAAGTGGTTCAAACTGCCTGAGCTGCCAGCTTAGGGAAAAGGCATGGAGTGGTGCAGAGTTGAGGCACCTTCTCTGGCATCACTTTTAGAGGTGTCTCTACAGTTGACTCTCCCATCAACCCATCTCCATCACTGAGGCCATTCTGCATTTCTTGCCCTGGTACCCTCACAGTAAATTCTGCCCCCCCCCACCTTTTTTTAAATTGTTTTTTGCCTAAACTTTGTAGGGTTTGTCTCTCTTACTTGCAAGCAAATGACCCCTACTTGATACACTCTTCAAAAGAGTGTATCACTACATGCTATAATACAATCAGAGATGATATCTCATCACCCCAGCCAACAGAGGCTGTCCTCTTCTGCTCACTCTCGGGCACGTAGCTGTACAGACCCCTGGCAACCCCACAGGCAAACTCTCCACACATCACCCCACCCTTCATATCCACACAGATATCCATAAATGGTACACACTGTCAGCTATCTTGCTGAGCAACAAATGACCACAAACTTAGCAGCTTAGAACAATGCACATTTATTATCTCATCGTTTCTGTGGGTCTGAAGTCCAGGCAGAGCTTAGCTGGCCCCTCTGCCTGGTTCTCACAAGGCTGCAGTCAAGGGTCAAATGGGTCTGGGGTCTCATCTGGAGGTCCGACTGGGGAAGGACCCACTCCTAAGCTCCCTTGGGATGTTGTCAGAAGTCATGTGCTTGTGCTTGTAGGACCACAAGGTCTGAGAGCCTGTGCTTCTTGCTGACCATGATCTAAGTGCTGCCTGCAGTTCCCGATCATATGGCTTCCCCAGGGAGGCTGCTACTTCAGGTCAACAAGGAGACCCCTAGAGTGAGTCTGCCGGCAAGACAGTGTCTCCGTGCTGTAATACAATCAACAGATGACATCTCACCACTCCTGCCATATTGTGTTGGTTAGAAGCCAGTCATAGGCTCTGTCCACACTCAAGGGGAGGGGATTACACAAGAGCAAGACACCAGGAGGTGGGGATCATTGAGGGTCACCTTGGGGTCTATCCATCACCCCATCAAAACGTCATCACAAATGACCCGTCAGGATGTACTTGAGCGAAATATATCTTGAGAAGAACGAAAACAAAAATTCATCAGAGTTCTGTTTTTACGTTCTATATTTGTATTTGAATGCAGCTTTCATACATATCAATAAATTATATTTGGATGACCCAAAGTGTTTTTCATGTTATTTCATGGTAGAAACAGCATCTTGCTTTCACCTAAGGATGTTTAGAATTAAAGCCATGTCTTATAATGATTTCTATGTCTTCTTTAGGTGAATACCATGGGCTTACTCTTCCATACACTGAGCTAGACCCTGGGGAACCAAGCTAAGCCACACAAACGTGGTCTCGACCTCCAGGAAGCTTGCAGACGAATACTCTAGAAACAGGAAGAGGCTGAGGGATGGGGAGGGGTGGACCATGGAAACACGTGGGAGGAAGGTCCATGTTGGGGGAGAGAGGAGTGGAGAAGCGGGCTCTCCAGGTGCTAGGAATGGCCGGCGAGGTGAGACACAGAACAGAAGTAGAGGGGGAGGTGGGCCATGGGCAAGGAATGAGCCTGGGGAGGGAAGCAGGAGCTGGAGTGTGAAGGGTATGAAGGGCCTCAGAGTCAACCATGGAGCAGCAGCCTGTGGGTGGAGGAGCAGAGTGACTATCGGATTTGTAGTTTAGATCCTTGTGGCTGTGGTGCTTGTTTTAGGGGAATATCATTGTGGTGAGTCAAGCAGAAAGACCCAAGCTAAGGCAGAACTTGGGACGTGCACCTGATCCCCTGATTTTCTTATGGCACAAAATTCCAGGGCACCAACTCAGGTCTGTTTCCCAGAGATCATAGAGAGGTACAAACTTCACAATGAGAAAACCTTTGGGGACCAGCTATTTCTTCACCCAAAGTCAGCAACAGTGAAAGGCAGGAGACGGAAGGCAGGCCCGTTCCTCGTGCTTGGAAGATGAGCTGGGGAAGAGCTCACCCAACCCAGGAGATGTGTCTCCTGGAGGGCTGAGAGTCTCTGCTTGTCTCACCTTTTGCATTTGGCTGTTGATGTTACATGATGGACAGAAAGAGTAAATGACTGCCTTTTGAGACAAGGAAGCTTCTTCTCTCTTTTTCCAGCTTCTAACCTTCATTCCTCTGTAAAAATGGCTAGGGACTTTCCTGGTGGTCAGATGGTTGAGAATCCGCCTTGTAATGCAGGGGACTCGGATTCAATCCCTGGTCGGGAAACTACGATCCTACATGCCACGGAGCAGCTAATCATTCCCTGTGCCGCAGCTACTGAGCCTGCAAACCACAGACTAGAGTCCATGCACCTCAAGGAAAGATTCCACGTGGCAGAATGAAGATCCCATCTGCCGAAACTAAGATCCGATGCCATAAATAAATAAATAGATAAATAAATAAAAGAAGGGCTAAATGTTATGTGCAAGGTGGCCTGTAAACAGCTTGGACACCTAGTGGTAAACAAACAACGCTTTATTATTTTTTTCTCTTTCATTAAAAAAATCAGAACATTGATAACAAATGAGAGCTCGGACCCCCAGGTTCACCCTCACATTAAGCAAAGTAGCCCCAGAGAAAGATGGCACAGCTGATGCAAATGATGAGGCTGAGGTCCAGAAGGGTTTTCACCAAGGGGTTTTCTTCCAGGGAAACTATGACTGGGTCCACTCTGCTCGGCGCCTGCTCCTTGCCCTTGTTCTCCATCCCACAGAGCCACAAGATGGCTTTCACCACTTTGGACCGCTTTGTGGTCGTGTCGCCTAAAAAGAACACGACAGATAAAGGTCATAGGGTGAGCTGTGTCTCCCAGACAAGAGGGAAGAGAGCCTCATCCGGTATGTTTCAGAGACTGTGATAAAAACTTCATGTATACTATCAAGGGTGAAACAGATCACCAGCCCAGGTTGGATGCATGAGACATGTGCTCAGGGCTGGTGCACTGGGAAGACCCAGAGGGATGGGATGGGGAGGGAGGTGGGAGGGGGGAGCGGGATGGGGAACACATGTAAATCCATGGCTGATTCATGTCAGTGTATGGCAAAAACCACTACAATATTGTAATTAGCCTCCACTAATAAAAATAAATGAAAAAAAATGTTCCTCTTCTGGAAGGTATTTGCTAATAATACCTTAACCCTGGAAGACTGTTGAATTCTGAAAGGTTGGTGTTTTCAGACTTTTCATGATGTTTATGTGCATAATTTCAGATGAATTTCAGCCTCTCAGATAGAGGCTCAGAGTAACTTGAGTGAAGCACAGAGCGAGTCAGCAGAGGCAGAGATGGGCTTAGGACCTGCTCGATCTGATTCCCTCTCTGTGTGTGGCACCGCCTGCCCAGAGGCTGAAGGGAGACAGGCACTCTTGCAGGGAACTCTGTCTCCGCTCAGAGCTGGGGCTGCGAAATCAACTGCGGATGGAGCCAGGCAGGTGGCCTATGGGAGTCAGAGGAGCTGATTTTCTTCTTACACATGTCACCTCTACCAAGAAAGAGTCTTTCTCTCATGTTTCCTAAGCACACGGCCTTCTGCATCTATCCTTGCGTTTCCCACTAGAGGATGCCATGGGTTCATAGCCACAATTATTTTTTTTTAAGCCATTTGCTATTGGTTAGGCATCCAGTCATGTCCCACTCTTTATGACCCATAGACTGTAGCCCGCCAGGCTCCTCTGTCCATGGGATTTCCCAGGCAAGAACACTGGAGTGGGTAGCCATTTCCTCCTCCAGGGGATATTCCTGACCCAGGGACCGAACCAGAGTCTCCTGCATTGGCAGGAAGATTCTTTACCACTGAGCCACCAGGGAAGCTCCTTTAAAAGCCATGTGTGGTGATTAATGACAGCCACAGCCTTGGGGTCATGTAGGCAGAAGGGACTGCTGGGGACTTTGACTAACTGTATATCCCAGGTCTGAGGGCCAGCTGCTTTGCACCTCCAGGCAGCTTTTGCCAGGTAGGCATGTGGGCTCCATGCTGCCAGATCTTCCAATTGTTCAAAAGAAGGTGGAAATCTGGAATGTTATGAAATCTCCTGATTTTTAAGTAACTCACATCAAAAGAGTAGGTGGCCTAAACCCAAATATGTCTGCAAGCTGCGAGTTTAAAACCAGTAATTTAGAGAACGCCTACCACGTAGGGTTCCGTGAGGATCCAGTGAACTGTGTTTTAGTAGGCACTCAACAAACGTTGGCTCTCATTGTCCACCTGAAGCATCTGTCGAAAGTTCCTAACCCTTTCAGTGGCCAGAGAGCAAGGGAAGACCAGATCCTGGGAATGAGGAGATGCTAAAATGTCAAGTGTGGCCCTTTGCTAGTGATATGATAGAAAAATTTCCTCTGAAACACATTAATGCTTCTTGAGGTTCCTAACAGTAACCTAGGAAAAAGGCAACTCACAGCTGTGGGTTTTGGACATGTTTTCTTGAACCATCTCGAACTGGATGTTGGTGCCGCTGGCCTCTGGTGTCCCGTTCTGAGACAGGGTGAGAGGCGGGGGAGTTGCTGATGGCACCTGTTCCTTCTGGACCGCGGGGTCGTGGCGAGTAAACCAGGTCAAACGACTGACCTAAGGAGCAGAGAGGAATAGCAAGATGGGGGTGGGGTGGTGACTTCACCCTTTCTCCTACCTCCTTCCAAACAGGCTCAGCCTTCACGTCCAAGTCTCTTCCAGTCTTGCCCTCCCTTTCCACCTTCCAACAAGCTTCAGCTCCCTACACTCTTCAGAATCAATGGACATTTCCCCCACTCATTCCCCATCTTTCTTTGAAAGCCCCAAATCTCTTGTGGGGATCTCACCCTCTCTCATTCTAGTAAGAGCTTAACCCCAGCCCAGGGGTGTGTGGGACCCAGCAACCAGCATTCAGCTCATCCATTTCTCTGGCCACAGGGACTGGGTTGGTTCCTGGGTGACCATGTGTCTTGGGCTGACTCCATCAATGGGCATGAGCAGCTTCACTGGAAATGCTGGGACTAAAATGCTTATGCTTTTGCTTAATGAGACTAAGAGAGATGTATCCTAGAAGCTGCTGACCCCATTAGGGGCTGGAGAATAGGAATAGAGGTGAGAAGGGACTTCCCTGGGGTCCAGTGGTTAAAAGTCCACCTTCCAATGCAGGAGACACAGGTCAGGTAACTAAGACCCTGCACACAACGGAGAAATTAAGCCCTCACACTGCAACTACCGAACCTGTGCACTCTGGAGCCCACGAGCCACAACCAGAGAAGACCATGTGCCATTACACAGACCCAGTGCAGCCAAAATAAACAATACTTTTTTTTTTTTTTAAAGAAGTAAGAGGTGACCAACAGATTCAGATGGTCTTTTTGGTGTTCTGAAATCAAATTCCTCCCAAGACCGAACCCTGGACTTTTCAGCTTTTTGAAAATCAGCCCTGGCTTTCTGTCACTAGCAGTGAAGGGTCTCAGTGGATACAGGGTCAAACCCCGAAGTACCATTTCCTTGGAGGGCGGCTCTGTGAACCAGCTCACGGCACACACAGTGACCAGGGTGACCGAGGACAGGATCATAGAGAAGTAAAGGTAGTGGACATCCTTTACCACGGCCGGGCGCTCATCCAGCTGGTCACAGCGAGGCTGCACGTAGATGAAGTCCAGGATCAGCCGAACCAAGCCCGGGAGGAGGCCTAAGACGAGACCGAAGAAGGCGCCCTGCAAAGCAGAGCAAAGCCAAGCTGTCTTAGACACGTGCCTCCGGAAACCTCAGCAAGCTCTTTCCAGACCTGGTCTTTATAATGACGGTCACTGCAAGGGTCAGTGACTCAAAAAGGGTGAGAGCTACTTATCCGCCTATCTTTTACATACAATTGATCCACTACATATAATTCCCTGTTAATTCAGCTTCCCTTTTGAAAGACAAAATGCATCAAAGTAGAAGCTTCATTGCTTGTTTTCAAAAGCCAGGTCACACCCTCCCTGGATCCTTCTCCCCAGATCTCATCACCACCCCACAATGACACCTGACATCCATGTGTCCCCTCTCCAAGTCCCTCCTCTCCCATCCAATGGACTGAAGGGCTGATCCAGAGCTACCTTTTCATTGGCCCGCTTCCAGAAACATCCCATGATGAAGACCACAGCCACAGGTGGCTGTAGGTAGGAGCTGATGGACTGGATGTAGATGAAGAGCTGGCCGCCCTGGCTGGCCTGGACCACAGGGATCCAGAGGATGGAGACCAACACCAGAAGCAACACAAACACCCTGGTTCCGGATGGAGAGAGACACAACCCCCACGTTAGTTTTGTCCTCTCTGGATACTTCTCTTTTTTTTATAGCTTTCTGGAGTAGAATTTATATACCATAAGATTCACCCATTATGAGTGTGCAATCAAGAAATTTTGGTAAATTTATGGTCATGTAACAAACATCACAATCAAGTTTTTGAATATATATCACTCCAAAAAAATCCCCTCGACGCCAATTTACAGTTTATTCTTGTTTCCAACCTACAGAAGCACTTCTATCTGCTTCTATCTCTATGAAAGAAAGTTTTAGCCCCTCAGTCATATCTGACTCTTTGTGATCCTATGGACTATATCCACCAGGCTCCTCTGTCCATGGGATTTCCCAGGCAAGAATGTTGAAATGGGTTGCCATGCCCTCCTCCAGGGGATCTTCCTGACCCAGGAATCAAACCCAGGTCTCCTGCTTTGCAGGCAGATTCTTTTCCATCTGAGTCACCAGGGAAGCCCTATAGGGGCTTCTGTGTCTATAGGTCTGCTTTTCTGGACATGTCACATAAATGGTATACAATATATACAGTACATGGTCTTTTGCAGTTGGCTTCTTTCATTTAGCATGTTTGGAAGTTCATCAGATATCATGTATCAGTATTTCATTCCTTTTCATTGTCTAAACATTCCATTGAGTGGATATGCCGTTGTATAACTATTGTTGAAAACATTCCATTGAGTGGATACGCCATTGTGTAACATTATTTATCCTTCACCCATAAGTGGACATTTAGATTGCTTCTACTTTCTGGCTCTTGTAAAAACTGCTGCTATGAACACTTGTATACAAGTCTTTGTGCAGACATATGGTTTTATTTCTAGGAATGCAGTTGCTGGGTCATATAGTAAATTTATATTTAACTTTTTAAGAAAATGCCAAACTGTTTTTGAACAGTTGAACCATTTTATATTAACACCTGCAATGCACAAGAATTCCAACTTTTCTGCCTCCCTATCTGCTTTTCAATTATAGCCATACTAGTGGGTGTACAGTGGTATCTTGATGTCACTTTCTAGATTACAATCTCATTTTGAAGATTGTTCTATATTACAAGTCCTTTGTCAAATATTTGGCTTGCAAATAGTTTCTCCCAATCTGTGACTCATCTTCTCATTCGCTTTCTTTCCTTTCTTTTTTTTCCCTTTTTTATTTTCTTGGCCACCCTGCACCGCGTGTGGGATCTTAGTTCCCTGATCAGAGATTGAACCTGAGTCCCTTGCATTGGAAGCTCAGAGTCTTAACCACTGGACCACCAGAAATCCCCTTTTCATTTTCTTTTGAAGTGAAAAAGTTTGGGGTTTTGATGAGATCTAATTTAGCCCTCTCTTTTTTTAACAGAATATGCTTTTGATGATGTCATAGTTAATGGCTCACTCATGTTCGACTCTTTGAAACCCCATGGACTGTAGCCTACCAGGCTCCTCCGTTCATGGGATCTTCCAGGCAAGAGTAACTGGAGTGGGTTGCCATTGCCTTCTCCAGGGGATCTTCCCGACCCAGGGATCAAACCCAGGTCTCCTGCATTGCAGGCAGACGCTTTACCGTCTGAGCCACCAGAGACCATACCTGCCCACAATCATGAGCTCCTTCTCAGATGCCCGAGGCCGGAGATGGTTCCAGAGGTCCATGGTGAAGATGGTGCTGGCACTGTTAAAGATGGAGGTGAGGGAAGACGTGAGCGCTGCCACCATCACAGCCATCATGAGCCCGCGGAGCCCTGGGGGCAGAAGGGAGCTCTATGGGCCTTGGGCTTTTTCTGCCTTCACTGTTGACCCCATTGCCCGGGTCTGCAGCCAATCGGTCCTGAGAGGCCCAACACTGAGAAGGCAGAACGCAGGGCTGGGAGCCGAGAGGAGGGACACAGAGGTGGGTGAGGCACAGACCCTGCGTAGCCAGGGCCTAAACTTCAACTGGGGGCCCCTCGTATCTTGTCCCCCACCTCGGATCAGAGCAGGGTCCTCCTTTCTCGCGGGGACGCAGCTGAAGGGTGAGGGATCATTACCTGTAGGCAGGAGTTCCAGCACAAGTTTGGGATACGCGATGTCAGAGCAGCCGGCGGGGTTGCTACAGACCTCCCGGCAGATTTCCGGGTCTGCACAGGCCACTTCGTCTGTGGAGGAAAGAAGCCCAGAGATGGCTAGATGGACGCTCAGAGCCCCAGGCCCGGCCAAAACACAGCTTGGCGCCGGTCAGCACCAGGAGACAGGGTTACTGTGTGTAAGTGTAGAGCTCAATGAAATAAAAAGGACCCTGGACTTGATTAAGGGCTTCCCAGTGGTAAAGAATCTGCCTGCCAATGCAAGAAACATGGGATCAACCCCTAGGTCAGGAAGATCCCCTGGAGGAGGAAAAGGCAACCCACTCCAGTATTTTTCACTGGGAAACCCCATGGACAGAGGAGCCTGGTGGGCTACAGTCCATGGGGTCGCAATAAGTCGGACATTATTTAGCGACTAAACAACAGCCTTAATAAACCATGGCCTTCTCACTTAACCATCCTGGACCTCAGCTGCTATATCTGTGAGATTGGGGCCATAACGGGACTTTACTTCATAAGGTTATAATGAGGACTGAGATGGCATACATTAACACCCTTATCACAGAGTCTGAGACTTGGGAAGTGCTGAGTTCATTTCAACTACTTTTACTGTAACCTCAGTAAAGCTGACAGCTCACGGTTAGTCTCAGCACAGTGTTCCACATCAGGTTCCTTAACTCCCTAAAAAGGACAAAGCAATTCACCTCTTTACCTAAGTTTACTGAAAGTGCAAAGGAAAATGCCATCATTTGACACACGGCAAATATTTTAAAAATTCCTCTTTTCCCCATCTCCTTCCCGATAGCACATGTTCCTCATTTTAGACTCATAAAAACTCTACCCACTCTGAAGCTTTCTCTCCCCCTCTTTCTCCGTTTCTGTATCAATTCTTTTCTCTTCCAGGCAGCATTCTGATTTTCTAGTGTAAATCCATCCAGAATTCCTGGCACCTCTAGTTCTTCATCTCTACCATCCAAAGCATACAAGCGTAGACCTCTTGCTTACAAGATAGAAAGAGATTAAAAAAAAATTATGCTAATGTGTGGTACTGATAGGGACAGAGTAAAGGGACAAAGTAGATGATTATATAGTTAATCCCACTAGGGGATTGTAAGTAAAAAAATATATAGGAGAGCCTTGTAAGTTAATGATTGCTCAAGGGAGCAGGTTTGCTCAACCATAATACCAAGCAGGCTGGCTTAGCAATAAATCCAGGCAACAGAAGCATGGGACCTGCCCCCAAACAGTAAAACAATGGTGACACAAGACCCACAACCTGCCCAGTGAGCTCCAGAAGTTACTGATTCCTAAGACATGCTCTCTGCACACATGTAAAACAATAATCTGTGGACCCAGCTTGACCCCGTAGGGATGAGAAAATTCCCCTGCGCATCCTGGAGAAGGAGCTGATGTTGGAAGCAAGAAAGACAGGCAAGAAAGTCTACTGAAGAAAAACAAAGACGTTCCTCTCCCCCACCCCCTACTCTTCCTTTGGTTATGAGACTGTAGCCCAGTAAGTTCTCGGGGCATGGCACCCCCTCGCCCACCTGCTTGTAAGTCTCACAGCCGTTCTAGGAAATCACTTCTTATCCATCACTTTGCCTCCCACAGAGTTCTTTCTGTGCTGAGACATAAAGGACTGTGGTACCGGGAGCTCTCTGGAGCCCCCCTGAAATGCCACTAAACAATTTCAGTGCAGAGTAGCTGCTCAATACACTTCTGTTGGGAAGAGGCTAGCTATCTCATTAATAGCGCTATCTTCAGAGAGGGGATGGGACCTGGTTATCATCGCCCAGCAAGGTCATGATGGAGACAGGTCTCCCAACTCCCAATCCAAAGTTTCAGAGAAGGCCCAGAGTGTAGGTAGTTTCAGTAGTCTGGCACGTGTTTGAATGAGAGCTTTCTTGTTACTTTCTGTCTTCTTCAGCTCCTCATATCTGAGCTGAGCCATGCTCCTCACCACCGTCTCCATGCCAACACATCACACTCACCCCTGCTGGACCACTTATAAATCCTCATATCTCTTTTGCCAGCTGGATCTATTAATAGGGGTAACTCCCATAAACAACTCCCAGACCCTCCCTCTGTCTTTCTTCCTCATTCTGATGGGTGACACTGTCTTCCAGCCCACCTCCGATGGCAAGTGACAACTACCCCAAGACTCAGTTTAGGGGTGGGCTTGGAGCCCATCACTGCCCACGCCCATCTCCTCCCAGGTTTTGATGCAATACCAATGTCATGGTGATAGTGTAGTTGAGGCCTCAAATTCACAAGTGGCCTTGAACACAGATGCTTGATAGGGTTACAGGAGGCAGATAGCTAGGTATGAGCAGGGAAACGGGGGCAGGGGCCAGGTGGCAGGAAATCTTGTAAACATCTTGTAAATGTCTTGGAAACAGTGAGGCAGATGAAGGAAAGCAGGAAACTCCGTACTGACAGGAAACTACATATTTTAGGTGATAAGGGTTCAGGTAACAAAGAAAGGTGGGGAAAGGCAGGAATTTCCTGCCATCAAGGATAACCTTTTGCTTAGTATGTTCTTATTACAATAAAATTGGCCTTACAGATAAGAAGTACCTACCATGCACTGATGCCATGACACTTCTGGTCTAAGCTAAATAGGGACAAAAATCCCTCCTCCCCTTGGGAAAATGGAACTGGGGTTAAAATCAGGGAATACAAATGCCAAACTCCTCCTTCCTCATGGAATATTCTGCCCCTTCATCTGTATGAAGCCCTTCAACATAGATGATAAAGAAACCCAGGGTGGCGGCTCCTCACCTGTCTGCCCACTGTCCCCCTTGCTTAAATAAACTCTCACTTTATCTTCTCAGCCTCTCTGCTTTGTCTCTGAAATCTTTCGGGATGAAGAAAGAACCTTAAATTCACCAGCAGTAACGTTATCTCCAGATGAGGTTGTATGCCTGGTCTTTATATTTGTATCTGTGTTAAAACTATTAGCTTAATAAATGTGAACATTTAAAGTATATCACAACTTTAAAACCCAATACCGTTGGTTCTTTTCTTTAATTAAAATTTTTATTGAAGTATAGTTGTATAACACAGAAGCTTACAATGTTTCAGGTGTATAGCAAAGTGATTCAGTTATATTTGTGCGTATATATATATATATATATATATATGTTCTTTTTGAGATTCTTTCCTTTATTGACTATAGTTCGCTGTAGGTCCTTGGTGTTTATCTATAGTAGTGTGTATCTATTAATCCCAAATCCCTAATTTATCCCTCCCTGCCCCCTAATATTTTTTATTCTTCTTTTTGCCATACTGCACAGCTTGCAAAGTTTTAGTTCCCCAACCAGGGACAGAACCTGGGTCCCCTGCAGTGGAATAACAGAGTTCTAATCACTGGATTGCCAGGGAAATCCCAATTCTTCATTTTCTTTTTTAAGGTAGTATAAGACCTAAGAAATGAAAATCACTCCAGACCTCTTCATCCATTAGGAAGCCCAAGGACTTTGGGCTTTGTAAAATTTCTCCACTCACAGCTATGTCTTCTCCAAGCTGGGACCCTTCCCTCCACTTACATCCATGAGTAAGAAAGGGTGCTGTGGCCACAATTAATAATACTAATAACAGGGGACCTCCCTGGTGGTCCACTGGCTAAGACTCCACGCTCCCAAAACAGGAGGCCCAGGTTCAAGAGTTGTCATGTTGCAACAAAGATCAAAGATGCCATATTAAGACCCAGCACAGCCAAATAAATAAATACATATATATATTTAAAATAATAACAATTGCTATGGAATAAAAGTCGATGCCTCTAAAACTCTGATTCAGTTTAGACAAAATTCAGATCGCAGACAAAAAATGATATTTGACAGAAAGTACTGAGAAGGAACAATCTTTTTGAGAAAAATGCTTTTGAGAGGTCAGAGTTCTTGGCTTGTTTATGATTTGTCTGAGGAAGCTTTGGAGAAGGTTAGAAAATAGTTACATTCCTGTGGCTAGAAGGCGGTAGGGAGCCTCCCAGGGTGGGGGCAAAGATCTTGTTTACATTCACATGTTATGGGTTCAAACTCTCACTGACCAAAAACTCCTCTCTTCAAGGGACACCAAGAAGGAGCAAGACTCCCCCTGAAATAATTCATTTAACAACCAAGTTTTTGTTTAACCCTCTAGGTATGCAAACTTCAACCATGAAACATGTGACAGAAAGTTTATGATGCATGTTTAGGGCAGAAAAGTATGTTTGCTCATTCAAGCTGAAGAATATGTTCGTCACAAGGAAACTAGTTGGCTCAGCTAAGTTATAAATGAAATTGACAGCCTTGCGATTGTTAACCCACCATTCACTAATATCTGCTCACATGTCTTGGGTGAATTAATCAACCATTTCATACATTGAGTGGATTCCCTTGTCAGATCCTATGATGCTTGAAATAAAGGATGGCTCTAGCAGAGTCCAATCCAAACGCAGAACCAAACCTCCTTCTTCCAAAATGCCAGCATTCCTAGAAGTTGTACTGTGACGCAGATGCTGCAAATTAACACTCTACACATACCTTCTCATGAGTTTTCAAAACTGTGGGGAAGACATTTCTATTATACCGATTTTTAAAATATTTATTAATTATTTGGCTGCCTCAGGTCTTAATTGTGGCACGCAGCATCTTCATTGTGCTGTGAGATTGTGGTGCATGGACTCTAATTGTGGTAGGGGGGCTCAGTTGCTCCATGGCATGTGGGATCTTAGTTCGTCAGCCAGGGATCAAACCCGCATTGCAAGGCAGATTCTTAACCACTGCATCACGAGGGAAGTCCCTATTATACCTATTTTAAAGACAAGCAAATTGAGACCCACAGAGGCTAATTACATCCCCAAATCATAAAGCTAGGATCATGGCTAGGACTCAAAACCTTAGTTTATTCCAAAGCTTAGGTGGAGATGATTGGCTTTGTAAACAGGTACATTTCTAGACTCTTGTGTTTCATTGTTTTGAGGGTCATTTTGCTTCTTTCTTGGTTTCTACCAGAGTTCCTTTATGGTGGGTATTATTTTTCAGCTGGACTAAGTGGAAGACGATGTCGTCCAGGCTCATGAGAGCCCAGGATCAGAGCATCCTTTGAGGCAGTGCTGGACCCATCTGAAGATTCAGTAGGGAGCTGGTGGAGCCAAGATGGAGAGAAGAGTAGAAATGGGTAGGAACAGTGGCTTGGCCTGGCCCCTGGCCCTTTAGACCAGGGATTCTCCACCTTCTGCTGGGCCCCATCTCGAGACCTGGATTCAATAGGTCTTGGATGGGGTCTGAAAAGTTTGCCTTTCTAGCAAGTTCCAAAGCAACTCTGATGCTGCTAGACTGGGGACCACACTTTGAGAAGTTCTGATCAAGACTTTCAAATCCACCACGCCAACCTCACCATCTCCACCCTGCCTCACTCTCTCAAATTCATTTCTCACTTATTGCTGGTACCATAGGCTAGAGTGTTTTGATATTTATTTTCTTTTACTTTTTCATGAGTACCAGACTCATCTGAGATGTTACAACTCCCTAGAGTCACAGAATGTGGCATTATGTTTCATTTAATAATCATCACTGATTGGCTGACTGCTAAGAGTGAGGATCAGGGTCTTGTTATTGATCTTCCAGATATAGATCCAAAGCTTAAGATGTGATTTCCTGAGAGACAGTAGCATGATTAAGAGTCAGGTTTTGGAAGCAGATGCACCTGTCTGCAGGTACAGGTATATAGATCACCAGTTCCTCATATCACAATGACTCCCAATAACATTTTCCACTCCTTGGCCTGTTTAATCCCCATGCTGAAAACCTCATTCCTCTACCAAGTTTTTTTTTATAGATAAGGCAAATACTCTAGAGGTTTGATACCCCAGTTTTGTTAAGAAAAGTACCCCACCAGGGGTTCTATGCTTCCCTTGTGGCATATTAAAAAGCAGAGACATCACTTTGTCAACAAAGGTCCGTCTAGTCAAAGCTACGGTTTTCCCAGTGGTCACGTATGGATGTTAGAGTTGGACCATAAAGAAAGCTGAGTGCCAAAGAATTGATGCTTTTGAACTGTGGTGTTGGAGAAGACTCTTGAGAGTCCCTTGGACTGCAAGGAGATCCAACCAGTCCATCCTAAAGGAAATCAGTTCTGAATATTCATTGGAAGGATTGATGCTGAAGCTGAAATTCCAATACTTTGGCCACCTGATGGGAAGAACCAACTCTTTGGAAAAGACCCTGATGCTGGGAAAGATTGAAGACAGGAGGAGAAGATTGAAGGCAAGACAGAGGATGAGATAGCTGGATGGCATCACCAACTCAATGGACATGAGTTTGAGCAAGCTCCGGGAGATGGTGATGGACAGGGAAGCCTGGTGTGCTGCAGTCCATGGGGTCGCAAAGAGTCAGACACAACTGAGCGACTGAACTGAACTGAACTGAACTGAAGGGTTCCATTGGGCTGAAGTTGCCAAACCACTGAAGTGTGAGGGGAGCCCTCACATGAGATTTCAGGGAGCTGACATCTGGGACAAGATTTAGCCTCCTTTGTGGTTTTAAAATATATAAATATATAGTTGATGGACTTCCCTAGTGCTCCGGTGGCTATGACTCCACACTCCCAATGTAGGGGGCCTGGGTTCGATCCCTGGTAAGGGATCTAGATCCCACATGCCACAACTAAGTGTTCACATGCCTCAACAAAGACCAAAGCTCTCAAGTGCTGTAACTAAGGCCTGGTGCAGTCAAATAAATAACTAAAATATATAGTTGAGGCAAAGCCCCGGATAGGTCTCCACTCTGTTTGACCTGGGACATCTATAGGATGTGCCCATTGAACCAACATTGGGGAACGGCACAGAGTCAGTAGATGCCAGAATGGAGATGCCTCAGTCGCATCACAAGGAAGGGACATCAGCCTCACTCACACGGGGCAGTCGGTAATATGTTTAGAACACTTCACAGGGTCTGCGACTCACAGACAATGTCTCCTCCCAGCTGTCTTCTTACCTGGAAAGAGGACACGGCTGACCATCCCCGGGAACACCATGATGAAAAGGGGCAGCACCTTCAGGTAAGCAGCCATCAGAGAGCCCCCTTTGGCATGGGACAGGTTCTTGGCAGCCAGAGTCCGCTGAACAATCACCTGGAAAACAGCGGGATGGTTGGAAGCTGAGATGACTTTCTCTTAACGCAAACTAGATGTGCGTGGCTTCTTGGTAGGCATAGTAGACTCAGGAGTCCAGTGGATCTGGCTTCTCCAAAGAAGCATCTCTTTTATTCTCAATCCCTGTGATCCAGTGGTCCAGCCGCAGGGGCAACACCAAGGCGGAGAAAGCAAGAACTGGAAGGAGGATAGAAGAGAAAGGGAGGTTCTGAGATATTGCTACCACCAGGATTGGTGTATCTGGGCTTATAGTTACTGCATATTGGTACACCTAGGTCTTAGCCTGACCCTCTTCTCTCTGATGGGAGGCATAAGGTAGGTCTTATCAAGATTTCTCCCTTCAGAAGAGATTGGTGGTTGCCAGAGACAAAGGGTGGGGGTGGGCAAAAATGGGTGAAGGGGGTCAAAAAGCACAAATTTTATTTATAAAATAAGTCCTAGGGATGTAATATACTGCATGGTGACTATAGTTAATACTGGGTCGCCTATCTTTAAGTGGCTAAGAGATGACCTTAAAAGTTCTCATCACACCAGAAAAAGGTCTCATCACAAGAGAAATATTGTAACTATGTATGGTGATGAAAAACAACTACATTTATTTTGGTGATGATTTTGCAATATACCCAAATTTTGAATAGCATAAAAAGATTTATCCACTCAAAGGGAATGACATGCTGTCGAGTGTTTTTTGAGTAGAAAGAAGACCAGCCCCCACAAATCCTGCTCCAGCCTTCAGACTGCATCTACATGAACTCAGAATTTTCTCTACTATTTCCTGAGGTTTGGGGTCTTGAAGCATCTGGAGAAGTTGCAGAGACCTTTGGTGAATTGGTGTTTAATCGCTAAGTCGTGTCTGACTCTTTGTGATCCTATGGACTGTAGCCCACCAGGCTCCTCTGTCCATGAGATTTCCCAGACAAGAATACTGGAGCGGGTTGCCATTTCTTTCTTGAGGAGAGCTTCCCAACCCAGGGACCAAACCCATGTCTCCTGCATGGGCAGGCGGATGCTTTACCCCTGGGCCATCTACCAGAACTTTCGGTTGGTTCCGTGAACAGTGGACAAGAGGAGTGAAATGTCATTACCACCACCGTACTGTGGTGAGCAGGACGAAGTTGGGATCCTTCCCATTTTTAGAAAGTGTTCATCAGTGGCATAGGCTTGCCAGAGTGTCCTGTGTCTTCTTTTGAAACCCACCCCCTCTCCACATGGCTATCCTGTCTCCTTGGGCACAGGTCCTGCCTGATCCCGGGGTAGGCACGTGACCCCAGCTTGGCCAACCAGAGCCCTTGCACGGGGTTTTTGGATCTGGGACTTTGGGAGTTGTCAGTCTCTTTCCACTGGACCTTGATGAGAAACAATGAAGTCCGCAGGTAAGAAATAAAGACCCTGGAGAAGGATACCAGTGTACGTTCCAGGAGTTTCTGAAGGCTAGGACACCTTCCTGCAGTTCATATTCCATGAGGGAATAAATTCCCCACCCTTTTCCTAAACTGGTTTAAATTTGATGTGTTTTTTTTTTTTTTTTCCCCCTGGGACTGCAACCAAGTGTTTCCTCACCTGCATGGATGATGATTATTTGTTTGGATGCTGTCAGTAAACGAGTCTAAAACATGGGATCAGCTTATTTGAGGAAAGGTGGGGGAACAGTGAGGCTCCCTCTATCCAGAGCTGGGGACTTAGCTGTCCTTGTCTAGAAGCTGATTTAACTATTACCTATCATTTCTCATAACTCCAAACATACACCCACTGGGCTTTCTAGAATAGTTAAGAATGTGGTAGTTTCATGTAACAATATAGCATTTATAGAATACTTTTTAAAAAATGGTTTCATTAAGATGCCGAAGGGGCATCCCCAGTAGCTCAGCGATAAGAATCCGTCTGCAATGCAGGAGGCACAGGAGATTCAGGTTGAACCCCTGAGTTGGGAAGATCCCCTGGTGAAGGAAATGGCAACCCACTCCAGTGTTCTTACCTGGAGAATTCCATGGATAGAGGAGCCTGGTGCGCTATGGTCCCCGGGGTGACAAAGAGTCAGACACGATGGAGCAACTGAACACAGTCGCTCAAAGGTGCCAGGAGAGGCATTCAACCTTCAATCCTTGTCAGTCCGTCTGGAAGCAGATGGGAGAGTTTATAGTTTTGGAAAGCCTAGCCCTTGAGATGGCAGGTTCAAAGCTGTGACTGAAAGGAGTGTGGGCTTTTATTCCCATGAAGTGGAGACTCCAGAGGTGAATTTAAGAGGCAGCTGAGTTTTAAGAGAGTTGTGCTGCTCAAAACCCCACAAGCCCTGTGAAGAGTGTGTGGCCCTATATGACAACCCCTAGACCCAAGTAATGGAGCAGAGCTCACAGAAATGTTACGAAAATGACTGAATTAATACATAGGAAATGCTTCAATCAGTTACTGGTAAATGGTGCAGTTATCAATAAATGTTTAAGTGTCATTACTTTAATGACTGTGATCTGCCCTTCTGTCTCTGCACAGAAAGATCTAAAACACGCTCTCAATCAGCACACCATGCATGCCACTTGGCCTTTCTTCTGCTCTAAAGTGAGCTACACAGGGAGCTGACAAAAAATGTGCATCTCCTAGGGCAGCACCAGCACGATGAACTAACACATAACACAGCCTTTGGGCTCCACAGAATCCGGTTCAGCAGCAACAAGACCGAACGCCGTGGGCTCCAAAGAAGGCTTGGTTTTCTGGGCTCTCTTGCCCTCCCTGGCATCTAGAAGGTGATCAAGTCATCGTGGATTAAGTCCCCAGGCTCTTGAACAATACAAGGTGGGTTGAAGGTGGGCTTCAAGGGATGTACACTGAAATCCCAGCCAGCAAGGGTCTGAGGCATCTCAAGGAAATATTCATATCGATTAATGAATATAAGCTGGTGACCCGTGTCAAGAGCAGTAGCATAAAACCATAGGAAAAATGTAAATGATTTTAATGGTTTATTAAATGCCCCTACAACGGAAAGGACTATGAGCAAATTTCCAATGTTCTCTCTTTTGCAATTACTAGTAATCCCACTCATGAGAAAACAGAGGCTGAAGCTATTAAACAAAGTTATGCCACCTGAGCTTGAGTCCAAGCCTATAAAGGTTGAAAAAGCCCAGGCTCTTAGCCTCCATCTGAACTGTCTCCCAGGCACTCTCCAGCCCAATATTTGCTAAGGAAAAGATCAGGGGAGGAGGGCAGGAGGGGAGAGTGATTTTCTAAAGGGGCAATATTGCACCCATCTCTGCCGTGGGTTTTAGCTCTTCACTCAGAGGAATTCTCATCCATGGGGTGACCAAGGTTCACTCTGCAGTGCCTCCTGCATCAATTCAGTGGTCTGACTCCATGATCATTATTTTAGCTAAAGTCTCATCAGCTCTGAATATGAAATACAGTTTCCAAAATGGCACACAAATCGCTGATCTTTAATGTAATGGAAAAACTGATTTCAACAGATGACGTATTCACAGGGCTTGAAATCTGAGAAAGTACAAACAGGTGTGCAGTGAAATGGCTCCCGTCCTTCCTGGCACACCTACCCCAGGAAGTAATCGCCCTCGGTTTTAGGTGATCCATCTGGAGTTTCCTTCAGCACACTCATGTGTGTGTCCCTGCTCATTCAGTCGCTCAGTCATGTCTAGCTCTTTGCAATCCTGGTGGCTCTGTAGCCCACCAGGCTCCTCTGTCCATGGAATTCTCCAGGCACGAATACTAGTGAGGGTTGCCATGTCCTCCTCCAGGGGATCTTCCCAACCCAGAGATCGAACCAGCATCTCTTACGTCCCTGCATTGGCAGGTGGGTTCTTTACCACTAGCGCCACCTGGGAAGCTCTTCAGCAAATACAAGCAAATGCAAATTACGGAGTCTATCCCCACCTCACCTTTTAACACAAAAGGCTTATTTTACCCATAGCAGTGTTTTTTGCCTTTCTAATTTCTTTCTTTCTTTTTTTTTTTTACAGCAGTTATATATTTGCTTTAAGGGATTGGCTTTGGTGGGTCCCTCTGCCCCAAACTCTCTTCCCTGACAATCACCAGAACCCACTTGCTCTCCTCCTTTGCCCAAAGGTCACTTCTCAACCATGATTCCCCTGCCCACCCTATTTTAAACGTCACTCTCACAGTCTCAACCTCCTTTTTTATTTGTTAATGACAGTTATCACCTTGTAATGTTCCATTTACTTATTTACTGCCTGTCTACTTCCATCAGAAGAAAGTGAGCTCTACAAGGACCGAGTGTCCTTGTTTACTTGTGATTTCTAAGCAGCTGGTACAGAGAGAACACCCAGGATTTGCGGAGCAGGTAATACCAATGTCAGTTAAAACCTCCATTTAAAATATATCACCGCTTTTGCTTACTGGATCTTTCCAGACATTCAGCAGGATGTATCAAGTTTTCCCTTTGCAAAAAGCAGCAGCTTCAGATTTGCCATATGAGCAAGAGTAAGAAGATAAGGTGTAGAGTAGTAGAGAAATAAGAGAACAGATGGGGAAGGACAAAAACCCAGCTTCCAGACACCCCAGGGAAGGAAGCATTCTGGGGGCGGCTGGCTCAGCCTGCTGCCCTGTACCTGATCCGTGCACCAATACCAGAGCGACGGGATGGACATTCCAAATAGAATCCCGGGCCACGGGAGATCAGACGTCACTGGGTCTCGGAAAATATGGAAGGCATCTTCCCGGGGCAGCCCGCAGCTGCTGTTCCCACTCCGGTTACTAGCCATGGCCAAGAAATATTTCTCCTCCAGGCCTTCCAGCCCACCAACTGCAGCGAAACCTAGAATTCAGAGGAAGCCCAAATTTGCCAGGAACTCAGCTTGATCCACAGAAGCTCATGAGGGGATGGTTGGAGATTGGTGAAATCCTACTTAGAACCACATGAAAGTTAATTGACTTAGAGGTTCTTAGCCTCCTATTTTAAAAAAAAGAATTTTTTAATGCCTTTGGTAGTGACTTGCTTCTTAGAATAATATTTCTAAATTTATAATGCAAAATGGTCATTTAGTCGCTAAGTCGTGTCTGACTCTTGCGACCCCCTGGGCTATATAGTCCACCAGGACAGTCCTCTGTCCATGGGATTTCCCAGACGAGAATGTTGGAGTGGGTTGCCATTTCCTCTTAATACAAAATACACAGATTATAAACGAAACCAAATACATTGAAGGCACTCATCAAATGATGAGAACTCAGACATAGTAATTTATTTATTTGCACCGTTAAATAGAAAGACTCCACAGTGGGTCAAATAACAATCTAGTTTTAAAGCAACCATGGAACAAACAATGTTTCAATACATCAGCAGCAATTATAAAAACATTTGGATAAAAATATCAGGGTTATATTTTGGTTTCAAAGTCACAGATATTGCTAATATTCCTGTGGTGAGCTGCCTATACTAATAACTGAAAGATGCTAAATGTCACTGATAGATTTGTGAAAACAGAGATGGATTTCTTTCCCATCCAAGGTTCACAAAACCTGTAAATTCTGTCCATGGACCCCAAGTTAAGAAACTCTGCCTTAAGGAAACATACTTTTACCTCTAAACTTCTTCTCAGCTATCTCAATTTATGGTATTTCAAGAGTGGTCCAAGTAACCTATGGCCTTGAGAAAGTTATTTCTCCATCTGAGATTCAGTTTTGCATCTGCGAGTGGGAATAATATAGTGCCAGCCTCACAGCACTGGAGCAAGGACGAAGTGAGATGCTGCACATAGAATGCACAGCATCTGGCACAAACATGAGTTGTCCTTAAAAAATAATAAAGCACTGTAGTTTGCAGATTATTTGCTTCTTTACATTAATTTAAAGGATTCAAGGTTATCCCCAAAATAACACTGCTCTCACTGGATTATGTTCTGGAAGGTTGTGTTTGTCTTTTTTGTTTCATTTTTCTTCCTGGTTATTTTTTGTTTGTTTGTTTCTTGGTATGGTTGGTGTTACCATTTGGGTAAGAATGATATGTAAATACTGCAGCCTGGCTTATTTTTGTGGAAGAGTGTGGTAAACAGTGGCTACTGGGGGAAAAATATTTTTTATAATAAATTTTTGTCATGCTTTTTTCCCTGAAAAATTGTTTTGTGGCAGTGGGAGGAAAGGATAATTATTTGTGGTCCAATTATCAGTAATTGGACCTTGAATATATACCATTCAAGTCAAGAGAAAGCTAGACAGACTATATTAATATTAGACAAATTAGACTCCAGAACAAAGAAAACGGCCAAGGATAAAGAGGAACATCACATAATTATAAGGGGGTCAACTCACCAAAAGCTCATAACAATCCTAAAAAGAGAAAGAAGTCAACCATTATAGTTGGAGACCTCAATACCCCTTTTTTAGTGGTTGATGGAAAAAGTAGACAAAAATATTTATACAGATAAAGAAGATTTATACAACACTATCAACCGAGTTGACCCAATTGAAATTTATAAAGCACTACACCCAACAATAGCAGAATACATATTCTTCTCAAGTACTCTAGGAAGGTTCATTAAAACAGGCAATGTTTCTGGCCATAAAACAAACCTCAATAAGTTCATAAGAAATAAAATCATACAAAATATAGTCTATTATTGTAATGGAATTAAACTAAAAATTAATAACAGAAATATATCAGAAAAATCTCCAATATTTGAAAATAAGTTGTCCCTGTTTGCTGATAATATGGTATTATATATAAAAAACCCTAAAGATTCCACCAAAAACAGTTAAAACTAATAAATGAATTAATTTAGTAAAGCTTCAGAATGCAAAATCAATATGCAATAATCAATTGTGTTTCTATATACTATACGCCTGCAATGAGGGAGACCTGGGTTTGATCCCTGGGTTGGGAAGATCCCTTGGAGAAAGGCATGGCCACCCACTCCAATATTCTTGCCTGGAGAATCCCTATGGAAGGGAGGAGTGGGCTACAGACCATGGGGTTGCAAAATGTTGGACACAACTAAGTGACTAAGCACATAAGCAAATACTATTGGAAAGAGATATTCAGAAAATGGTACCAATACACATTACTACATATAAAATAAACAACATGGATTTACTGTATAGCACAGGGCACTATATTAAATAATTTATAATCTATAATGGAAAAGAATCTGAATATATATACACACATATACATATTTACACCTCAAACTAATACATTACTATAAATTGACTATACTTCCATGAAAAGAAAAGAATATCATTTCTAATTGCATCTAAAAGAATAAAATAGGAATCAGTTTAATCAAGGAGGTGAAAAGATCTGTACACTGAAAACTATAAATAAGAGTGATAAAAGAAATTGAAGAAGACACAAATAAATGGACAGATATTTCATGTTAATGGACTGGAAGATCAAGATTGTTAAAACATCCATACTACTCAATGTGATCCACAGATGTAATGAGATCCCTATCTAAATTTCAGTGGCATTTTTCACAGAAATAGAAGAAAGAACAGGAAAGCAAAAAACAATCCTAGCGTTTACATGGAACCACTAAAGATCCTGAATAGCCAAAGCAACCTTGAGAAAGGTCAAAGCTGGAAGCATCACAGTTCCTGATGTCAAACTATATCACAAAGCTGTAGTAATCAAAACAGTACAATATTAGGGAAAAGCAGTCCTATAGACCAATGGAACAGAATTCAGAGCACAAAAACAGGACTTTCCTGGTGACCCAGTGGTGAAGAATTCACCTGCCAATGCAGGAGACATGAGTTAGATTCCTGGTCTGGAAAGATTCCACATGCCACAGGGCAACGAAGCCTGCGCACCACAACTATTGAGGCTGTGTTCTAGAGTCGGGAACCACAACTGCTGAAGCCTGCGCACCCTAGGGCCTATGCTCAGCAACAAGAGAAACCACTGCAGTGAGAAGCCAGCATACCACAGCTAGAAAGTAGCCCCCCTCGCCGAAACTACAGAAAAGCCGACACAGCAGTGAAGACCCAGCACAACCAGTAAGTAAATAAGTTTTAAAGGCACAGAAATAAAACCATGATAAACAAGGAGATTGGAACTGACATATACACATTACTATATATTAAATAGATAACTAAAAAGAACCTACTGAATAGCACAGGCAACTCTCCTAAATGCTCTATAATAACTTACATGGGAGAAGAGTCTTAAAAAGAGAGGATATACATATATATATATATATATGACTGATTGATTTTGCCATACGGCAGAAACTCACACAGAATGGTCAATCAACTTATTCCAATAAAGATTAATTCTAAAAAACAAAATAAGCTTTATGATTTAAAAAAAGAAAGAAAATCATGCATATATTGTCAATCCGTTTTCCACATTTAAAAACCTGCAGATACCGTAAGAGAAACTCTGCCAGATATAGCAGAATGAGGAAGGCTGCTGAAGGTGGATCGGTAATCTCTCTCCTGACTGATCATAATAAATTAAGTAGTGGAATTTCCTCATTGAGACCCCATATTTTAGAAAGAAAGATCAGGAAGTTTGGCTAAATAACAAACCGTGTGAAGGTCTATCTTTTGGCTCTTTTGCCTCCAAAACCTGAGAGTGTTACGAGTCACTTATTTGGCACTGGGAGTTTCAAAATGTTATGATAGCAACCACACCCAACATTTATCTAGTGAGGCTGAACATGTGTCTTTATATATTTATTACTCATTTGTTTTCTTCTTTATATAAACCAGTGAAGTTTTTCTTCTTTGTAAGGGTCCAGAACATTTTCTGTTAAAGTTTATAATAAGCAAGTCTTATTGCTGTTTTTTTTTTCGTGTGTGTGTGTGTGAAACTAATTTATTATTCCATGATTTTTTAAAAATTTTGTTTGAAAGGTAAAAGTAACGCATGCACAACATTCTGCATAACTGCAGAAAGACACAAAGTTAAGGTAAAAATTCTTGCCTATATTCTTTGACTCCTGCTCCTAAGACTCTCCCCAATAAAGTTATTACCACATTATCTCCCTACTCTTATCACCAGGCAGTGTGATGGGGAAGGAAGAGGGTGACATCTGAGGTCAGTCTGACTGGGGCTTGAATCCTGGCTTTGAATTCTAGCTTTGTGACATTGGGCAACCTTTCTAACACTTGGTGCCCTAATTTTCTCATCCAACAAAGGGAATAACAGTAGTACCAATACCACTGGGTTGTTGTGAGCATTAAATGATAGCACATCCGGATCACAAGGGTTTTAACACTGACTAATTTTTGAACTTTTAATTTTGAGATAGTGGTAGACATACAGAAGAGTTGTATTAAGTAGCACAGAGAGTTTCCATACACCCTTTACCTAGTATTACGGAAACTAAGAAATTAATACTGGTGCATTAGTTACCATTAACTACAGTAGAAGCTGTTCCGATTGCACCACTCATGTTCTTTCACTCTTCTGGAAGTCAGTTCAGGATCCTACATTGTGTTTATTTGTTGTATCTCTTTATTCTCCTCCTCTCTTTGTAGTTCCTCAGTCTGTTTTTATTTTTCATGTCCCTGATACTTTTGAAGAATACTGGTCATTGTAGTTTGTAAAATGTCCCTCAATTTGTCTGATGTTTACAAACGATGAAGTTGAGGGTATATATTCCAGCAAGAATGGCACAGAGGTGATTCTGTGTCCTTCTCAGCGACCATATCAGGAGCTACATATGGGTACGTCTGATTATTGTGTTATCAATTACTATATCCTGATCATTCAGTACAGTGGTGCCATGTTTCTCCACTGTAAAGTGGATGTATGTCCCCTTGTAATTAATAAATATTTTGGATGTGATGCTTCAAGACCAGGCAAATATGCTATTTCTTCATAAACTTTCACTTGCTAACTTCAGCATTTATCATTGGCTTTTGCCTGTAGCAGTTATTACTATGGTGTTCTAATGGTGTTATTCTATTTCTAATGGTGTTATTCTATTTCCCTCACCCCACCTGCATTTATTAATTGGAATTTTCCTGTAAGGGAGAATGATTCCTTTACTTCCTTTTATTTTGTTATTTAGTTATTTATCCACACCAGTGTCAGAAGATCTATTAATATTCCCTTACGAAACACTTAAGTTTCCATGAGAAGCACAGTTCTCTTCCAGCTAAAATAACCAAGGCTTCAAGCAGGAATCCCCAGCTGGGTTTGAAACAGTGAAGAAAGCAGATGTCCCTTCTTGAGAGAGGTGCTGTCATCCGCCCAAATGACCCTGGGACCCCACTTACTGTAGCCCATCAAGATGAGCGCTCCTATAAGCATGATCAGAGTCTGCAGAGCGTCCGTGTAGATGACAGCTGCCAGGCCACCTGGAGAGGAGATGAGCACGGAGGTGAAGGTTGGTACGCTGATGGAGAGGAGTTGTTCTGGGTGTTGGCAGAGGAAATTTTGAAATTCAAGACCTGATGGGTCTTGAATTGTTGACTCTTTGCAAAGATGGCCACAACACTATCCATTTCTCATGTGCCTGCCCATTTTGTCATGTAGCTTTGCTGCTCCTTTCATATTGAGGTGAAGTTAATTTCTCTTCCTCGTAAATGTGGCTTGGCCAAATGGCTTGCTTTAACCAACAGACATGGTGGAGCGGGATATTACGGAGCTTCAGGCCTGGGCCGCAAGGGGTCCCTGCAGCCCCTGCTCTGTTCTTCTGTTGTCCCAAGACCACTATGCTTCTTTAAGAAGCCCAGTCTAGGACTTCCCTGGTGGCCCAGTGGATAAGAATCTGCCTGCCAGTGCAGAGCACACGGGTTCGATCCCTGGTCCAGGAAGATCCCACATGTTGCAGAGCAACTAAGCCCGTGTGCCACAGCTACCGAAGCCCTCTCACCTTAGAGACTTTGCTCCACAAGAGAGAGAAGCCACCACAATGAGAAGCTCACGCACCGAAACTGGACAGTAACCACAGCTAGAGAAAGCCCGTGCGCAACAGCGAACACCCAGCATGGTCAGATAAGTAAATATTATAAAAAAGAAAAAGCAGATACATATCAAGGCCCTGCTCCCTACCAGCCACTCTTCTAGGATGCAAGTCTTAGGGGAAAAGACAAGCCTCAGGCTCCAAAACTGCAGTGGTTTGTGGTCCAGCTGGGCACAGTGCTTGTGAATCCACCTGCTCAGCATTTAGTAGGCTCTAAGGAAAAGTTCTTAAAGAAATAAATGGAAAATAGCTTTATGCAGGTATGGCACATTTTGAAATCCTCCCTTCCGTCAGAAAATCTTTTTCCTTTGGACAATGGCCAAGAGAAATCATATCTTCCAGGGCAATAGATTGAGAGTTCATGAAGACAAGGTCTTAGCACACTGGAACATCAGAAGACGGGCCAGGAAAAGATGGGGTGGACCACAGCCCCTGCCCATCACTTCTCCTAGTATCACCCCTTTTCCAGTCGTACCTGCAATGGTGTATAGAGCTGTGACGGCCAGCAACCCGACTACGGCCAAGTAGAGATTCACATGTAAAGACTGCTGAATGAAGATGGCGCCTGCGTACATGTCAACCTAGAGAGGAGTTGATGGGTATATGAATGAATGGACATCTCAGCACAGTTTCCCCAGGTTCAGGCCCTAGCCTTGATTCTGAGAAACACAGAAACGTCATATGTTGTCCTTTCTTCACCCATCTCTTCCCAGATCAAGGGTCTCAAATGGGAGCCCTATGGGTGGTTATGTTTGAGATCCCTTCACTAGGCTAATATAAGCCCCTTGGTGGTCTTCCTGCTTCTCTTCTTGATCTACCTACACTCCATCCTCTACACTGCAGCCTTATCAAATACCATCATGATCATCTCATCCTCTCCTCCTCATCAAAACTCTTCAGTGGCTCCCTACTTGCCCCAAGATTGTTGTTCAATTGCTAAGTTGTGTCTGACTCTTTGCGACCCCATGAACTTGCAGCACACCAGGCTTCCCTGTCCCTCACTATCTTCCAGAGTTTGCTCAAACTCATGTCCAATGAGTCGGTGATGCCATCCAACTATCTCATCCTCTGTTGCCCACTTCTCCTCCTGCCCTCAATCTTTCCCAACATCAAGGTCTTTCCCAGTGAATTGGCTCTTTGCATCAGGTGGCCAAAGTATTGAAGCCTCAGTCCTTCAGCATCAGTCCTCCCAATGTATATTCCTTGAGGACTGACTAGTTTGAGTCTCCTTCTGTCCAAGGGACTCTCAAGAGCCCCTCAGATAATGTCCAAATAAGTTAGAGTAAGTTAGAGCTCTATGTCAGGTGCTTCACAGTTTGCCTGCCACTTGATTGCATTTCCTTTCCTCACTTCATGCTCCCGGTCCTCCAGGCATGCTGAAATACACCCTGTTTCCCTAACAAGTCAAACTTGCTTGTTCTGTCCATCCATCTGGAATGCCAATTCCTCTGTCTCTATATCTTCTCAGCATCTTTCTCACACATAACTTCCCTTGGGAAGGCTTCCCCGAGTCTGTAGATTCCCACCAGGATGACAGCAAGTGTTGTCCTTCTAAGTCTTTCTTTCACATCTGGAGCTGGCAGAGAGTCAGTTATTGTTGTTTGAATTGAATGGAATTCCTATACCCCGCCCTATGCCATCTCACATTGGACAAGGTCTTCCCCAGTTCCAGGTTGAAGAGAAGATGGCATCCTTGTGAGTCAGGCCGAGTCACACCTCCTGGAGGTTGCCAAGCATCTGCTCTTGGCCGCTTTCCAGGAGATCTGCCCGTCCAAAGGTCAGGGTGGGGTAGGCTGAATGGCTGTCAGCACATATGACTCATAGCTTATAACTGCCTGATCCCAGGAGGAAAATGACAGACTCACCCCAGGGCTCTCGGAGTCCCATTCAGTGTCGGGTGCCATCCTGAGATGTTGCTGAAGAAGCTTTGGCAGGAGACTGGGGAGGAGTCTGCTCCACCTTTCTCCCATACTTCCTCCGCCTCTGCTTGCCCTTTGCCCCCACCCCTCCCATCTTCCTAGAACCTCCCAGAAGCTTCCTCAGTAAGAGAAGAATGTGGATGGGAAGTGGACACCACCAGCAATGCTCTGTAAAGGCTTCTCACCTCTTGCATCCCCGTCTTACCGAGATCTTGGTGAAGATGTAGATAAACAGGTAGAGCACAGCCAGGATGATGGGAATCCTGTTGCCACCAAACCGTTTCCGCAGGTATTCTGGCATCGTGGTGACCTGGGGACCAGAGCTGAGCTTTTGCCTCCCAGCAGCCCTTCTCCCCCCTCCTCCCCAAACTTAGAAGTGCAGATGGTCTTCCTGGGATTCTTAGTGGGAGAATTAAGAGGGAGGAGAAATTAGGGACCAAAGGGTGGGGTGAAGGTGAATTGGGGTTCTGTGAAGAGCTATGTACTTAACTGGGGCTTCCCTGGTGGCTCAGAGGGTAAAGCGTCTGCCTGCAATGCGGGAAACTTGGGTTCGATTCCTGTGTCGGGAAGATCCCCTGGAGAAGGAAATAGCAACCCACTCCAGTACCCTTGCCTGGAAAATCCCATGGACGGAGGAGCCTGGTAGGCTACAGTCCATGGGGTCGCAAAGAGTCAGACACGACTGAGCGACTTCACTATGTACTTAACTATCATACATGCCAAATGTATATCCTATCCCAATTTTTGCCATCTGTGTTATTAATGTTATTTTATAAAACTTATTAATAGAATAAATGTTACTATAAAACAATGTTTTTCTTTAAACCAACTCATGTTTATTTTTTTATATTTATTTTTTTAATTGAAGGATAATTGCTTTATCATGTTTACATTTAAATAAACATCTAAAAAGAGAAGGAAATGGCAACCCACTCCAGTATTCTTCATTCTTGCCTAGAGAATCCCATGGACAGAGGAGCCTGGTGAGCTACAGTCCACAGGGTCGCAAGGAATTAGAAACAACTGAACACACACACACAGACAAACAAAACACTTACATCTATAAATAACAATGCAAATCACTACTGTGAAATGGAAAAATCAATCCTAAACCTAAGGAAACCAGCAAAAATACATACATTGATAATAAAATAATTCATTTATGTTCTATTCATTTCTGGCGGCTTCCTCTTGCACACCAAAAACCCTGGGCCCAGAACCTATTCATTCTTTCTTAAAAAAAAAAATCATCAGCAAAGTGTCGGGCAGATGTTAAAAGCACACTAACACCAACATGAGACATTACCCTTGGGCTCACTGTACACAGTGGAGGAGGCAATAACCTCACTAGATGATTCAGTGTCATTGGCTCCAAATCTAATGCATAAAATCATCTCAAGAATCTCCATTTGTCCTTGCTCTAAATTTTGGGAAAATTGTTCTACTGTAAACTGTTAACCAGGTTACCAGGAACAGAGAATCCTAAAAGCAAAATGTGCACATTCCAGAGACAGCAGAGAGGAGACCAGGGCAGCACTGAGTGAGCGGCTCCAGATGGGTCCGCATGGTCCAGATGGGTGGTCCCTGGCTGGGTGTCCTTGCCATATGGGGCACCCCAGGGGCTGGCTCACACTGATGAGAACCATTATTTGGGTTATACTTTTCTTGGGGGATGGCATGTTCTTTCCCAATCTCCTCACTGTACTCCCAGACTTGGGTTCAGAGGATGCCGTGTCCGGACAAAAGAACCTCAAACCAAAAACTTTTCCCCCATGAGATCCTAGACCTCAGATGGAAAAGGACAGAGTACTGATTATATTCACAGAAATGTTTGCAGCCCCTCTTCCAGGCTGCTGCTGCCTGAATGCTTCCTAGTCTAACCCAGGGAAGATACGAATGGGTACCCAAACATAAACTGACAAATGGCCAACCATCCATCCCAAGGTCAGATGTGAAGGCAGAAGAAGCTTGGAGGGGAGACTAGGAGAAACTAGATGACCAGATTTAATTTAAGAATGATGAACTGAGACTTCCCTGGTGCTCCAGTGGCTAATATTCTGTGCTCCCAATGCAGTGGACCTGGGTTCGACCCCTGGTCTGGGAACTAGGTCCCACATGTCACAGTTAAGGGTTTGCATGCTACAACTAAAGATCCTGCCTGCCACAACGAAGACCCAATGCAGTGAAATTAAAAAATTTAAAAAAAGAACGACAAATTGTTAATAGTAGAACCTGGGTATTCAAGACTATAAGGGTGTACAGTGTAAAATTATTTCAACATTAATGTATGCTTGAAAGTCTTTTCATAATAAAATACTGGCCAAAAAATTGAACTCTAGAAATAAATAGGTATGTGCTTAGTCGCTCAGTTGTGTCCTACTCTTTGTGACCCCATGGGCTGCACCCCGCCAGGCTCCTCTGTCCATGGGGATTCTCCAGGCAAGAATAGTTGAGTGGATTGCCATGCCCTCCTCCAGGGGATCTTCCCAACCCCAACCCAGGTCTCCCGCATTGCAGGCAGATTCTTTACCGACTGAGCCACCAGGTAAGCCCATCAGGTCAGTTCAGTTCAGTCGCTCAGTTGTGTCCGACTCTTTGCGACCCCATGAATCACAGCACGCCAGGCCGGGAAGCCCATAGAAGTAAATAAATGAACACCTTAAAATTTTAAAAACTTAAAACATATCTCTTCCCTCCCCCATCCCTGAAAGGGCATTTAGGGATTCTGACCCTGATGAATGTCTTGTTCCTCAACCTTCTGATTTGTTGCAAGGCAAACAGGGGTTTCTCCGGAAGCACATGGCACTAAAGTCTGATGCTCTCAGGGAATAACACACAGAGGGTTTGACTCAATCAAACCGTATTGACTGGACACACTCTTGGTGATGGTTTGTTGATGTTCATTAGTTGCTAAGTTGTGTCCAACTCTTCTGTGACCCCATGGACTGTAGCCCACCAGGCTCCTCTGTCCATAGGATTTCCCAAGCGAGAATACTGGAGTGGGTTGCTGTTTCCTTCTCCAGGGGATCTTCCCGACTCAGGGATCAAACCCACATCTCCTGCTTGGCAGGCCGATTCTTTACCACTGAGCCACCTAGGAAGCCCCCTGGTAATGATGTCAGAGTTAATTAGAGAGAGCACATGAATGCTTCAGTGCATTCAGATAAGTGGACCAAGGATGATGCTGCTCAAGTGGATTCACTCTCTGGTCTCTGAACAACAACCATCAGTGGGTCTTGCTGGAGAGTGACATTCCTATCCTTGGCTGACAGCCTTTATTATCCATTGACCTCCATTTCAATCTACAAAGAGCTGCACAGCCTGCTACATGCAGGAAGTTTCTAATGAGCTAAGAGAGGAAGGAGGCATGAAAGTCATCAGAAAGTGAGCGGCACTGGTATTTAGAAATCAAACGGGAGAAATGTGATGCTAGCTGACAGATGGGAGGCGGAGCCCAGGCTGTTTGTTGTAAAGTAGCTGAGAAGGCAATTTGCCAGAAAACAAGGTTGAGAGACAGAGATGTGAATGACTGTTGACACAGGAACCACCCTCCGAGTGTTGCTGGGTGAACATCAACAGGAAATAGACGTGGCCTATGACAGCGGCCCCGAGAGAAGACCTCCTGAGCACCATGCTCTGGGGGCTCCTCATCCCCTGGGGATGGCAGGCAGCCAGGGGATGTCAGCATCCGTCTTACTCTCCCTTGAATCACATGCAGACCACCACACTCCATCCTCAGGGGAAACCCCTTCCTCTTCCCCGGAAAGCCATGCCATCAGCCATACCAACTTCTGCTCACCCCAACCCTCCCCAGAACCCTGTTAAACAGCCAACGAGAATTTCAGCTCCTTTGTGGTCTTGCCCTCTTTCTAGGCTTTCCCCCAGCCTGGAAGCAGTTTCAAGGACAGTGTGGAGAACCGACATGGGACACCTTGTACAGTGTCTTGGCCCCAAAAACAGACAGGCATTTCCACTTCAACAACTCATTTCTCTGGCCAGCATCCAAACCTCCTCATCTCCAGGACTCCATTCACCTCCAATCCCCAAAGTTTTCATCAATGCCACCATCTCATTTGCTCAGCCTGATGACCCTGGCTTTGGCACTTGACTGAGACTTTTAGTCCCTAAATAGTGCCCCTTCTTTTGAATGTCAGCTCATCCTTCATTTTGATTCCTTCTGAAATCATGGACCCTGCTACTGAGTAGCTTCAACAAATATTTTTCAAGTATCCACTACGTATCGGACACTATTTATTTATTATTTATTTTTGGCTGCCCTGGGTCTTCGTTGCTGCGTGTGCAGGCTTTTGATTGCAGCTGCATCTCTTATTGCAGCATATGGTCTCTAAGTGTGCAGGCTTAGTAGTTGTGGCCCACGGGCTTAGTTGCCCCGTGGCATGTGGCATCTTTCTGGACCAGGGATCAAGCCCATGTCCCCTGCACTGGCATGCAGATTTTTAACCACTGGACCACCAAGGGAGTCCCCAGACCTTATTCTAGATGCTGGGAGAAACCAGAAATGGTTCTTGCCCTCCTGGAGCTTACGATCTAATGGGAGAGACACAGAGTCTAGTGCAGTGGCTCTCAATGGAAGGAAGATTTCATATCTCCCCAGGGAACATTTGGCAAAGTCTGGAGACATTGTGGCTGCCACAATCTGAGGGATGCTATTGTCATCTAGTGAGTAGGGATAGGGGATTCAGAGAAAACATCCTAAAATGCACAGACCACCCCTCACACATGCATATACACAACACAGCAAAGAATTACCCTGTTCCAGGGACTTCCCTTGCGGTCCATTAGCCAAGACTCTGTGTTCTCAATGCAGGGGGCCTCGGTTCAATCTCTGGTCAGGGAACTAGATCCCGTGTGTGGCAACTAAGACCCAACATAGTCAAATAAATAAATAAATATTTTAAAAAAGAGAATTAGCCTGCCCCAGATGTCACCACTGCTAATGTTGAGAACTTATAGTGGGAAAGACACAGTCTAATGGGAGAGGCGTATTAATTTGATAATCACACAGCAAATACAAAACAGCCGCGACAGCAAATGAAGGAGGAGACTTAAGCTAACCAGAAAGGTTAGCCCTCCAGACAGGGCTTCCTGGAGGAAGAGTTGCTTAAAGTAGGAACTGGACAGATGATAGGAGCTAACCAAGCCACAAAGGAAAAGGAAAACTTTACAAGGAGAGGGGAAAGTTTTGCATTAGGCTGGTGATGTAGAGAGCCTGGTGAGGATGAGGAACTGTTAGATAGTATCTGGAATACAGTTCACATACAGCTCAACAAATGCTTCTTCAAAGAACGAATAAATGAATGAACTGACAGGCGTATACTGTAGATGGAGAGTAGGGTGGATCTCTAAAGAGTAGGAGTCATTTTCCATATTCAAAAGTAAAATTGGCCTATAATTTTCTTGATGGATAAATTTAGCATTATCCTAGTCTCAAAACATGGTATACAAAAGTCAATCCTAGGTGGATAATTGACTTAAAAATGAAAAGTTCTAGATGGTAATATAAGAGAATATCTTTATGACCTTTGAATAGGAAAATATTTTTAAAATATGATATAAGGCAGTAATTAAGGAAAAGTGGTAAATGGAACAACATTAAAATTAAGATCTGTTAAAGAGAACCCTCTTACACTATTGATGGCAATGTAAATTGGTACACTCAATATGGAAAACAGTATGGAGTTTCCTTGAGTGAGTGAAAGTTGCTCAGTTGTGTCCGATTCTTTGTGACCCCATGGAATTGAGGTCCATGGAATTCTCCAGGCCAGAATACTGGAGTGGGTAGCCTTTCCCTTCTCCAGGGGATCTTCCCAAACCAGGGATCAAACCCAGGTCTCCTGCATTACAGGCAGATTCTTTACCAGCTAAGCCACAAGGGAAGTGGAGTTTCCTTAGAAAACTAAACATAGAGTTATCATATAATCCAGCAATCCCACTCCTGGGCATGTATGTCAGAAAAAAATATAATTCAAAAAGACACATGCAACCCATGTTCACAGCAGGATTATTTAAAATAGCCAAGACATGGAAGCAGTCTAGTTGTCCATCAACAAACAAATAGATAAAGAAGATGTGATATATATATATACACAATGGAATATCACACAGTCATAAAAAAGAATGAAATAATGCCATTTGCTGCAACATATATACACCTAGAGATTATCATACTAAGTGAAGTAAGTCAGAGAGAGAACAAATATTGTATAATATAACATATTCAACATCTAAAATATGACATAAATGAACTTATCTACAAAACAGAAATAGACAGAGACCAGGCTTGCGGTTGCAAAGTGGGTGAGGAGTGGGGGAGGGATGGATTGGGAATTTGAGGTTAGCAGATGCAAACTCATCTGTAGAATGGATAAAAAAGGTCCCCATGTATAGCACAGGGAACTATATTCAACATCCTGTGATAAACTGTAATGGAAAAGAATATGAAAAAGAGTGTGTGTGTATATATATATATATATGTATAACTCCATCAATTTGCTATACAGCAGAAATTAACACAACATTGTAAATCAACCATACTTGAATAAAAGAGCTTTTAAAAAGATCTGTTTATCAAAAAATACCATTGAGAGTTAAAAGGCAAACCACAGAGTAGAGGGCAAAGATATTTGCAATACATGTAATCAGCTTAAGGGCTTGTTTCCAGAATGTACAAAGAACTATCAATAAGAAGAAACTGTATAACATAAGAGAAAAGTTGGCAAAAGTCCTAGACATGTTACTTTCCCAAAGAGGACATCCAAATGGCCAGAAAATATATAAACAGAATTGCCAGTGGAAAGCACAGTGAGAAAACTACACAGTCACCAAACTGGCAAGAATTTTAAAGCTGGAAAATACCAAGTATTGGCAAGGACATAGAGCAACGGTGCAAAGGGAACTTGCATGCCCTGTTGCTGGGAGTATAAACTGATAGAGCTGCTCTGGGAAGAAATTTGGCAATATCTAACCAAACTGGATAAACACATTCAATGACCTAGAAATTCCACCTATATTTAGATTTTTCTCCATAAACATAACATTCATATTCATCAGGACATGTGTATAAAAACGTTACCAGGACTTCCCTGGTGGTCCAGTGGTTAAGAATCCACCTGCCAACACAGGGTCATGGGTTCGTGGTCTGGGAAGATCCCATGTGGCGTGAGGCAGCTAAGCCTCTTCACCACAATTACTGAGTCTGCACTCTAAAGCCTGTGGTCTGCAACAAGAGAAGACACTGCAATGAGAAGCCTATGCACTGCAGCGAAGAACAAGCCCCACTCAGTGCAACTAGAGAAAGCCCATGTGCAGCAACGCAGACCCAGCACAACCAAAAATAAAAATAAGTAATTTTAAAAACTGTTACCAGCAACACTGTCCATCACAGGCTAACACTGTGCTGTGCTGGGCTTAGGCTCCCAGTCATGTCCGACTCTGCGACCCCACATACGGTGTAGCCCACCAGGCTCCCCTGTCCATGGGGATGCTCCAGGCAAGACTACTGGAGTGGGTTGCCATGCCTCCTCTAGGCTAGCATTAGGAACAACCTAAATGCTTGTGAACGAAAGAAGAGACAAATATATCGAAGTATAATCATACTCTGGGATACTACATAGAAATGGAAATTAATAAATCAGGTACATGCAAGGAAAGAATGTTATCCCTGATTCCATGTACTATATTTCATTCCAAAAAAGTAAAATTAAACCATATTCTTAAGGTGTGCACAATTAAAACTGTAAAGAAAAGTAAGGGAGTGAGTTCAGTGAAACTCACAAAGAAAGGAAGACATTGCTATCTGGTAAAGGCACATGAGGGAGGGTATTACACTTTGTGACTCCATCTGGGTATTCGTTTTACAGTAATTTGTTAAGCACCACATTTGTGTCTTATCACTTTTCTCTGTTTATTTTATTGCCCAATAGAAATGGATTGGGTAGCTTTTTATTGCTCCTCAGCACTGTGGCATTTATTATCTAGCATCAGCTTCATCTCCCATTTGAATAAAATGTTGACCAAAGAACGTCTGGAGCCACAGGAATTTTTAATTCAGCAATAAAGCCTGGAGATCCTTTCACAGCAGCACAACTCTGTCAATTTCAGCCCTTTTCATGGCGTGATATTCACAGTACAGATACCCAGTCCCACAATCAGATATATTGTGGTGGTCCCCAGGCTTCTCTATTATAGACCACAGCAGTCATCTCAATTCTTCATGCCTCTTCTCAACCTTCGACTACACAAGTTCCTTCCTCATGCTCAGCAAATGACACTATCTTCTACTTCATAGAGAAAATAGAAACCATCAGCTAAAAATATCTGGCCACCCTACCTTTAAACTGACCTACATTTCCGCCATCCTTTACTCCTCCTATTCAAGGTGCTCGCTTCTAATCAGTGTTGTTCTGCCTCAGAGATTTTGTCCATGTAGGGGCTGGGCAGACCCAGGCCCCCCATCGACCCAAAGCCATGCTTTTAGACTCAGTATTATCTCCAAGCAAGATAATTTATTTATTCATACCTCACTGCCTTTGCATAAGATGGCACTACTTCCAATACAGAGTGATTTTTTTTTAAGATTTTTCTGATCATTAAGTAGTTCTTTCTACTTTGTACATTTTGTAAGTTTCCATAATAAAAGGTTAAAATCAGTTATTACTTGATGAATAACACTGATACTGTGTGATCTTGCTCTGCCTAGGAGAATACCTAAAACAGAATAAAGTCTAGAGGGTATGTGTGACAGAAAGCTGTCAATAAGAGCAGAAGTGATTTTTGTAAACTACCTCTGTCAAAAAGTCTAAAGCATTACTATTTTGTAACAAAAAATTTGACATATCACATCAACCAGAAATAACTCAATTATTGTGGTTTTAGGTGGAAAGGAAGAAAGAAAAATCACTGAATTTTGTGTGTGTGTGTGTCTGTGTCTGTGTTGAAAGCAGTAATCTTTCTGGCTTACTTCACTCTGTTTAATGGGCTCCAGTTTCATCCACCTCATTACAACTGATTCAAATGAATTCTTTTTAATGACTGAGTAATATTCCATTGTTTATATGTGTATATATATGGAATTTAGAAAGATGGTAACGATAACCTTATATGCAAGACAGAAAAAGAGACACATGTACAGAACAGAATTTTGGACTCTATGGAAGAAGGCGAGGGTGGGATGATCTGAGAGAACAGCATCGAAACATGTATATTATCAAGTGTGAAACAGATCACCAGCCCAGGTTGGATGCATGAGACAAGTGCTCGGGGCTGGTGCACTGGGAAGACCCAGAGGGATGGGATGGGGAGGAAAGCGGGAGGGGGGTTCAGGATGGGGAACATATGTAAATCCATGGCTGATTCTTGTCAATGTATGGCAAAAATCACTACAATATTGTAAAGTAATTAGCTTCCAACTAGTAAAAATAATTGGGGAGAAAAAAAAAGAAATCAATAATCTGTTATGGCTTAAACATTCAGAAAAGACTGTGATTTTGTGTTTTGACATTCAAAAAAAATTTTTTCTGAGCCCACAGTACTCCAGCTTCTGAATACCCCGTATGTATCTTTGATGTCATTACTCAAAATGTCTCATCATTACTAGGTGGGAACTGCTGAGGACAGTGTTCCTAATAGTCCTAATGAATACATTAGTCACCCGTCACTGATGCTGCGACCTCTTGGGGACTGTGTAACGGATGTCCACTGGCAGGGTGGAGGGATGCTGCTGAGAGGGAAGGGATGAATGCAGGGCTGACCCTCCCTAAGGATCTTTCTATTCCATAGCACCTGGACTCCCTCAGACTCACCTGACCAGTGATGTAGATTGGAAGGAAGATCCAGGACAACATCAGCACGAAAAATAAGCCCTGCCGGAGAAAACAGAATCAGGACTCAGCTCCTGCCCACATTGTGGTGACAGTTTGGATTTCCTTATGTCTGGATGGAACCTGGTCTGGTCTGCTCCTGGTTCCATCTCTTACTTACTGAGTAACTCACCCTCCCTGGGCCATCAAATCCTCAGATTTAAACAGAACATGGGGATGAAGTGGGGCAGAGTGGCTCCCAGGGCTATGCCTCCTAAACCTTGCATATCCCGCTTCGTCCCCTTGTGTTCCCTCCCCTCCTTGGGCAGGGGTTAAAGCAAGGCTGTGAGGTCAGGCAGGCCATGCTGATGAACAGCTGGTGATGCTGGGAGAGTTTACACAGGTCTCTGAGACTCATTTTTCTCACCTGTGCAATGACAGTAACAGTGCCGCCACTAGATTGTTGCAAGGGAATCAGTAAGATGATGTTTACTGAGCACTCATTATATTCCAGACATTCCTGTGCACGCCTTACAAGCATGAAGTCATTTAATCCTCACAATGCCAGTATGGAAGGTACCATTATTTTCTGTTTTATACATGAGCCTCAGAGAGGTCAAGTAATTTGCCCAAGGTCATACAGCTTGTAAATTTTAGAGCCCAGATTTGAATCCAGACAGTTTGGTGCTAATCTGTAATTGAATCCCATAATATGATGATGTATGTAGTGTACTTAAGTCTATGGCACAGGGTAAGCACTAAAAAAAAATGAGTTTTTATGAAGATGAAGATCACTATTAATAAGTGCATCCCCTCCCATCAGTAAAAATCATATCCTGAATGAGCCTGCTACACAAAGAGTGTGTCCTATCTCCTGAGTATCTGCGGGGTGGCAAAAAGATCAAGAACCACGGAACCACATAAGTTTTGTGATGGCCAATTGATATCTGATACACAGAAACACCCCCCAGTCCCACAAAACCTTCTGTCTTCTGCATCTGCACAGAAGAGACGCTGTGCCTTCTTCACACACATATTTGCCTTACGGACTCCCATCAAGCGAACATGGGGACGCCTGCAATATGACTTGCAGACCAAATTGATTTTTGCTAATCAGGGGTGCCCTTGATGATTCCTGCTTGTTTCTTCATAAAGCACCACTCTACATTTAGAAGAGCAGAGCATGCACAAAACTGCCTCCCCCCTCCCCCGGATCCACCTGTTTGGTAATCTTGAACTGACATTGCCCTGAAAACACACTTACATTAAGCTCGTAAGCAGTTACGGAAAGACCCGCAGCAGCACCTGACCCTGCCAGGCCAACGAAATGTCCACTTCCAACATTGCTGGCAAACAAGGATGCACCCACCTGTGGGGAGACGGACAGGTCAGATCCTGGAGCCAAGGTCTGGGCTGGCTTCTTCCCACTCCCCTTCTTCCCATACTCCAAAGGGACCAAGACAAAAGGAGAAAGTGGGGCCAACCCTAGTTTATCTAGCAACTTTTTTCAAATTAGAAAAAACCTCTCCTCCAAGACTCTTTAACTTTCATCTTTAGGAAACTGGTATAACAAATATGCATATCTAGGATGCCTAAAATGTAAATTGTGCCCCCCACTAGGGTTGTGCAGTGCACAACTTGAACAACTGTATGCAGCCTCCCTAGGGGTTAGGGAAGATAACAGGTGTTGTAGAAAGTGCTCCAGGATGAGAATCAGGAAGCCTATGTTGTTCCTCAGCCCCACTTCTAACTTAGCAAAGTAGAGAGCCCTTCTAATAGAACTCTAAGTGGGTAGAACTATTCTTGAGGACCCTAATTCCTGGACTTCATTGATTACATAAGACAAACCTGGGCACCTGGCCCCAGTTGGGCCAATTACATTCTCTCTCCTGGGAATCTGGACCTGGGAAATCATCTTTGCTGGTCCCTTAGGCTGGGGGACACGTAACCCAGAGCAGTGTGTGTGTAGCAAGGGGATGGGGAACGGGGTGAGCAGCACATTCATGTCTGCTGCTCTGAGAGGAGAATGAAGAAGATGCAGAAAAAGGCAGCTCAAGGGAGGACAGAACCAGATAGAGACAAAGATAGAGAGAGATGATCGGGGGAGAAAGAGAGAGAGGGAATGTTTGTGAGGGGACTGTGGTACCTCCCATTGAGTTTCTCATCTCTGGTTTTTATCTGACTCTATGCCACTGATCTGTCACTATCACACTCTCTTGAATGTAGTAGCTTGGTAGTGTTTTGAAGTAGAGAAGTCCTAAGTCAGTCCTCCAGCTTTTTTCTTCCTTTCCAAGATTGTTTAAAAAAAAAAGAAAAATTGTTTCAGCTATTCTGGGTCCCTGGTGTTTCCATCTGAATTTTAGGATTGCCTTACCAATTTCTGCAAAACAAGGGGGGGTGGGTAATGCAGATGGAATTATGATAAGGATTGAATCTGTAGTTTAATCTGTAGTTCAGCTCAGGGACTATTACTATTTGTGTTAAATAGATACTACCTAATGTGCCATTTTAATTCCTTGATTAGCTCAGTTCAGTTCAGTTCAGTTCAGTTCAGTCACTCAGTCGTGTCCGACTCTTTGCGACCCCATGAACCTCAGGCAGCTGCAATGTCAAATTGATGATTTTTTAACTAATACCTCTGGATAAAAAAGCTGCTCACACTGGGTGATCACTGATTTGGCTCAAATAAAGACAAGTTGTACAAGGGTGCTTTCTAGGGTAAAATACTGGCAATAATATGAGAATGGGGCTTTGAACGAGATCCAATCCTGTTCTAACCTACTCGTCTACAAGACTACTGCAGAGCTGAAGAGAAGCGGATGGGAATAGAGCCAGGTAAGACACCACACAGCTTCCTGATCTTGTTGAGATTCAGTTGTTTTTCTTGAATTAAAGCTCCCTGGGGGCTTCCCTGGTAAAGAATCTGCCCACCAGTGCAGGAGACATGAGAGACACAGGTTCAGTCCCTGGGTTGGGAAGATCCTCTGGAGAAGGGAATGGCAACCAGTCCAGTACCCTTGCCTGGAGAATCCCATGGACAGAGGAACCTGGCGGGCTACAGTCCATAGGGTCACACAGGGTCAGACACTACTCAAGTGACTTAGGATGCACACACAGGGGCTTCCCTGGTGGTACAGTAGATAAGAACCTGCCAATGCAGGGGACACAGGTTTGATCCCGGGCCTGAAAATGTTCCACGTGCTGGGGAGCAACAAACCCCATGTGCGGCAACTACAGAGTCGATGCTCTAAAGCCAGCAAGCTGCAACTACTGAAGCCACGTGCCCTAGGGCCCATGCCCTGCAACAAGAGAAGCCACCACAATGATAAACCCATGCAGTGCAATGAAGAGGAGCCCCTGCTGACCGCAACTAGAGAAAACCCATGCAGCAACAAAGACCCAGCGCAACCAAAACAGAATAAAATAAATAAATAATTTTTTAAAAAAGTTCTCTGGGGGAAAGTTCAAAGATCTTTACTCTGCCATTCCCAATGACACCACCCTGCATGTTCCTCTGAAATGTGACTTTCCCGCTCTTCCCATAAAGAACTCGCACTGGCCGATGGCTTATTTTGACGAATATGATGCGGTGAAAGTGACACTGTGTGACTTCCAGATCAAGGCTCAGCAGCCCGGCAGCTTTCCTTGTTGCCCTTTGAAGTCAAATGCCTTATAAAAACCTCGGTCTGGGTCACTAAATGATGAGGGGAATGTAGAGAGTGAAGCCTAGTCTTCTAGCTATCCCCACCAGAGCCATATCTGTGGATGGGGCCATCTTGGCGTCTAGCCCATCCAGCCAGCAGCTAAATGCAGTGCCATAGAGCTGAAGTGCTAAAGAGCAGCGGAGGAACCACCCACTCGAACAATGCAATCATTAGAATAATGATTTATTATACCGCTGGGACTTCCCTAGGGGTACAGTGAATGAGAGTCTGTCTGCCAACACGGGGGAAATGGGTTCGATCCCTGGTCTGGGAAGATTCCACATGCTGGGAAACAGAGCAACTAAAGCCCGTGCACCACAACTCCCTCACCCTAGAGCCCACGAGCTGCAACTGCTGAGCCTGTGAGCCGCAGCTACTGAAGCCCATGCGCCTAGAGCCTGGGCTCCGAAACAAGAAAAGCCACTGCAATGGGAAACCTGTGCACTGCAACGAAGAGTAGCCCCCACTCACTGCAACTAGAGAGAGCCCAAGTGAAGCAATGAAGACGCAGCATAACCAAAAATTAATTAATCTCTTACAAAGATATAATGCACTATATATATATAACTGAGTCACTTTGGTGTACAGCAGAAATTAACATAACATTGTAAGTCCACTATACTTCAGCTTTTTAAAAATAAATTTTAAAAAGAAATAATACACTGTAGTGGTTGTGAGCCACTAAATTTATGGGTGGCTTCTCAGGAGCAATAGCTAACTGATGCACTTGTTCCAAAGCCCGTTCTCTTAACCATACCTCCTTTCTGTTGACATCATTCTCCCGAGTGAGGAAAGCAAAGAAAGTTACACAACTGCCCTTTCCTTCTTGATCTAAAGGGTCATCCAAGCATATGAGCAAAGACATGGATACAAGTATGCAAAAGCAGGCATACTTAGGTGAGCTGCTATATTCCAACGGATTTTTTTTTTTTTTTTGAGCCCAGCATCACTCATCATAAAGACCATTTGACCAGCATTTCTTAAAGTTCAATCATTACAGGACTTCCCTGGAGGTCCAGTGGTTAAGACTTCACCTTCCAATGCAGAGGGTGTGGGTTCCATCCCTGGTTCGGGGGCTAAGATCCCACATGCCCCACGGCCAAAAACCCAAAACATAAAACAGAAGCAATATTGCAACAATTTCAGTAAAAACTGTAAAGAAAAGATTCAGTCACTGAGTACTTCTTCTGTAGCCATCTCTATGTCCCCTGCACCTGCACTGGTATTTACTCAATATTTTAGCTTATACTGACTTCTTCTTTAACTTATATATATGATTATATATTTTATTACTTAACCAATTATTATATATTAATATGATACATGCATATGTGTGTATTTACAACTTCACGAGGAAAACCAGTATCAGTTGCTTTACATAGAAGAGAACCATACAAATAAGATGAAAATGAAAAAAAGAGTTACTAAATTCTCTCTAGGTTCTCTGGACTACCAAATTTACTTAACCTGAGGCTTGCATTCTCTTTGTTAAACACAGATTAGTCAGTGCTGAAAGACCAGCAAAGCCATCTTAGTAGCAAATTGTGACTTTCTTTTATGTAACCAAGAGGACTAACTGGGAATAGGAAAGGGAATATTCCCACGATGCAATCTGATGTTATTCAATGTTGTGTCTGTGCACAGCTGAAAAATCACGGTGCACCTGTTGTTCACATTTCGGGAAACGCTGCACTAGATTACAAGCTCCTTGAGGGTGAAGACAAGCTCAGTGATGTCTCCTCTGTTTGGTGCAGTGCTGGACAGGGAATTGTTCTAACTAATTTACTGAATATATAACACAGAGCTCATTTTTGGTATCTTTTGAGAACAGTGTGGTCATTGTCTTCAGACATTGTATTGACCAGCAGCACAGATACCAGTTATCTCTCTGCATCTTACACATTTTGGACTCCCTGCAAATGGGAAATGCCTTCCCTCTTTTTAGTTGGGAGATTTAACACTTATAATAGAAGATCATGAATAAAATTATCATTCCTGACTCCTTACTCAGGACCCATGAAGCAGAGGCCTATGTGCATATATGTGTGTGTATATGTGTGCATGTGTGTATTTCCACAAACTGGAAAATTCTTCAAGAGATGGGAATACCAGACCATCTTACCTGCCTCCTGAGAAACCTGTATGTAGGTCAAAAAGCAACAGTTAGAACCGGACATGGAACAACAGACTAGTTCCAAGTTGGGAAAGGAGTACCTCATGGCTCTATATTGTCACCCTGTTTATTTAACTTATATGCAGAGTACGTCATGCGAAATGCTGGGCAGGATGAAGCACAAGCTAAAATCAAGATTGCCAGGAGAAACATCAGTAACCTCAGATATGCAGATGACACTACCTTTATGGTAGAAAGCAAAGAGTAACTAAAGAGCCTTTTGACAAAGGTGAAAGAGGAGAGTGAAGAAGGTGGCTTAAAATTCAACATTCAGAAAACTAAGATTATGGCATCCAGTCCCATCACTTCAAACAGATGGCAAATAGATGGAGAAACAATGGAAACAATGACAGACTTTATTTTCTTGGGCTCTAAAATCACTGCAGATGGTGACTGCAGCCATGAAATTAAAAGATGCTTGGTCCTTGGAAGAAATGTTACGACAAACCTAGACAGTGCATTAAAAAGGAAAGACATTACTTTGCTGACAAAGGTCCATCTAATTAAAGCTATAGTTTTTCCAGTAGTCACATATGGATGTGAGAGTTGGACCATAAAGAAGACCGAGTACTGAAGAATTGAGACTTTTGAACTGGGTTGTTGGAGTAAGCTCTTGAGAGTCCTTTGGACTGCAAAAGATCAAACCAGTCAATCCTAAAGGAAACCAACCCTAAATATTCATTGGAAGGAGTGATGCTGAAGCTGAACCTCCAATACTTTGGCCACCTGATGCGAAGAGCCAACTCATTAGAAAAGACTCTGATGCTGGGAAAGATTGAAGGCAGGAGGAGAAGTGGATGACAGAGGATGAGATGGTTGGATAGCATCACTGACTCAATGCACATGAGTTTGAGCAGGTTCTGGGAGATGGTGAAGGACAGGGAAGCCTCACATGCTGCAGCCTATGGGCTCACAAAGAATCGGACACGACTGAGCGACTGAACAACAATGCATTTAGCAAGGCCTTTAGCTTCCCTTGAATAGCAGCTACTAATTGGGCTGTTGTATTTGTTATTCGGGTTCTCAACATTCTTTCCACCTGGTCCCAGTAATGGTCTCCAATTTTCCTTCAGGGTCTAGCCCTTCTTATTTCTTATCACACATGCCTCAGAGCAGGCTCCATGCCCTCCAGATTAGGCACTGAGTGTGTGACCCAGGCTTGAGTCACTTAACATAGCAAACTACCTTGGTCACAGTGACTAACACAGAGATGGGCTTGGGACATGTATTTTCCAGGAATCCTGCCACAGAGGCTGGAGTTCGTCCCATGCTAGGCTGGAGATGGAGACGATGGAAAGTCTGGAGCTGTGGCCATCATCCTGTTGACACGAAGTTGAGCTTGTTGGGAATGGCACCCATCCAAAAGAAGAGAAGCTGATAGAGATAGATAGGTGATAGACAAATAATGGATAGACAGATAAATGTGTGTGCTTAATCACTCAGTTCTGTGTCCAACTCATGCGGCCCTATGGACTGGAGTCCACCAGGCTCCTCTGTCCATGGGATTTTCCCAGGCGAGAATCCTGGAGAGGGTTGCCATTTCCTCCTCCAGGGGATCTTCCCAACCCAGGGATCGAACCCACATCTTCTGTGTCTCCTGAATTGCAGGTGGATTGTTTATCCTCTGAGCCATCAGGGAAGCCCAGATAGACAGGCAGATAGATAGAAAGATAGATACAAATAGAAAGACAGATAGATAGACAGATGGGATAAACCAGATACCAATGATCACTTGAGCCCCTATACCCTGCCATACCTGAAACCAGACCAACTCTAGGTTTTTCCCTTAGGTGAGCTGATGGATTCTTTTTGTTCAAACTGTTTCGAGTTGGAGCTAAGTCTACTCTAGTTTAGACTGTGACTTCCAGACAACAAGGAACCCGAGAGTCCTGAGAAAGCAAAGGCTAGACAGAGTATCGGGACTTGAAGAGTCTTTTAGTTGAACCAAGGACTACTTACTGGCCACCACAGCATGTTCCCTCCAGCTAGAAAGTAGCCTTTGACTGTGTCTCTTTTGGTCTTCACTGTGGACTGAAAGACAGAAGAGCACTGGGTAAAGGAAATGCTAGCGATCAGAGGCGCCCCCGGCTAGTCTAGTCCCTGATTATACCTGGGAGCCCAGCAGGCCAGATTCAGACATCAAACATATTTTGGGGTTTGTCTGGTTTGCGGTTTTGTTTGTTTGTTTTTGTAAGAGTCCCTGAGCAATACTTCCCGTGGCCACTATTTGCATGAAATATCTTACTTCACTATTTGTTGCACCATGCAGCTTGTGGGATTTAAGTTCCCCAACGAGGGATGGGGAACATTGCCCTCGGCAGTGAAAGCGTGGAGTGCTAACCACTGGGCCACCAGGGAAGTCCCTCAACTCTAATTTTTTTTTTTTTAAAGTGAAGGACTTCCCTGGTGGTTCAGAGGCTAAGACTTTTCTTCTACTTCCCTGGTTAGGGAACTAAGATCCCACATGCTCTGTGGTGAGGCCCCAAAATAAAAATTTCGAATAAAAAAAAAGCCTCTGAGGTCCTTTAAAAAAAAAAGTATAGGTGATGTATGATATTATATGTTATAGGTGATTTATGATTTTTAAATATTATACTCCACTTATAAAATATTGGCTATATCCTCTGTATTATGCAATATATGCAAGCTTATTTTATGCCTAATAGTTTGTACCTCTTAATGCCCTACTCCTGTATTTCTCCTCCCCTCTCCCCACTGATAACCACTAGTTTCTTCTTTATATCTGTGATTCTACTTTTTTGTTCTGTTTTCTCCCTTGGTTTTTTTTTTTTTTTTGGTGCGGATCATTTTTAAAATTCTTTATTGAATTTGTTACAATATTGCTTCTGTTTTATGTTATGTCTTTTGTATTTTTTTCTGTTTTTTTGATCATGAGGCATGTGGAATCTTAGCTCCCTGACCAAGGATGGAACCCACACCCCACCAGGGAAGTCCTTCTACTTCTTTTTAGTTATATTCACTAGTGGTTGTACTTTTTAGATCAAATATGTTTTGTGTGACCCATTGCTTGTTTTTCAGGAGTTATTTACTTGTCTGTTTCTGGCTGTGTGGAGTTTTGGCTGCAGCACCCAGCTTTCTCTCTGGGTGTGGCCCATGGCCTCAGCAGTTGTGGTTGCACAGACATTGTCCCTGCACAGCAGGTGGGATCTTAGTTCCCCTACCAGCGATCGAACCTGTGTCCCCTGAATTTGAAGGTGGATTCTTAACCACTGGTCCACCAGGGAAGTCCCTGTTAGATGTATGGTTTGTAAGATTTACATTTGAGTCCCATAGAGGAAACAAACTCTTCAGGTCAATACCCCCTACAACCCCCTGCCTCACACATGTATAATAACCTACTAGGTCCCCCAGGCACCTGAGTTTTAGACCGTGGTTTGTCTGTGACATCCCACAATGGAAGTCATTTATTGAGTATCAGTACCATGTGCCGGGGGCTGCCTTGCTGACTCAGACAGTAAAGAATTTGCCTGCAATGCAGTAGACCCGGGTTCAATCCCTTGGGTCAGGAAGATCCTCTGAAGTGGCAACTCACTCCAGTATTCTTGCCTGGAGAATTCCATGGACAAAGGAGCCTGGAAGGCTACAGTCCACGGGATCTCAAGGGGTTGAACACGGCTGAGTGATTTTCACTCACTCACTCATCATGTGCCAGGCTCTGCAGTAAGCATTTTGAAGCATCATCTCATTTTAATTCTCACCAACTCCTGTGAGAGATTCCTTGGGTGTCTCAGATGATAAAGAATCTGCCTGCAATGCAGGAGACCCAGGTTCCATCTCTGGATTAGGAAGATCCTCTGGAAGAGGGAATGGCAACCCACTCCAGTATTCTTGCCTGGAGAATTTCATGGACAGAGGAGCCTAGTGGTCTATAGTCCATGGGGTCACAAAGAGTTGGACTGAGTGACTTTCACTTTCAATTTCTATGAGGCTGATATCATCAAGCCAATCTAATACATGAACAAATCAAGGCTCAGAAGCAGTCACTTATCTAGTGCCATATTTCTACAGAAAGGAAGACTGAGAACTCAAACCCAGGTCAGCTTGATTTCAGAGCTCGTTAGGAGTGAGCTTCTTGGCCCTAAAGGTACTTTAACAGAGACATTTAAACCACTAAGTGATCTTGGATAAGTTGTAACTTCTCTCAGCTCTGGGTGCAGATATTGGTAAGAGGAGTCTTACTGGATGGGAGATGACATGAAATGATATCTTTTCATCCCTGCAAAAGATCTTACTATAGCAAACAGACACTATGGCTTATTCCTGCTGAGCCCGGACACAAGAAGTATTTTCCAAGAGTAAAGAACTCCTTGAGCTAAAAGGGGTCATCTAAATCCAAGGCTTCCCAAACCAGTACTACATCAGAGTCTCCTGATTCTCTTGTGAAAATACAGATTCCCAGCAACTCTCACCCTTATTCTAACTCTACCCATACCCCTAATCCTGATACCAATTCTGTCTCACTTGAAAACCTTGATGCTTAGGACTTCCCTGGTGGTCCAGAGGTTAGGACTCCACACTTTGACTGCACGGGGCATGGGTGTGATCCCTGGTTGGGGACCTAAGAACCCACAAGCCATGCAGTGTGGCCAAAAATAAAAATAAAAAAGAATCAAGTTCTACGTACTGTAAGACCTTGAGACAGTCTCTCCCTCTGAGCTGACTTACCCATAGTCCGACAGCCAGGACAAAGAGGAAATACAGAATCAGCACTGCGATGTCCCCTGCTTCCAGCGTCCTCCGGGGAAACGCCTCCAGGGGATCTGACTGTGTGGGTGGAGGGCTGCTGGCGCTGCTCTCCATGGTCCTGAATGAATTCTTGCAACCCTGTGGAAGTGCAAATGTGGGTCACATACCAGGACCCAGTGCCACGTTTCTCACCCTTTCCATAACTGCCTCCTTGGGCAACCAAGCAGGAAGACACATGTGGAAGGATGTGTGATGGAGACAGACCTCAGGAAGGCAAATCCATCCATTCTTTCTCTCATTCAGCAAATATTTACAAGGAAGCCACATCCAATCTACAGTTAATGTTCACCAACCCCACCACTCACTTGGCAAAATACGAAGAAAAATAAACAGCTTAAGTAGTATAGATGTCTCACCACCCTCTTCCACATATCCAGGAGTGAGAGAAAAACAGGACACCCGAGTCAGTCTGTTTCCCTTGTATCTCGCAGCCGGGTGAAAGTCAAGCCAGCAATTTTGTCTAAGGCTCAGCCAGTCGATACAATCTTGTTTCACTGCTGGATATGCCCATAAAATGCGTATATTTATTTAATTTTAAATTTGCACTTGTTTTTTATTTTGGCTGCACTGGGTCTTCCCTGTTGCGAGTGAGCTTTCTCTCAACGCAGTGCACGGGTTTTTCATTGTGGTGGCTTCTCTTGTTGCAAAGCACCAGCTCTAGAGTTTGCGGGCTTCAGTATTTGTGGCTCACAGGCTCTAGAGCACAGGCTCGGTAGCTGTGGCCCACAGGTTGAGTTGCCCCGTGGCGGGTGGAATCTTCAGGGACCAGGAATGGAGCCCGTGTCCATACGTTGGTAGGTGGATTCTCAGCCACTGGACCACCAGGGAAGTTCAAATGTGTTTATTTAACAAGCATTTATATAGCACCTTCTATATGACAGGCCTCATCCTAAGAGTTTACAACCTTGCAAAGTGGGCAGCCCAGTAATGGGGTAACTCAGCTTATAGATAATAACACAACATGATGTTTCATACAAGTGGGTGTGTATAATGACAGACGTATTAAGGATTCAAGCCTAAGAGTCATCCAGTTGGGTCCACCCCTTACTGACTCTGAGAGCTTGGACAAATTCCCCAACTACTCTAACTCTTTGCATTCCCATCAGAAAATGGGACAATAAGAGGTTACATTTCATAGATCGTCATGATCTAGTACCTGTGAAGTGTGGAAAACAATGCCACACACAGCCGTGCTCAGTAAATTGTAGCTGCTATTATCTCTATTACTAATTTTCTACAATAGGCAGTGAGGCAAAGACCACCTGATTTTACAAGGAGGAAAATGGATGGTAGTACATGCACTGGGTTTTGAAGAATGCGTAGGCGGTCCTACATGCCATGAGCAGGGATGGGGGTACATTCCAGGCTAAGGCAACAGTATCCACAGGCATTAAGATATGAATAAGTGTCTTATGCTTAAGGAACCATCAGATTCTTTCCTAAGGATTAAGATTGGGAGCAAAGAAGTGAGTAGTGAGGCTCATTATCTATGAAGGCATTATACCAGTTCTTTAATATCATTCAAAGGATTCTGTAAGGTCAGTAGTTTTCTTTCTACAGAAAGCAGATATCATCATCTTCAAATATTATCCCCTGTTTCTATAACAAATATTTCATAATATACTGTCTACTGAATACTGAAACGAAACTCATAGATAATGTTACCTACCTACACACATTTTTTTAAAAAAAATCAATATAAAGCTCTATTATAAAAGAGAAACAAAAGAACAGCAATTTATGGTTAAAATTATGGGTAATTCAACATATAATTGCTCCATCTGACTCAAAAGGGGAGTCAGATCATTTTACCTATTATACTGAGTAAGCTTTGAATTTAAGAGAAATAAGAAAACCAGAATCGATTTGACTCCAGAAGCACAGAATAAAGTGTGACTCTACAGAGGAAAACCAGAATGTTTAAATCTGTAAAAAAAAAAAAAAAGAAAAAGAAAAGAATAATAAAAAGCCATGCCCTCCTCCAGGGGATCTTCCCAACCCAGGGATCGAACCCAAGTATCCTGCATTATGGGCAGATTCTTTACTGTCTGATCCACCAGAGAAGCCCAAGAATACCGGGGTAGGTAGCCTATCGCTTCTCCAGGGGATCTTCCAGATCCAGGAATCAAACCAGGGTCTCCTGCATTGCAAGTGGATTCTTTACCAACTGCGCCACCAAAGAAGCCCCAGAACTGATAGAACCTGGAGCTTAACTGAGAGGGGGGAAGAACTGGGGAACCATTTCCTGCTTCTGACCAGAGCTGCCCAGAGGTGGAGTAGCCTGGTCACCTGGGTGAATATTCCTGGTTCTTAAACCAGGGCTTTTCATATGCAACACTATCGGCATTTTGGATCTTGCAGTTCCTTGTTACGGGGGGCTGTCTGGTGCATTGTAGATGTTTAGCAGCGTCTCTGGAAGCCACCCACTCGAGGCCAGCAGCTCCTCTCCACAGGTGCGGCAGCCACAAATGTCCCCTGTGTTGAGAAGCACTGGAGACTAGAGACACTCATTTAGAGAAGATGTCTCAGGGGGGCACTCAGTAACCTTTAACATCCCTTCCCACACCGTCACTCCCTGGGCCTGGCCTTGCTCTTCTGTTGAGAGGATGCTCACAGCTTCTCAGACCTGTGAGAAGATCCAGACAACCACTGATCCATAACACTGATCCAAAGATGGACGGACAAGAGAAGGGGGAAAGGAAGGAAGATGGGCAGCCAGTATCAGGCAAACCCAACTCACTTACCCAGCTTGAAGGCAGGAGTATGTAGCAAAAGCCCAAAGTCCATCCCAGGTCACCCCTCAGCCCTCCCTGCCTCAGTCAAGCTTAGGTTTTATGATAATTGTCATCAGTCCAATGGGATGGTAATAACCTAACTGAACCAGAGAACTTGCAAGGAGAAAGTGGGGTGGGAAGACTGCTAGAGAGCTCCCTAGGGTGGAAGTGGAGATTCATAAAGAAGGCTCTAACCAAGAGGCAGATTTGGAGGCTTGAAGACAAGAGGGCTAGATGATCTTTAAGGTCTGACTCAAGGGTGAAGCCCTTATTGGTTAAGCAGTGTTCTTACTGCCACTCCACAGACAAGGAAGTGGTGTCGCATGACTGAGTGCCAAAGGCAGGACTCAATTCCAGATCTGATTTCAGAACTATGTGGTTTTTTATTTTTTAATTTTTTTTTACTATGTGGTTTGTGGGATTTTAGTTTGAACCCTCATCCTCAGCAGTGAAAGCATGGAGTCCTAACCACTGGACTACCAGGGAATTCCCTGCCCATCCTTTTAAAAAAAGTATTATTATTAAAATATAACTGATTTACAGTATTGTGTTAGTTTCTGGTGTGCAGCAGAGTGATATATACCCTTTTTCAGATTCTTTTCCATTATAGGTCATTCAAGATACTGAATATAGTTCAATACAGTAGGCCCTTGTGGTTTATTTGTTTCCTATACAGTAGTATATCTGCTAATCCTAAACTCTTAATTCATCTCTCCTCTCTTCCCTTCGGTAATCATGTTTGTTTCTATGCCTGTGTTTGTTTCTGTTTTGTATGTAGATAAATTTGTTCATTTTTTAGATTTCGCCTGTGAGTGTTCTTTGATTTACTTCACTTGGTATGATAATTTCTAGGTCCCCCCATGTTGCTGCAAGTGGTATTATTTCATTCTTTTTTATGGCTCAGTAGTATTCCACTGTGTATATATGTACCACATCTTCTTTATCCACTCTGTTAATAGACACTTCTGTGTCTTGGCTACTGTAAACAGAGCTGCTATGAATATTGCATGCCTCCTTTTGAATTCGACTTTTCTCTGAATACATGCCCAGGAGTGGGATTGTCGGATCATGTTAACTCCAGCTTTTTGAGGAACCTCCATACTGTTCTCCATAGTGATTACACCAATTTACATTCCCACCAACAGCATAGGAGGGTTCAGCACCTGCATTTTCAAACACTTCAACTGCTTTCAAGTACCCTGCTGCTTCCAAAACGGGGGACTTGAGGAAGATGAGGACTAAGAGTGGAGGAAGCAGCTTGAGGTGGAGATTTATATTGAGCTGGGGAGTGGGGCGGCTTGTCCTAGAACTCTGCAGGTCTGAAAGGGAGGAAGGGGAGGAAGGAAGGAGGGGCATCAGGCAGACTGGTGAGCCAGCCCTCCCCTGTCCACGGCCCGCTCCCAGCGGCCCCTTCCAGGCCTCTGCCTGCCAGGCACCGAGAGGGCTGGGAGCAGATAAACAAGCCATTCATCGCCGGCTCTGGGCAGGCTGGCACTGACTCCAGGCTCTTCTCGAGTTCCAGGGAGGCGGGGGCCCTGCCGGCGGCCAGGATGTACGGCTTTCTTCAGGGTGGGGACAGGGGCTAGCGACATGGACCAGAGAGGCTGTGGAACCCAAGGGCCGGAACCTTGGCCACGTGTCCCAGGGGAGCCCTCCACATGCCCTCGTGCAGCAAAGCCACGCCATCCCTGTCACGGCATCATCTCCAAGGCTGTTTATGGAAGTTGCAGGCCTGGAACTCAGGTTGCATTGGTCCTCTTCCTCATCCTTGTCAGCCCGTGAGGCAAACACACTTGCTGCTGTCATTCAGTCTGACTTGTGTCTGACTCTGTGACCCCCTGGACTGTAGCCCACCAGGCTCCTCTGTCCCTGGGACTTCCCAGACAAGAATACTGGAGTGAGTTGCCATTTCCTTCTCCAGGGGATCTTCCCAACCCAGGGATTGAACCCAGGTCTCTTGCATTGGCAAGGAGATTCTTTACCATTGAGCCACCCAGGTTATACTTCCATTTTACAGGTGGGAAATGGAGCCACCGTGAAGTAAGAGTGAGCTGGGTTCAGGTCACGGCTGTGCCACTAGCCTCTGGGTGATAGGAAGTGCAGAGGTGGGATTCGAACTCAGGTCCTGAATCGAAGCTTGTTGCAACCCAGTAATGGCTTGTCTGTCTCTTTTTCCTCCCTGCCCTTCTCTCCTTTCTCTCCTCCCCTCCTTCCTTCCGTCTACTTGTATCTTTGCACAAACATTTATTAGGCACCAGCTGTGTGCCAGGCTCTGCGCTA